AAGAAGCACGCGCTGGACGAGATCAAGGAGGCGGATTGCTTCAACAAAGAGGCATACAGGTACGCTCCTCCCCCAACCGCACGCGACCGCTTGTTCCGACGGCGGCGTGTCTCTTCCCAGACTCTACCACGACACCACCTCTTCGTTTGCCGCGCTCGCCACGCAATCGTCCATGCTCTCCCAATCTGCATCTGCGCTGTTCGACAAGGACCACCCCTCGATGGCCGGAAAAGGGTCGCATAGCATGCAGTTCAAGGAGCTCAAGCCGGAGCAGCTCGACGCGCTCCGCGTCCGACTTGGAATTCAGGATTGGGACGACGCGCCTTCGACGTGATCTAGTCCCCCGTCATTCCCTCCCCCTGCTTCGATTCGGTCACAGATGTATCAGTAGACCAAATACCCAGGAATTACCCAACCCGTCGATTGAAGATGTCGGCCTCACACCGGGTCCTTGCTCTGAAGCTAATGCATGCGGTGCTGTCCCACGAAGTGGTTATGCTTGGTGATGGGCTAGTTCTGAAGCTTTCGCGACTAACAAGCGCCGAGCTCTCATCCTTCTTCTTTGGACCACCCGCAAGATTGCCGCAACCGGAGCACGCACAGCGCCCTGTTCACACGGCTGATGACCATCTCCTTATGTCCTCTTCGCCTATCCTGTCATGGTATGCACCTCGGTCACCCTCAGCTCCGAGATAAGAGAGTTACGGAGGTTATTGCGAATGCATCATGCTAATCACACCCTCTGTATTGCATCTGCTTCATAGCGCCGCTCAGCTGGCTTCAACGACGTTGTGGCCCGGATTGTGAAGGTGAAGTCTATACGTCGGAGCGTATCAAACCCACTGCCCATCAACCAATCGGCACCCGCTCTCGGACTTTGGAAGAGGGGGACGAACTCAAGAAGAGGTCGCGGCGAGCACGAAGCCAACGTCACATTCCGGAGTGTACATCAATATCATATCATTCGTCACCGACAAAGAGTGATCCTTTCAGAGCGACAAAACATATCTTCACGCCAACGGGGGCGTGTCTGCCATGAGGAACGCCTGGAAACTAGGAGGGTACCGAGGCACGTCCGCTTGGTCCGCGTTGACGGCAGCCTGGCGAATCTGTTCGACCTCCTCGGCCGTGAGTTTGACGTTGACGGCTTCGATGTTCTCCTTGATATTCTGCAGCGATGCGGTGGCATTTTGAGCTAGGTCTGTGTGCGCTGTATAGAACTGGGAGACATACGGCGGGCTTGGTCGATCCGGGAATCGGCAGGATGTCGTCCCCCTGTGCGAGAAGCCAGGCGAGGCTGACCTGGCCGGGGGTCGCTCCATGCTTGGCGGCGATGCCCTTGACGACGTCGACGGCCTGCAAGACCTTGGGGAAGTTCTCGGCGGAGAACCGAGGGAGATAGCGCCGCGAATCGTCCTCCGGCAAGTCGTCAGGCGATCTCTATATCGCGGGCAAGTAACGATGAGCTTGGTGGCCGGTACGCGCACTTCGTCGTGTAGGGTAGGCAGTGTGGAACGTACGTATTTCCCTGCGAGGACGCCTCGTCCGACGGGCGAGTACGCAACGATCTTGACCCCGAGCTCGCGGGCGGTCTTCAGGATGGCCCCGTACTTCTCGCCCTCGATGTCGAGCGCAAAGGGCGAATACTCGACTTGCAGCGCGGCGATGGGGTGCACGGCGTGGGCGCGCCTGAGCGTGTCCGCCGTCACTTCGGACAGGCCAAGATACTTGACTTTCCCAGCCCTAGGAAAGAGGGGGAGGGTACGCGTTTGTGAAATCGAGGTTACGTGTGAGGATGGCAAGTACGGGGAGGACATACTTGACTTGCTCGGCCATTGCTGCCACGGTGCGCTATGAGGCACACACAGTTCAGAGCCTTACATACCTCTTTGACAAGCCCCGATAATCCACCACTCACCTCGATAGGTACCGTTGGGTCTGCACTGCAATGAACGCATCGTCGTCGTACAAGTATATGTGTATGATTATAAAAGGGACTAACCGGTGCAAGTACCACAGGTCGATGTAGTCGGTACCGAGCTGCTGCAGCGAGCGATCGATGGCCTTTGCGACGTATTCGGGATCGCCGCAGACCAATCGGCCGTTGGGAAACGGTTGCCCGGCCACCAAGCCTCCGAATTTGGTGGCGAGGAATATCTCCTTTCTCTTACCATTCTTCTGCAACCTGGGGGGGGATGCATGGGAAATGACTGGATAGGGAGCAGGGCTTGAAAGGAAGGTCTGCTAACCATTTACCGATCAACGCTTCGTTGTCGCCGTAGACGTCAGCAGTGTCAATGTGATTATATCCGTTCTCTAGGACGGCGTCCAGAGCCTAGGGCGCCCACAAAATCGTATTCAGATGGGGAGCAGATAACGAGTGTGCATTCGACGAACCTTCAGCCGCTCTTCGTCGGGAAGCGGGGTGCCATAGAAGGCAGACAGGCCCATGGCGCCAAATCCAATGGGCGTGACATCCGCACGGCCGAGCTTGCGAGTGGGGAGGCCAGTCATGATGGCTTGAAAGGCTGTCTGCGAGTTGCGAGTGAGAACCGTAGAGAGCTGGGGCCAGTTTTGGTGCCTCTGAGCCCGCGAAAGCCATCATTGGACTAATGCGATCGTATCTAGACGCCGTAAACGCCAACCGGCCATTAACACTTGGTTTGGGGAACATCAAGGCTACATACCATGAGCAGTTCTACTTCCTGCATTCACCAGCAAAGGGTCTCGTATCCGCGCGTGTCGCCGGATGTGCGGTTGTCACTGCGCTGCCCCCCCCCCCCGGATGCTACACAACCACACAACTTTCAGTCATTATGTATCAATATCCTCTCGGAGAGCGAGTGGGGTCGACTAGAATGTATGGCTGAAGGCGCAAGTATCCGGATGTCAAGGTATGACTTACTTGTGTATGTGATTGGCGTCACGGCACCGGCCTCTTGGGAGTGTCCATCGAACGTGAATGAAGTGGTGGCGTCTTCGTCGTATTAGTTCCCGTACATCGTCTGATCATGGCTTGCTTCTCCTTTATTGTTTGAAATAATAGTGAATGGTCCTGGGCATAAGCTCTAGGAATGAAGGTGAACCTGAAGTTGCACGAGGCGACGACGACGAATTGCGATTGGTGATCAGTTGGCCTAGAGCCGCATACGCAAAGCATGAAGCATCCCAAGCCTCGGGGCATCTCGTCTTGCAAGCTCCAGGAAGCTCCTAAGTGCGCTCAAGATGATCCGCTGTCGCTTGCGTGTTTTGCGTGCTCAGGCATTCGCAGGGAAGCATACATGTTCGGGTTTGGCATCCTGTGCTGCCCGTGCACCGCCGTAATGCCCATGATGCCGGCTGCAGCCGTCGGACGTGAGAAGCCTGAAGTCTAATGAACAGCCGGCGGTTCGGACTGTTGCTGCATCGCGAGAATTGAAATATTGAAGCTTGAATGTGGAGAGCTGAATAGACACTTGAGCAAATTGTGAGATTCATGTGGCATTAGCATTACATGCTATACGTCTACCATATGCCCTCTCCGAAATTGCTTTCCACTTCCAAGAGCGTACAAATCAGAATGCAGTGATTATCTCAGGTTGTGATCATACATGAGGCCCCAATGTACAATGTATGTAGAGTAGATGCGATCATACCAAAGTCCAACGAAGCTGTCTATACTAAGCAAGAATAATATGATAGATGCATGATGCTGGTCTGATCCTCTACTGGTTACTATCTCGAACGTCTTGGTGTATGTGATGTAAGAGGGGGAGATTTAGAAGACCGTCTCGAGGGCATCGGTAAACACCATGGTGCACTTGCGCATCGCGGATCCAAAGAATGGCTCGCAAGCACAGGTATTGCCTCGTTTTCTACAGGAGGTCGTTGGGACCCTTGAGGAGCAGAGATCTGGGGTAAGGGATGCGAATCTCTGCGGGGCGTAGCAGTAGCCGTCGTGAGCGCGGCGAGGGCTGCCGCCTGTGCCGCTTCCAGCTTCCCCTCAGACGCTCGTGAAGTCAGAGCCTCGGGGGACTCAGCGATAGCAGGGAGCACCAGTGACTGCTGCCTTCCCTCGCGCGCCGCCTCCCCCAGACCAAGGAGTCAGGGATCATCTGCAAGAGTGGCAGACGCGATCGGCGCCTGGAGCGCGTCGATCGTCTCGTATGGGGTATCAGGGCCAGTGTCATCGTCGTCGGGGACGCGGCCGAAGTGCTTCGAGAGCCGCTCGATGACGAGCGAGTATGGAAGGTGCTGTGTGAGCTTGCGGCGCGGTTGGACGTTGAGCGAATGGCGCGCATCGAGTGCGCTGTCGAGCACATTTGAGGAGTGCGCGCCCTCGGAGAGCGAGAGCTTTATGGAGTACTCCTTGTCTGACTTGCCGCGACCGTGATTCCGCTCGTAGAGCTCGAATCTGCGAGCAGTTGTTAGGAGCCTTGCTTACGACGATCACAGATGAAGGTCAGGCTTACGTTATGTGCGCCTGTGAGAGGAGAAGTCGTATCACAATGGTTAGATAGCTTGCAAACTCAGAGTGTGAGAATTACGCACGCAATAGTCAAGCTCCGGGATGCGGCGATTCGCAATGGGAAGGCCGGAAAGGAGGACGAGGTTGACGAGCGTATGGATGTGCGACTCTTTCGTGAAGTACAGCGTCAGCCCACACTCTTCGTTGTTCCGGGCGCGCTCCAGATCGCCCACAACATTGCGAAGAAGTGGCAACGACGTGAGAACACCGATTTCCTCTCTGAAACACCAAGATTGTAGCATTAGCACGTCTCGCATGAAGTGCAAGGATCAGCCAGTGCGTACTTCTCCTCAGGCTCGATGCCATACTCCTGCGGAGCGACGAGGTCGAAGAGCGCCTTCGCGCGCCCGTACAACTCGTGCAGCCGCCGGTCATGCGGTGCCTGCTCGGTCCGTCCCTCCTCATTGAAGATGGAGAACAGAAACGTACGATGGTGCAGCGCGCAGTACTTGATGGTGTCGTACAGCTCTGAAACGCGGCTCGGGTCAAACTTCTCCTGCTTCACGTCGCAGAAGTCCTCGAAGAGCTTCTCCCATCGCTCGCGGAACAGCCACGGCTCGTCGCCGCAGCACCAGCGCTCCTGGATCTTGTCGACGTCCATCGTCTCCCAGTTGTGGCGCATGATGTCGCGGAATGCGCTGAGAAGCTCGATGACCTCCTTCACGACCTCGACGGGCTCCTTCTTCATGCTCTTGGGCCAAGTGAGCTCCGGGCGCTTCTCAGGCTCCCCTGGGCGAAGGAGGATCTTGAGGCGCTTCTTGACGTCGTCCATGAGATCCTTGGCGGCATTCGAGTCGTCGAGCAGGTCCTTGCGGACAATGAGCTTTGGAGGCTTCTGTGCGGGGACGGACTGCTCGCGACGAGGCGTGTGGTGACTACCTGACGCATAGCCGCCATCGCTGGAAGAGCGAGAAGAGTGGACACCGGACTGGTGGCCACTAGTGGCGGAGAGCGTGCTGGAGCCCCCCGAGGAGGGCGAGTTGTCGAAAAGTGCTGTGGCGAAGATCTCCGCAGAGGCAACGACGCGGCGCTCGGAGGAGGTATAGATCTGAACATGACAGTACAGTAGTCAGCGTGTGCATTGGTCAGACGCCAGGATCTGACATGACATACCCTGACGTTCTTCAGGATGTCCTTGTCTGCGTACTCGAGTGAGTGATGTGTGCATGTCTGAACAAGTGGAGCGCATACTCATGATGGAGATATCTTTCTTCATGTTCTCTCCGAGATCGCGTGATTGGTAACGCGCCGAGTGTGTGAACTCGCCGCCCCACTTGAACACCAGCGTCAACTTCGTCAGCTTGCGCACCTGTCCTGGCTGCTTCTTCGAGTACACCGGCTTCAGTTGTGCCTTCGTGCCTGGCAGGTCGATCTTGCTGAACAGCGCGTTGTTGAGCTGCGTGAGCTTCACCAGGTCCTCCCCATCGGCCCCGAGGCCCTTCGCCTCCTCGACCGCGGTCGCGATGCTGCTGAGCTGGGCACGCTCGCGCAGGATGATTTCCTCGCGCTCGCCGTTGAGCAGGGTGACGAACGGCTGTGTCCATCGTTCGCCGATGGGGAAATTGAACTTCAGTTTCTGCTTCGGAGTGCGATCCGCGTGCCGGAATACGGTCACGTTCGCCTTGAGAAGCCAGGTCGGCTCCTCCACGGTCGCCTCCGCAGCTGGCAGCGGGCGCTCTGGTGAGGCGGCTACCCTGAGACAAAGGGATGCAAGTATTTCTGCTGTACGATCTGCAAGGCACCGGTGAGAAATCATGTCGGGGTTTGCACGTCGTGGCATAAGACAGGCGAGGAGATTGGACTGGGGAATGGGACGATGGTCAGGTGCTTACCATAGTAGGTATCGTTGCCCTTAACGAAGCTCCAGCCGTTCACGTCGATGACTTGACTGCGGCGGCCTCCGTCGCAGCGAAGCATATCAAAACCGCAGACCATTTGTCCGAACCCGTCGCTGATGCGAGCCGCCCACTCCTTCTCCTCATCGTTCAAATGCGTAATGAACCTACGACCCTTCAGTCAGCCGGTGTCATCATGATGAGTATTTCAGAAAGGTATGTTTACCGAATCTCCTTGCCCTCCGTATTGCGTCTGACGACGCCGTCGACAAAGGGGGACTTGCGGGTCTCCGCGTGGGTATAGTCGTGTCCGACCGTGTAAACCTTGATGTCTTCCGAGTTATCGACATCTACGAACTTCTCATAGATGTAGGACCCGTCCGTCCTAGGGAAGTTTAGTTGAGGGTCGAGCTCGCTCGACTTGTTTCCGACCTATATAGCCACAAGATCGGACCAGGTCAGCTTGAGAACAGCCCGGCCGCACTTGGATCCGGACGGACCTTCCGAAACAGTCGCCTACCACCGCCACCACGGAAATATATGTAGACGTTGTGGTCCTCGCCGCTCACAGGTTTCTCGACGAAGGGCTTTTCCATGACTTGCCCGTCTATGATGATCGCATCGCCATCCTCGCGCAGGGTAACCTCGGGTGTGACTTGGAATCCGCCGAGCGTGATGCCGATCTTCTTTTTCATGATATCGCGCAGCTCATCGTCCACCTTAGGGCCGCCATCTCGCGAGACCTCTAGACGACGAGGGGTGGGGACCTTGAGATGGTCGAGGACAGCGCCTACGAGTCTGCGGTCCCAGAGGAGCGCTTGTGGAGGCAGATCGTTGATACAGTAGGGGTGCCGTAACTTGACGTAAGATATAGCCTTGTCCAGGGGAAAGTCGGTCGAGAAAAAGGAGATGAGCACATCACATCGGGGCCAGTTCTCGACATCTGCACGACACCCGTGAGCAAAGTAGACTTGGAACGCAGGAGGGTGGGAAGACCTTCGTCGAGAATGACTTTATCACCGAACACCTTCACTTCTATCGCTCCATTCGACCGTTCCACCAGCCGGGTCAAAATCTCTCGCATCGCCTTTGACCGGGCTTTGACGTCCATGGCACAGATGCCAAGAATGATTGGCGGCCTCGTGGGGTCTGTGATGGCGGAAAGGTCTGAATGAGAGCCATTGGGAGATGGTGTGGAAGACCGCGGGTTGGACGGAAAACGAGGGGAGCGCTCAGGAGAGTGGACGAGAGAGCGAGAGCCGAGTGATGTCATGGTCGCGACAAATGGCCTAAGAAAGACCGTTAAGCTAATCTCTTGAACTTCCAAGCCGAGATGAGAATGTAAGGGAGCAGCAGGAGGGCGGAGGGGACGAGTGGTGGCGGTCGTGTGCGCGAAAACACGGCCAGGCCAAGACCACGAGCAGGAACGCGCTTGCTCCGCAAGGGACGCGGCCATGGGCCGGTTTCACCTTGAAGAATGCTGACTAAGCCGCCGGGAATGCTTAAACGGATCTGAGATAAGTATCAGTCATCCCAAACCTGGAGAGGCATTTGTGCGATGATGCTAGCCAATGACGAGCGCCGCTGTCACGGGCGCCAGCGAAATGCGACATTTTCTGAACCACTCGCGCAGTCCGCCGACAACCGCCCTCCGCGTATGTCGGTTACTTACACCTCCCATGCGCCCTTGATCCCCCGCCATATGTTTGACATTTTATTCTCACCGCTGTCTCCGTCTATTTGACAAATCCGCAATGTCGAGCCCTATATCAGACCGCCGTCGCGTTTCTTCGCGCCGCCCTCGCCCACCCCATCTCGACGCCTTTTCCACAATGGCTTCCGAGGCAAGCGGCATCACGACCACCTTCCTCGTCTCCAACCTCCACTGCGGAAGGTGAGTACCCCATCGTTTCTACGCACCCTGAGAGTCTTACATAACACTCGACTGGTAGTTGTGTCAAAACCATCCAGGATGCCCTCGCGTCGTTATCCCCTCCCCCCTCATCCGTCGACGTGTCCATCGTCACCCAGTCTGTTACCATTCAGCATCCTCGTGCCCTCTCGCCGTCCATGTTGAGAGCCGCAATAGACGAGGCTGGTTTCGATATCCCCGCTACCCCTTCCGAAGAGACTTTGCCTTCGCCGACACTGACGTGGTCGGACAGTCTCGCCGGGCTTGCTGACGTGGTCTCTCCAAAGCGGCAGAAACACATCGACAACTGCGCACAGTGTCGGGCGGAGCACGCTGATGGAAGTCTGCCAGACATAGACGACCTGGAGGTTCGGAGTTAGCTTGTTCTGCTACTGGTCCCGGTTTCTAACCTTGTTTCGATGAACGTGTCAGAATCCTTCGGACAGGCACCCGGACGAGATCAAGTTCCCGTCGGACCTGCCACAGAAGACAAGCGATCAACATGCGCCTCCCACTGCGGCACCACTCCGGCTAACGCTGTCTGTCGGCGGTATGACCTGCGCGTCCTGCACGAGCGCCATCGGCTCGGCGGTCAGTGAGCTTCCAGGGATCTCGGACGTTGTCGTGAACCTGCTGGGGAGTTCCGCCACTCTGACCGTCGCTCATGCGGACGTCGTACCTGAGGTCGTGTCCGCGATTGAGGAAGTCGGATACACTGCGGAGGTGATCAGCCTCGAGCCACTCCAGAATAGTCCTTCGACGAAAAAGCCTTCACGCACAGACAGTCAGCAAGAAGGTCCGGTGCGCGTTGAGCTTTCGGTCGATGGCATGACGTGTGCGTCGTGCGTCACGACTATATTGGGCTTGCTTTCTGGGACTCCGGGGGTGTCGGAGGCGTCAGTCAATCTCCTTGGCAAGTCTGCTACCGCGCTCCTGACAAATCGTGAGCTCGCACCCCAGCTGAAGGAGGCTATCGACGACGCTGGGTACGAAGCGGAAGTCATCAATCTACAACCAACAAACGAGGTTGACGACAAAGACCTCGGCCCTCGGACGGTGTCCTTGCGTGTCAACGGCATGTTTTGTTCGTGAGTGACATTAACATGAGCTTTCCATATTCAAGGCTGACCGAATCATGGTGTACGTAGACATTGCCCTGGCAAGATCATGAGTGCATTGAAGACTCTTGAGCCAGACGTCACTGTCGACAAGCCACTCACCTCGCATACGGAATCCATTCTGACGTTGACGTACACACCGAATCCTCCGGACTTGTCAATTCGCACTGTCATCAAAATCATCGAAGGTGCTGGAGAGCCGGACACGCACTTCACGGCAGCGATTTATTGTCCGCCTTCGCTCGAGGACCGCGCACGCTACATGCAACGTCGCGAGAAGCAGCACATCTTTATCCGGGCCTTGTTCTCCGCCATCGTCGCTATCCCGATGCTCATCATCGGCGTCGTGTACATGACACTCGTGCCGGCTGACAATCATGTCCGCAAGTGGCTCATGGAGCCAATTTGGGCCGGAAACACGTCGAGAGGCGTGTGGGCGATGTTCTTCATGGCGACCCCGGTCATGTTCTACAGCGCGGGAATGTTTCATAGGCGCAGCCTGCGTGAGATTTACGCGCTCTGGAAGAGGAGCAGCCGTACCCCGATCTGGAAGAGGTTCATCCGCTTTGGAAGCATGAATCTTCTGGTACGTCTCTCCCACGCACAGCACTGTGCTGGCATGCGCTGATGCCGTTGTCGTTGTCGCAGGTGTCTAGCGGTGTTTCTGTCGCGTACTTCGCATCCATTGCGCTGCTGGCTCTCTCAGCGTCGCAGTCACGCTCGACGACCGGGCATGGAGACACAACCACTTACTTCGACTCGGTCGTCTTCCTGACGATGTTCTTGTTGGCTGGTGAGTGTAACACGTCAAGAGAGGTTGGCGCTCGATCTGACGTTCCCTTGTTCCTCTTAGGTCGGTTCCTCGAGGCGTTTAGCAAGGGACATACTGCGGACGCTATTACCGCCCTCGGCAAATTGCGCCCGACGTCTGCCTTGCTCGTCGTGTCTGCATCTGAGGCGGCCTCCCTCAGCGAGCTCTCACCTTCTAACTCCTCCAGCGACACTGTTGCTCAGGAGCACGACCCAGAGAAGGGCAACGTGGAGAGCGAAGAGCAGAATCTCGCGTCGAAGCCCGGGACGAAGGTCCAACGCGTCGACGCCGAGCTGCTCGAGGTAGGCGATGTCGTCCGCGTCTTGCACGGCGCGAGCCCGCCGGCCGACGGAACCGTCGTCTCGGGAGACGGCAGCGCGTTCGACGAGAGCTCGCTCACGGGCGAGTCGCGGCTCGTGAAGAAGCAGATCGGCGACAAGGTCTTCCTGGGGACGATCAACAAGGCCGGCGTCGTCGACGTGCGCGTGGACGAGATCGGCGGGCAGACGATGCTGGACCACGTCGTGAAGGTCGTCCGCGAGGGCCAGGCCAGGCGCGCGCCCATTGAGCGGCTCGTGGACATCATCACAGGGTACTTCGTCCCCGTCGTGACTGCCCTGGCGATCGCTACATGGGTCATCTGGCTTGGTCTTGGGCTAGGCGGCGCGCTGCCACAAAGCTATCTCGACATCGACGTTGGGGGTTGGGGTGAGTGCGCGTGTTCCGATTGGTAAGTGCAGCTGTTGATCTTCTCTGACAGCTGTTTGGTCTCTCGAGTTCGCCATCGCTGTCTTCGTAGTCGCGTGCCCGTGCGGTATTGGCCTGGCAGCGCCCACTGCTTTGCTTGTGGGCTCCGGCCTCGCGGCCAAGTTCGGAATTCTCGCACGCGGGGGAGGCGAAGCGTTCCAGGAAGCGGCACAGCTTGATGCCATCGTCTTCGACAAAACTGGCACCCTGACCGAAGGCGGAGACCCCAAGGTCACCGACGCAGAAGTCTTCACAGAGAACACGGGCCTAACTCTTACTCGGAACGAGATCCTAGGGGTCGCCATGGAGATTGAGTCAGCCAGCTCGCATCCGCTCGCTACTGCAATCCGTGGTTACTGTGAGGGGAACGGTGCGAAGCCGCAAACTGGCTCCTCCGTAGAAGAGACGCCTGGGCGTGGTCTGAAGGCCTCGTTTACCTCTTTGAAATGTACTGCAGTCATCGGAAACGAACCTTGGATGGAGCAGCACCACGCGACGGTCGACGGGAGGATCTCAGAGCTCCTCTACTCATGGAAGTCAGAGGGCAAGAGCGTCGTGCTTCTCGCTATTTCTCCCGAGCCTGCGTCCGATTTCAGTATCGTCGCGGCGTTTGCCGTCGCGGATCCCATCCGGCCAGAGGCCAAGGAAGTGCTCTCACGCCTCCAAGCACAAGGACTGGGGACCTGGATGATCTCAGGAGATAACGCGGTCACTGCGAAGGCAGTCGCGCGCTCAGTCGGCATCCTAGAGACGAATGTCATCGCTGAAGTACTCCCGCATCAGAAGGTGAGCATGAGCATGAGCAACGTCCTACTTCTTCGGCCGCTGACGTTCTTTCGTAGGCGGAGAAGATTCAGTGGTTGCAGCAGGTGGGAACAAAGCGACCGACGAACGGGCTGGGCAAGCTATTCAGTCGCCGAAGGCTGAATGAGCGCTGCGTCGTAGCGATGGTCGGCGACGGAATTAACGACGCTCCCGCTCTGACTGCTGCAGACGTAGGCATCGCTATCGGCTCCGGAAGCGACGTGGCGATTTCGAGCGCATCCTTCATCTTGGTGTCGTCAAACCTTCGCAGTCTCCTGACGTTGACGGACTTGTCGCGGACAGTGTTCAATCGTGTGAAGATCAACTTTGTGAGTGAATCTCCCAGATATTCGACTTGAGCTGTCGCGCTGACATGACATTCTTCCCAGTTGTGGGCATCTGTTTATAACCTGGTGATGATTCCCATCGCTGCGGGAGTTGTCTATCCTGCTGGGCACGCTAGACTCTCGCCTGTATGGGCATCGTTAGCCATGGCTCTATCGTAAGTTATACACAATCATCTCGTCTATGTACTTTTCTCACCTACTCTCTACAGGTCTGTATCAGTAGTATGTAGTTCGCTCCTTCTCAGGTTGTACCGCGAGCCCAAGGTCTCTATCGCATCTCAGTGAGCTTTGATTTATGTCCAACATTGCATATCACTTGTTGTGTCCAACTAGACGTCGCCTTCCATCATGCTGTACTAGTACCGTATCATTATACTGTTCATAGCAGTAGTGTACATATACAATGTAATCAAGCACGCGTCTGTTGTTCCTTCCTCATCTTATAGAAGTCCGAGAAAGAAAGCCGGATTCCCAAGAAACGACAATCAAGGTCGGAATGTGTCGCAAGCGCAAGAACGATAACCTGCACGCGTTCAGAAAAAGACATGCCGTAGTCTTTGACACGGGCAAGGATACCAGGGAGCGATTCTTGTGTGTATCTGCCATCCGAACGCCCGTCGATCCGAGTGACTACACCCTGTAGAGTGGATCAGTCTCGGAATGCACAGTCCAGCGAGGAACATTTTCAACTTACCCTCGCGGCATCCTTCTCAACGTCCCGTCTTGCCGACTCCGATAGACAGTAGTTGTATAGATCGTCCTGGCATCATGTCAATATGTTTCGATAAGTTTGCCGATGTCATCCCCTCACCGTAGCCTCGCGGAATTGCAGGATAAGCGTGAACACATCCCGGACCTGGTTGAGGAGGTTCTCCTCTTTGCCAGCCTTCGGACTGAGCAAGAGCACTTTCTTAACCATACGGTCTAAGTACGCTCTGTGGTTCTCGATGAGAGCATCAAGGTCCCCTTCCTTCTTCTGGATGAAGTTGTGAAGTTGCTGCCAGGAACACTCAATGACCTCGAGGTGGCAGTATGCTTGGAGTTGCCGGATGAAGTGGATCATCTCGGCCATCACGAGCCGGACTTGATGCCAGTCGTACTCCAACTCTACAGTTCAATGAATGAAAGATTCGTTAGCTTACTAGCCTTGAGAGTGTATGCATGCATCCGGCACTTACCTGGTATCTGGAGGAAAGTCTTTGCACCGCCGGCGATCCGCATCCAGCCTGCATTGAGCGTACTCTCTACGCGCTTGATCCTCCATAGGTGGTTGAACAGCTTGAGGTACTCGACCATCGCTGTCGGGTCGAGCACCGTGTCGATCGGTGCGTCGATCTTGTATTCGAGCGTGAAGACATCCCAGCCGATCTCTCCGTGAGAATATTCGAGCATCCGTGCATCGAGCCGGCGAAGGACGTCTGGCGAGTCGTTTTGTGCGTTGGACGACCGGAGGGCGGATTCGAGCGTCGCAGTGAGGTTGTGGCGGTACAGAGCGTTCGCAGGACGGGACAAGCTGGGCCTATGACGCTGTGTCAGAAGCATTGGCAAGGCACGAAGACAAGTGACATACCCGAGGGTATCCATCAACTGCTCCACGAAGTCACCGTACCCCAACAAGAGGTAGTGCTTCAATGCAGATAGGTGGTCTAGCAATCGGTACTTCTCGAAGAACACGTCGAACAAGCGCTGGCTTGCAATTTGGTACGCGGTGTCGATCGAGCGCTCCAAGCCCACGATGTCGCTGTACTGCAAAACTAGGAAACACGTGAACGAACGGCGCGGCGACCTGTCTCGCGATAGCCACTCACTACCACCTGTGTTGCTGAGCTTCTCTCGTGTGGCGACCCAGTCGCTATCGTGACAACTGTACCGAATGAAGTTCAAACTCTTTCCTGTGGAGAAGATCTAGGACAGTATGGATATGACAGCCGCAATGCCTGACCAAAAAAGTGTTTACCTTGCGTCCAAATGCCTCCCCAACAAAAGCAGGAAGCATATCCTGTTGGAACTGATACTTTTGCTCCCACAGCTGAAGGCCGCCCGCACGTTCCTCGGAAACGTCTTCCACATCACCTCCAGCGAAGCCTCCATCGCTCGCAAGCTGTCCCACCCCTTGCGATGAGGGTTGCATGTATTGCAGGTGAGCCAGTTCCGGGTCAACCGCGACGAAGAATTCGGAGAAAGGGTCGTGTAGCTCTCCGGAGAACAGCCACTTGTGTAGTGTAGCGAAGAACGGTTTTGAGACCTAGACATAATGTGAGATGGTCGGACCGCCGAACAATCGAGCCATACGGACCTCCTCGAGTAACTGGTTCGTGAATTTGCGAATGAACGGGTCACCGTTTTCTGCGTAACCGTGAATGAGATTGACCAAGGCTCCGCCATGCGCATCTGAATGAGCCGCATTAGCTGTACAATCCTACACGCGGACGGGAGGGGGTTCACCTTTGGCACCCTCCACACAGACGCTCATCATCCGCATTCGCAGCCTCCAGTCCTCTATCCACACGTCCAGTCGCTTCAGTGTCAGACCGGCCTCTTCTTCTCGTGGGCGCTCATCCTCAACACCGTTCGCGCGACCGAGATCATCTGTATGCGACCCTGTAGCCATCTGCGACTCCAGGACGGCGATGAGCCTGTAATACTCGGTAAGCTGTGTTTGCAGGTGGTGGCAGAGACTCTGCTCGATCATGCCGACCCCGACCCTCCCTTCTCGTTCGCGCACAAAGGAATCCACGCGCTGATATAGGTGGCCGACTTCTGCCAGTCGATGTATCAGTGCTCGAGTGGGAGCAGGTATGTAGTATCGCTTGCATGAATGTAAGAGTCATTCAGGACGGCCTTTGCAGGGAATTGGCTTACGGGGTCCTCCACGAATACTAGCTCCTTGTTCTGGTCGGAGTCCCTTGACACGGAAAACCGGACGTATTTCCCCGATATTCCTTGCAGAAGGTAGAGAGTATCGCGTAGGATGAGATGTTCGGGTATATGTGGTTGACCTACGAGGCATGAGGCGTTCATGCTTTCCTCGAGATCGAGGGATACGAACCTATGGATATGCGATACTCTCGGAGCAAATCAGCCTTGGACTTCCCGTTTGGCCCTTTCTGTGAAGGACGTGGTTCAACAGGAGTAGCTGCCTTTGAAGTAAGTCGTGATGGAGGAGGTGGGGCTAGTGAAGGTAGAAAGGTAGATGACAAGGGAGTAGGTGCCGGTGTGGAGGCAAGGGAGTATAGGAATTGGAGGGAGGCATGTTTCCTGCTCAGCACAGGCTTTACGATAGCATTTTAGCCAGTGATCGACGACGTCGAGGACGCGCTCAAACCTGTTCCAGTATTCTTGACAGCAAGTTGGTGAAACGGAGGGTGCTCGAGCCGCCCGGAGTTGTCTGCAGAACTGAGGTTTGTTCAAGTGAGCCCAACACACAAGATGAGCGAGGGTACCGACGATGACGCTTGATCAGATCTGCCAAGTGCCCTATGTCCTTCTCAACGCTCTGTCCTATATGGCTATCCACGGATGTGAGCCTTTGACGCGTCTCTCGGACGGTGGGCTTGAAGGTGGTTCAAGCTCCCGCGCGAGGTCTATCCGGAATGAACGGCATTACCTGTTCAATATCTCTTCACAGTGGGCCACAAGCTGGCGTTTCATCCTGTCATCCTGTCGCGCGGCAGGGACGAGGGAGTATACAAGAGATTCAAGTGCAGCTGACATGGGGGAGCATGGTCAAGTGTGGCTGCAGTCGCGCGCAGACGCGACGCGCGACTACTGTGGCCGAAGCCACCCACGCGTTTACTGACCTCAAAGTGCAGTCAACCCTCGGATCGCATTCCCTGTCCATCGTATTGGATGCAGGTGAGAAGAATACATGCAGCATACTAGTCAAATTCCGAGTACCACGCCCATGAGCGAGATTCATTACTCAATTGCGCACGAGCCACTCCATGACCTCGATATAAAGCGCCCGACTTCATGCAGTGAGACCACAAACGATCCGAAATGAGTACACCTTGGGCTGAGGTTGGTAGCTCGGGTCGGCGGCTTGGGGACAGCACGGATACCATGTACGTATGAGGGTCAATATGATGCACGGAGAGACCGGGAGTAAAATGATCGCGTGTAGATGGGCGGCGGGAGAGAGCAGGGTTCCCGAAGCGGTCGTCATCGGTCTCGGGCACTCAATCAGCTTACCCTCCGCCCCGACAGTCTCTGCTTTGCGCCCACCAGAAGTGCTCCCTCTCCGACTGACCGTTCCTGCGACCACACTGTCACCCTTACGCTTACTTTCATTCCTGCCTCCACTATTCCCTGCTGGGCATAGCCCAGGCTTCCTCACGACCTTCACGACCACACTACGAGCATGGAGCGGTCCGATTCCACTGCCTCGAATGGCTCCGTGAGGCCGAGGCACAACTCTGCTCTGCAGGGATACCAGATGGCTTTGCTTGAACGGACATCTTCTCGTGGTGGAACTCTAACTCGGGCGAGCTCGCAATCGAGACCTAATCTCTTAGCCACACCCACTGGAAATTCGGCAACTGGAAACTCTACGCCTAACGCTACGAGACGATGGATACCATCTCATCGCGTAGGTGGCAGCTTGGACATCAGTGCTGTCCGGGGCAAGTGGGAGGAGCGTACCAGGGCTGCTGAAGGTGCGGAATCTGAGAGCCGTCCACTCTCCACAGATCGTCTTGCGACCAGAACGCGATCGGATGGACCGACCGCCTCTCCAACCCGATCTTTGGTAGACAGTACATCGTGGTCGCGTTCTACCGACAGGTTCGCCTTTCCCCCTGCATCCCCGGCGCGAAGCGAGACACTTCCGTCGTCCGAGTACTCGCCCACTCCCCCGTCTAAGCGGCATACATTGCCTGCTCCCATCATCGCATCCCCTTTGTCCCCAAACTCTACAGGCGTAACAGTTGAGCTGCCTGACTCCCCGAGCTCCATTGGCTTCTCTCCTCCGGCGCCACAACGGATTCATCTTCCTGTGTCTACGCCGCTGCAGTCTTCGTCTATTGCAGCTCTGCGGAATCTCAGCTCGTACACACAGACCTCGGACGTCCCAGTCTACACGTCCCCATCGCGATTGCACCGCTCAAATACTCTGGAGAGTATCCATCCCAACTCTACCGGCTCGTCCGTCTCATCTGAGAACTCCGCTCGTTCAGTGACCACCTCGCAGACAACGGTACCCAATTCCCCAGAAGCGTCTTCCGCAGGGTACCGACGTCGACCACTGTCATTGTATGGCGACCGAGACCGCGAAACCACGCCAACCCCGGCTACTCCAGACAGGATCTCACGTCGCCCGCTCTCCAGCCTGGGAATGTCCCGCACGACTTCGCGTTCTCCAGACAAGCGACCAGGTTCTACGAGCGTTCCCCCATCGCCGTCCTCCGCTTCTTCCGCCGCTTCTTCCTCCAGCCCCATGTTCCCTTCGCAGTACCGGAGCTCATACTTGGCCAAGAAGCGTGGGCTCGATCACCTAGGTACCGGGCAGTCTGTCCGCCGACTTGAGCGTATAGCGAGCGGCGATGCGTCAGACGACTGGCTCGACAATACCATTCCAACAGAGGAGCTTCCGCCTCCCACCCCCGAGAAGGACAGATTCGACCGCCGTGAAGAGAGGCCACTACGAGCGCGAGACGGCTGGAGGCAGGCTTCTCCAGAGCGCCTACCTGCCCCAGAATTCAAGCCGGAAGTCAAGCCCTCGCCCCGGCAAGAGCTGGTGATACCTGGTGTTACCAATGCAGATGATGTCGTAGGTGTACCGCGGCGGAAGAGGCTGCTGCGGGACACCATACCGGGCAACGCGCCGTTGCCCTCCTCTCGTCTCACCAGGGGCTTGTGGGCGGACGTTCAGAGGCACCTCATCCAAGCCTATGAATACCTGTGTCACGTCGGTGAAGCCAAGGAGTGGATCGAGGGTTGCTTGGGAGAGGAGCTGCCGTACGGAGTCGTGGAGATGGAGGAGCAGTTGAGGAACGGAATCGCGCTTGCGAAGTTGGTCCGTGTGTTCCAGGGTGAAGGCGCTGTTCGCAGGATCTATGAAGTACGCCCAAAAACATTGAACTTGATGAGAGTGCCCTATTAAATGTTATCGAAGGCACCTAAACTGGACTTCAGGCACTCTGATAACATCAACCACTTCTTCGTCTTCGTCCGCCATGTCGGTCTCCCAGAGGTATGTTGTACCTTGATTTGCATGGTGGTCGCAACATTGACGTTGTGTCTGCAGGGATTTATCTTCGAGTTGACAGATCTGTACGAAAAGAAGAACTTCCCGAAGGTCGTCTACTGCATCCACGCCCTCAGGTCAGTCTCTCCCATCACTTGCGCAAGTAACAGCCTGCTGAGCTATTTTGCAGTCATCTTCTTGCTCGCCGCGGTCTCGCACGACGGATCGGTAATTTGGTTGGGCAGCTACAATTCTCTGACGATCAACTACAGAAGACGCAGAAAGGGCTGAAAGAGGCAGGCGTTCCCATGCCCAACTTCGGGAATGTCGGACGGGAGCTTGCCAAGGAGATCAACGAGGAACCTGAAGAGGAATCGGAGACTGAGGACGAGCGTGAGTCCTTCGCTGCGTCTTCCTGTGCAATCAAACTAAGTTCATTCGTCAGGTCGCGACCGCCTGTTACTCGAGTGCGAAGATTCCATCATCGCACTGCAGGCTGCAGCACGTGCCTTCCTTGTTCGTAAAGACCAGGTCACCCAGCGCGCGCGCATGCGGCTCGCAGAACGCTACGTGCCGAAGGTACAAGCCATCGCTCGGGCCGCTCTCGTCCGCAAGCAGCTGCGACAAGACCGCGAGCAGCGTCGCGACCTCACGCCTTTCATCCATGCCTTGCAGGCTCAAGCTCGCGGCGTGCTCCTTCGGAGGCAGTGGAAGCAGCATCTGCGTCGGGTCAAGTCTGTCGCTCCGTACATTGTGAAGGTCCAAGCACAAGCTCGTGGGGTTCTTATCCGGCGCAAGTTCCAGAAGCTCAAGGCTGCCATCCGGGGCTGCAAAGTCTCCGTTGTCCAGCTGCAGTCCGTCGCTCGTGCTCGCATAGCCCAGCGTAGCCACAAGGAGATCGCGAAATCCTTCGCGAAGCCCGTGGTTTTGGACAACATCGTCGCGCTCCAGGCTCACGCGCGCGGCGCCCTCACACGCGCTCGTCTAACCCGCCAGGATCGGCAGTTGGCACGCGCCGAGTCCGGCGTTGTCGGTTTACAGGCTCAAATTCGGGGTGTGCTTGTACGGAGACAGGTCCATACACAGCTAGCGAAGTTGGATGATATCACCAACATCATCGTTCGCATCCAAGCCGCTGCGAGGACTTACATTGCCCGGAAGCGACTCCTTAACCTCATCCGCAGCCTTCGCAAGGCAACTCCTGCGCTTATCGGTCTTCAAGCTATCGCTCGTGCGAAGCTTGCCCGTCAGCAGCATGCCGCTATGCACAAGGCGCTCTCCGAGGTCAAGGTTGTCAAGGCCGTCGGTGGGTTCCAGGCTCGTGCGCGCGCAGCACTCGCTCGCTCTCGCCATCAGGAGCAGCAGAAGCGCCTTGAGTTTGTCGAGCCAGACGTCGCGGGCTTCCAGGCCGTCGCCCGTGGCTACCTCGTTCGTCGAGAGTGGAACGCGTGGCGCGACTTCCTCCGGAGCAGTCACCCGCAGGCGACCATCCTGCAGGCGTTACTCCGCGGCGCGATGCAGCGCAAGAAGTTCCGCACGAAGATGCAGTACTACCGCTCGAATCTCGACAAGATCGTTCAGATCCAGTCCCTCTTCCGTGCTAAGGAGACCCGGGAGCAGTACAGGCAGCTCACCCTCGGTACAAACGTCAGCGTCGGCACCATCAAGAACTTCGTCCATCTGCTCGACGACTCCGAGGCGGACTTCCAGGAGGAGATCAAGGTTGAGCGTTTGCGTCAAGAGGTCGTCAAGCGCATTCGTGAGAACCAGGCGCTGGAACACGACGTCAGCGAGCTTGATGTCAAGATTGCCCTTGTCGTGCAGAACGTGAAGAACTTCGAGGAGCTTGTGAAGGCTAGGCGCCGTCTGGGTACCGATAGTGCCGCTATTCATGCCGCGCGTGCATCCGTCCTTGCTGCCCACGGTGATCCTTTCGCGAGCCCTAGTACTCTGGATCGGACGGCCAAGCGCAAGCTGGAGTTGTACCAACAATTGTTCTACCTGCTTCAAACAGACGGCAGGTACCTGACGCAATTGCTCACGAGCATGGCCGCTGAAGATAACTGGGAGAAGAACCGCCGCATGATCGAGCGAGTCACTCTCGCCCTCTTTGGTTATGGCCAGGCAGCGCGGGAAGAGTATCTTATGCTCAGGTTCTTTCAGGTAAGAAGCTATTTAACGTTCCTCGTGTCCTCGCGCTCACTTGTCTTTGCAGACCGCTATTCAACAAGAAGTATCTGCTGCGAATTCGGTAGACGACATCATCCATGGCCACCCTACATTCATCAACGTCGCCGTCCATTATTTGCGGCCCAAGCAGACCACTTACATTCGGGATACCCTTCAAGGCGTGATCCGTGAGGTAGTCAACGCTGACGATCTGGACCTCGAGACCGACCCTTCGGTGGTAAGTGGTGGTCTACTCGGTCGATGTGACGCTCCTCATCAACTTCGTATTCTAGATATACCGTTTGCGCAGGGACATTGAGGAAATGAGGGCTGGCGCAGCTGGTAGTAAAGCCAAGGACATTCCGTTCCATCAGGCTCTTCAAGATCCTGATACCCGCGCGACATACATCCGCCGTAAGTTATCCTCAGATGCTAGGGCGTTTGACCCCAACGCTTATACGCGATGCAGATTTGCAAGTTCTTCAGTGGTGGACGGAAGAGTTCGTACGGGCGATCACATCTTCCCTCTCGAAGATGCCGTACGGGATGCGGTATTTGGCTAGAGAGACCCTGAACGCTGTTAAGGTATTTTTCTCTCAATGTCTTGCTTGGAGAAACGCGTTCATTGTTGTGCTCCAGGCCAAGTTCCCTGACGCTCCTGCGGAGGCATGTGCGGCCTGCGTGGCGAGGTTGGTCTATTACCGCTATATCAACCCTGCTATAATGTAGGTGGCTTGGCCTTACTTCTCATATGAGTCCAAAGGCTCACTTCTCTTGCAGCACTCCAGAGACCTTCGACATCGTTTCAACAACGGTCGACATCGCATCGCGCAAGAACCTTGCCCAGATCTCTAGGATGCTTACTCAGATCACGACTGGTTCTGAGTTCAGCGAAGAGCAGTTGGCATATCTCCCTGTCAATGACTATGTTCGCAAAACAATCACGTCCTTTGCAGCGTGGCTTTTGGAAGGTTGGTAACCTCTGCTATAACGCGCTCACTACTCTATTGACCGCTTGTAGTTGCTAATGTCCCTGATGCTGAGACCGAGTTCCATGCCCATGAGTTCCTTGATGCGACTATTCAGCCAAGACCCATCTGGATCTCCCCCAACGAGGTGTACTCTATGCACAGGTTCCTGTCCCAGTACCTCGACCCCCTGGTATGGTCCACCCTTCCTGCCTCATCGTTACGAAGCTGACAGTACATATAAGGCACCCACAAAGGATGACACCTTGCGAGTCATTCTTGCTGAGCTTGACGGCGTGCCGAACGTCGGTAGCGACGAGTTGAACGAGGCACGAGATACCGCGATTGAACTGCAGCTTTCGAATCGGTTTGCGAGGGTCAGAGGTAGGTTACACACCATATCTGACGACTTCTACTCACATCACAAACAGATCCGCGAGCCGACGAGAAAGCCCTCTGGGTACAGGCAAAGCGGGCTGTTCTAGCTATTCTTCGTGTGCAGCCCGCGAAGGACCTGGTGGAATCGCTCATGCAGCCTGTCACGGACGAGCACGAGTACGTTTGGGAAGGTATCTTGGAGGAGATGGAGCGGGACACGATGCGCCATCAACGACGGATGCCATCGACTCATGGCGGAGACGCTGCTTATCGCTTGGAAGACATCAGATCGTATGTATCCTTCCCGATACGTGTGCTTGTGCTGACTTTCGATCGCAGTATGACGTTCCGCGAAGTCAAGGCGCATGCAATTTACTTCCTTCTCGAGCTAGAGAAGCAAGGCAGAATCACGCGTATGGATGGGTATCAGGGTATCCTCAACGCCATTGCAGGCGATGTTCGTAGCAAGAATCGCCGAAGGGTGCAGCGTTTGCACGAAAAAGAGAGCCTAGAGGAATCGCTCAAGCACCTTGCGGAGCGAAAGAAGTACTTTGAGGAACAGATCAAGCAGTACCACGATTACGTCGAGACGGCCATGAATACGATGCAACGTGGCAAGGGGTCGGTTCCCGCTTCAGTATCGTCTCAGTAGACAGTACTGACAGTATTTTTCTTTCACAGCAAACGACGTCTCCTCCCGTTCACCCAACAGTATTTCCACATGCGCGAGCTCCAGAAGGCCGGCAAGATGCCTCAGTTTGGCTCCTTCAAGTACTCTGCGCAGCGTTTCTACGACAAGGGTATTCTACTCTCTATCGAGAATTATTCGCCTCGTCAGTTCGACAAGCTGGATATCGTCATATCATCCAACGCGGTCGGCGTATTCACCTTCGAAATCTTCAATCACGCACTTGGCATCACAAATCGTATGGCTACCCAGGACATCAAGATGGAAGACCTCTTGCAGGCTCAGTTCGAAGATCGTGCTTCCTTGTCCTTGTTCAACGGTCTTGCCAAATTCAACCTGAATCTATTATTATGGCAGATCAACAAGAAGTGAGTGCACAACATCGCACCGATGCTAAAAGCGTTAACTGTGTCTCTAGGTTCTACCGCTAGTAGCTCTGTGAAAGTGCTTTGCTGCCGTTGCTATCATTTACGACTCGTCATGACCTCATGGCTACTCTATACGCCTCATTATTGTAGTGACTCACATACTCACTTGTACTGCTACGCAAGAGCGCACCTCGATGTATCATGACATCTTCCCTCTGTCCCAAGACTCGCTTTGTCATTACTGCAATACATTCTTCCATCTGTCAGCTAACATGCAAAGACGTCGATGGTCCATTTGTCGAGATAGGTGATGTAGCTTTATCGTCCAGTGTCCATTGGCTTGCTCGTTGAAAAGGGCAAATTCATTCATTCATAACAGCTGACCACGATCCAGACTGCCGAGCTTGCCAGCAGTGCCGACAATAGCAAATATTTTCCTCCGCGGATGACCTGTCGGGGGCTGACCATTATGCTACAGAGCAGTCAGCCTTCAGCTGCAGTGCTTATTAAGAGCTCCAACTTCTTCCTTCTCTTCATCCTATCCTCCCCATGACTTGTCTCTTACCCTCGCCTAATTCCTCCTGTGAATGGTTCCAACTTCTGGTCGGCATCAATACATTGCTCACAACAGCCCCGGGCCCCTCAGCTGCTCGCTGTCCCCGCTCCGACATACGGCCGTGCCGGACCTCGTCAAGATGCGTCTCCGCCGTGGCCCCTCCCCAGTTCTTCGCTGACTGCGTCCAACGACCCGGGGCGAGGGCACCCGACGTGATTCGCCGGGCTTCGTGCACGTCAAGGAGCAGGTAAGACTTCTGTTCCCGAGGGAGGGACTTCGGTCCTGGCGCAGACCTTTTCGTGGTCCTCGGGATGAGTACCCTCTCACCAGGGAGGGGAAACCAACATGCGCTTTCACAAGGTGTGTCCGTAATGCCGTGCACTTTGGCAGTATTCGTCGACGGCTTCAGAGCCGATCTTCCCCATGTAGATTATATCATGATCGCTCTTGTGCATTCGAATCCGAGCACCGTCCGCACTGCGAATTGGGCAGTCCTTCCAACGTTTTGGTGTTTGAGCTCTGAATTAGTCCTGCGCGCCCTGTTCGTCGCCAAGGATAGGGAGGGGCTTCTCATCGAGTCCCGCCCGTAAGCCATGCCATTATGTGACTCACCAAACACGACAAAGTCATCTTTTCGACATGTCGGGGTCTGGCAAATCCACAGCATCCTGATCCCAGTTTACTCGCCTTGCTATGCTGTTGCTGTTTCTTGCAGCCATGCTCCGTGGCTACGCCGGACACGTATAGAGGTGTATTCATATTCCTAACGAAACTCTTCCTTTCGACAACCACACCGAGTATCCAAGTAGCTGTCAATGTGAGAGCTTCTGTGGTGCGGACAAGAGCTCGCTGTCAATGATGCTATGCGGATACCATGCTTCATGTCCACTGTACTGACAGAGTGGTCGATCAAGCACAACACACACCCCTCTCATGGAACGCGGACAGCCCCAATATGAGACTCGTTCGATCCGTACGATTGATCTAGTAAGACAAGGAAAGTCAGCCACTAATCAGGGATATTTGACAGAGAGAGCCTCGAGCTCCCTTCGCGTGCCCAAGGCGCGCGACTTTTTGACCGCACCGTGTTGGGCCGCGCAGCGGCCCGTAAACCGGGCTTCATCCGACTATCGCTCCTAGCGCAGCTCAATCATACATCGATGTTGCTGAGACTGGCTGCTTGCTAAATCCTGACAGAAGACATCGCATATGGAAGTCTGCACACTAGAACGAATTTCACGGATTGTATGGCAACCTATCCTTTCTCGATGCATCTGACTTTTGTTTCCGTACAGTCGACTTGGCATTGTCATCCCGATAGCTGACAAACCCGGCAGCATGTTTCTGGCAACGACCTACACTCTTGCGCCTTGTGGCCGGATTCCTCTCAGCTCACGTGGAAGGACATATAAAGAGAGACTCACTCACTGATCTGACTGCTCTCAGCCGTAGCTCGATACGCCCGTACAAGCATCATGCCCGGCCTCCTCTTCGTCTTCTCAGAGCCCGGCCCAGCCGTCTCCGAAGCTGAGTTCAACGACTGGTACGATAACGAGCACGTCCCCTTACGTCTTCCCGTCCCCGCCTTTCTATCCTGGTCTCGTTACGTCGCCACGGACGACAAGAAACCCTCTTACCTCGCTCTCTACGACCTCACCCACCCAAACGCGATCAATGAGCCCCCCTACTCGACCCTCGCAGACACCCGCTCCGACCGCGAGAAGGACATCATCTCCCGCCTCGCCGTCCTCGACCGCCGCTCGTACTCCCTCCACGAGGTCGTGCACCCGCCTCGCGCCGGCGACGCATATGACCCCCGGAAGCCCGGGCCGTACCTCAGCATCGTCCAGATGGACATCCCCGACGAGCTCGTCGACGAGTTCAACAAGTGGTACGACGAGGAGCACATCCCGCTCTTCTCCAAGATCCCGCAGTGGGAGCGGAGCAGGCGCTTCGTCCTACAGGACGCCGGGGCGACGGGCACGGACGAGAGCTTGAAGCCCGAGGGAGGGCGGCCGCAGAGGTTCTTGGCGATCCATGAGTGGTCCGATCCTTCTGCGACTGAGACGGAGCAGTTCAAGGCTGCCCTCGCCACCCCGTGGACGAAGCGGTTTGTTGGGATTGCGACGCGCTTTGAGCGGCGGCTCTTCAAATTCACCCGGAGCTGGGAGAGGCAGTGAGGGCATGATGCACGCTGTGCGACGTCGCAGTCGTGAGTGTCTCAATCGTCGTATCGTCCGACAGTTATCGTTCATCGTAGTACCGACCAGAACAAACCAACACGACTCTTGGTGGGATGAATACGAAGCAGAACCCACATAAAACACCCCCGAACGAAGTTGTTCTCTACCAAGCACGTGTACAAAAGAATCTTCTGTAGCCATATATTCGAGCTGAGTACATTAGCCTTCCAGTTACATGCCTAGAGACCTCCGAACGCTCGATTCGACATGTGGGACATCCGCCCAGCACAGGTTAACCCGTGGCGCCTGCCGACAACGCGTCCTCGCCAAGAGGATGCCCAGCGAACGACGATAGAATCGGTAACAATTAGGTAGGCAGACCCCTCAGCGGGTACAAGGCTCGCGCCTCTGATACGCTCTGGCATAATCCCGGTACTGAACCAACAACAAGAGGCAGATCTCAACAAATGAACAGACGCGAATGATGTACTCCTTCCTGCGGTGGGTGAGGTCTGGCTTGGGAGGACCCTTTGCACCGGCCGCGTCAATCACAGCAATCTCCTCATCCGTCAGCGCGGTTCATGAAGCATCAGGGTGTCTTGTACTGTAGCACTAGACGGACGGAGAGACGCAACTCAGAAATGTCAGCGATGGCGAGCTACTCCTCCAGATGCTCCTTCCTCGAGCTGATTGCGACAATCGAGACACCCTTGCTTGTGACCCACAACAGAAGAATTCGAGTAGGCGTGGCGTCATCCAAGATTAAGCCACGCTCGTCAGAGCGGCTTCTCTTCAGGGTTTCGGGTACCTTCGCTCTCGCGACCACCCGCTCGTGTGTCTGAGGGAGGAGGGAAACCCAAAATGCGGCGCTCTCTTGAGGGACGTTCTTGGATGGCTCGACTTCCGGAGCCGCTGTCTCCAGGACTATATACACCAGCACCATTACCACCTCTCTCGCGATACTAGTTCATCCCACATCATGCAGACAGTTTCGGACGAGCCAGTAACGTGACCGCGGCTACACTCATGAAAGGCGACGTTAGTATTGCGACATATTCTCTTGCCGTTTCATGGACGAACTCGTGAGCCAATGGCTTCTCCTACACGGTCAAGCTTGCAATAAGTACTCTTGTTTTGACATCTGCGACTGGTCCCAGGCCAGGCGTTCCCATAGCCTCAATAAAGCCGTCAGCTCGTTATCATACACGATACACGGTCCTATTATTGTACACTGAAACATTGCTCTCAGACGCTTCTCATATTCGTAATTATATCGTAAAGCGGAACTCAGGGTGCCGGTCCCCTATGGGTGCACGAGTCTTCCCCGATTCCCACAGTTCCTGATATCTCACCAAATTCTCTTGCCTGCGGCCCTCCGCACGAGCCTTGTTCTCCCACCTGCAGTACATCCTGGGAAGGCGTGAACGGGCGGCGGCCATAGCAAACAAGAATAGGGGGCTTACACGTTGCAAAATATAGCCAGCCAGGCGACGCAAACGAAGCCAAGAACGATGCTATGGCCGCGGATGTATGTCGGGGCTTGAGAAGAGTCGTAGGCAAAAGTGGCTACGAAACCGCTGATCGCGAAACAAGTTGCGTGAGAGCGAGCGGCGGCACCGAGAAGAGACCCACGGCGTACCCGCAATTGGCAAGTCCTAACTGAAGTGCGACCGTCGTCGCTTTCTTATAGTGTCCTGCGCTATTATTTGGTAGGATAGATAGGATGCACGGTCCGCAAGGGTATCTTGAGAAGGTATCGTCAACATCAGCCGTGACTGAACGGGCCTCAAGAGACATACATTCCCGCGGCCATCAGAAACACTATCCGTTCATGAGTTGGTTATATATGTCAAGCAGCGGAATCGACACATACCTGCAGCATAGCGCTGTACATTGTTCTATATGGTGCTGAGCGTCAACATCGATCTCATCGCCATAACAGACCGCTCACCTGTGCGGCGATGGCAAGGATGTACCCTAGTGATTGGTAGGTTAGCTGCTGGCAACGAGGCTATGATGGTGAGGAACTCGCCTGCAATGCTTATCGGCAAGAACATGAGGATGAAGGGACCTCTCCATTTGAGTTTGTCACTAGCAACGGCTACTACGACCGTGAGAACCACAGCCGGGACGTATGGCGGGACTGGAGAGAAAATGAATTTGCGTACAACCTGAGAGACCAGGACAACCAACCTGTGTGCAGCTGAGCTCTGCCCCCAGCATACCCGAGTCCGGCAACAATGGTGGGCCTAAGTAACGATGTCAGATTGAGGGCTTGCGGACGATGGTAACAGCTTACAAGAAGAGAGAGAACGAGTACAAGCTGACAATGATGCCCATGTACGCTAGGGCAGTCATCCAGACTTGAGGATCCTTGACACCTATAATTGCGTACTCCTTTGAACAACTCTTCGTTAATGGGGAGGAAGTTGGCAAACCTCGCAGGACCTCGCCCCATTCGAAGCTCTCATCCTCTGCAACAATGGCTTCCACCATGTGCACTTCCAGCTTAGACTGGGTAGCCTTTGCAAGATCGCCACTTGCGCCAATGATACGCTGAGACGGTTCAGAGAGTGGCGCGGTGGTGGTGACCCCAAATGATGTGAGCAGACGATTCACTGTGGAAGTATGAGCATGGATACCTTAGCGCCAATAAAATGTAATATCGTATTTAGCTTACTTGCAAACTCGCGCTCTTCGTCCGTGAAGAATTTCGCCGATTTGATATCCGCAGGTAGGAAGAGCATGGACGTGAGCGCAATAATGACCGTGGCGATGCCCTCTAGGATGAATATCCATCTCCAGCCAGACTGACCTGCGATACCGTCCATCTTGAGGATCGCAGTAGCCAGCAGACCTAGAGGTGACATATTTTGACATGAGTGCAAGGAGATGACGGAGAGCGTGCGTACCTCCGAAAGCTCCGGATAACGATGCAGAAGCATAGAAGATGCCGACACTTCGGTAAACTCAGCGCTCAGGTACAATATCGACCGAATTGAAACAGAAAATCTCTCACCGCTGCTGGAGTTCATGCGGCTTGTACAATGTACTCAAATAGAGCATCTGGTGACATTGTTAGAATATGACGTCCCGCCGTAGAAGTGTTTAGTCTACCCACGATGCCGGGCAAAAGGCCTCCTTCACACAAGCCTAGGAAGAACCGTATAGCCACTAGACCGCTGTAGTTCTGCACCAGGCCGGTCATGGTTGTCACTGTACCCCAAAGGGTTACAAGGAATGGAAGCCATCGACTGGGTTTGAATTTCTTGAGCACCCAATTGGACGCTGCGAAGCTGTATAAGAGTTGTGGTACACAAAACACCTGTTTGAAAGGCTTACGCAGCTCAACGATGATATATGAGACATAGAAGACTAGAGATATCAGCGACGAGAGGAGATCATCCAAGTCCCAAGACTGCTTACTGGCGAGCGCCGTATTGAACTCGTTGCCCTGAAGATGAGTGTCCCGTTCTAGCCCGGCAATTCTGGCATCGGTCGATAAGCGCAAGATTTATGCTATAAGCCGTTTATGCAGGCTCACCTTGCATTTCCGATGTTGGTTCTGTCGATGAAGTTGGCGAGCCACAACTAGGCGACAGTTTAGGAGGTTAGTTGCGCGATCTGTGATTAATGCAGGTAAACGCACAAAGGCTAACGGTGGGAGGACATGTATATCCAACTTCCATAAGACGCGGCTTGTGAGTTTCCGTTCGCGTTGTTCGAGCTCCTCTATGGGCATGTTGGCAGGATATGTTCAGAGCTTGGGCTCGTCCAACAAGGCAGGACTGAGACGAGCGGCAGAGCAGCCTAGCAAGGTGGAGGACAGGGAGAAGACCAAACGCTGCTCACTCCCATTACCCCGCGATATATCTACGGATTACTTCTGTCTAGAAGGTTTGACCCGTCAGGGACTTAGGCACGGATCCCAGGATTATCTCGTCATATACCCATCGAGCAAGAAGAATTCGACGGCCTTGGATGTCAGCCGTGGCTTTGGGGTGGGTCACAAGTGCGGAACCAGAATCTGGATCTTGATGTTAGCGAACCTAAACTACCGCGTACGAGCGTTACACGACGAGCGCACCTATTTTAGAGCCTCAGCTGATCATGTTGCGGCGAAACGCCTCAATCGCCCCGCGGACAAATGAAGCACAACGGTATCAGAGACAGGCGTGCGCCGAGACAACGGGACGACGCGCTGCAACAGATGAGACTTAGTCGCACGTCTGCGCTGGCAGTCGACTCTCCAGGCCCCTCAGGCGATTTAGGAACGACAGAGCCGGTATCTGAGCAAAGTCTCCTATCTATTCAGATGTATGGAGGCTTCGTGTCGACATGGATGGAACCACAAGACGGGCTGATCAGGGTAAGTACTATACTATTGGCAAAGAACCAGGGGATCAGCGTACCGACTTATGTATTATGTGGCGGCAAATTCTGGAATTCATAGCCAGGCGCCATTCTTGCGAGATATCCTGGTCCGAAACGGAGGATTGCTGAATCACATCCAGTCATATAACGGCATGGGGCGAAGTAGCCTGGAGGCAACAAGCACGCGTGTGGGACTTCGCTGCCACCCCAAGGCGTCTATCTGGAAGCAATTGGGACAGTACTCATGGCGCGTTACAGTACTTAGCGGCTAAAGTCCATAGTGCAGTCCACTGGCACTTCAAGTTCATTTAGTAACGAGTCAAAAGGTACGAGAAAGATGGAACGCGATTGAAACCGTCATTAGGTACAGGGTATCTACAAGCTGGAAGGCATGGTTCAAAGCACATTGATGTCCCTATAACTTCCTGAGAGTCCGCGCTTACGTTAAGAATAGCTGCGATTTACGATACATGAACGGATGTGTCGGATATGGTCCCAATGAACGCGGAGAATCCATGGCCCAGGATGAGCGTGTGCGTGCGCGCGACGTTCACAAATCAGTCTTGTCCGTCATCTTGATCTCCTTCTCGATCCCACCAATCTGGTGGATGTGCGACACGAGCGATGTGAGCGTGATGGCATTCACTGGGCCCTTCCAGCCGTCTGGCAGCCTCTCCTGCCCAAGCCACTGCTTGAGGTATGACTTTGGCACCACAAGCTTGCCTCCATTCGTAGCAGTCTCGGAGGCCTCCTTAGAACCAGGAACGATGCCGAAGACCTCATAGATGAGGTCGAGCTCGCCTTTCGATACGACGGCGGGCACAGAGCCTATCGGCCGCGAAGCATCTTGGCGCGTTACTTGTGCTTGACAGAGGTCGTGAAGGGTGAGGAAGTCTGAATCGGAGGTGTCGAGGAGCTGATGAAGGAGGTCGGGGTCGACCCGAGTGGGAGCGAAGGTCTCTCCCGGGGCAGTGTCATCGTGGACCAGGGAGCCGTCGTGTTCGATGACGTTGTGCTTCGCTAGGTCATGAAGGTCGAGCTTGCACGACAAGCCATCCCAGTGGCCACATTTCGCCAAACCGCCATACACGAGTGTTTGGGTGAAAGCCGCATCAAGCTTATACTGCTGCTCAATTGCGGTAATCAGCTGCGAGGCAGTCACGTTGCGTCCATCGCGAGGGCTGAGTGGCGGTCGTCAGAAGACCTTTGAAGTAACTTTATGACTTGGGACTCACAGGTAGCCATGGTTGGCTAGTGCATTCAGAGCGGGGCAAGGAGAGCGGCTATCACCAGGAGTCGCCGGCACATAAGGATGGCTATCGTTGACGGGCATGACGGTCGTGATTGGACTGGGGGTATGCTGTAGGAAACTCGGTTGGGGAAACAAGTCGTAGCACAAGGGGTCTTATAGGCATCACTGCCATACTGCGGGGCGAAATGTCCAAGGGCACCAAGCACACGTGTGACATCAAGAGCTTCTCCTCCGGCGCTAGTATGAGCTGAGGCACCTTCGCACGTATCCACAAATGGAGGCATGCGGCACCTTCTCAGGCGCAGCAGACACCGCCATACTCGTCACTCTCGTCATGCGATACCCTCGAATGTCTGCGCCACAAAGGACCGTGAATAATGGAGATGCCATGTACATGCTACGATGGACAGGATCCCTTTTGTCTGGGATGGTCACTTTTCTGGAACATGGACAGAGAGCGTTGGTGCCTGTAATTGTGATAGGTAGTCCTGCAACGGCATCAGTTGACACTGACAAGGTCGCCAGGGGGTTACACGACGAACCCTCAACCACCTCTCTCGTTGTTCGGGGACGTGATCGAATACAAGGTAACGCTTGTCATTCTATATATTCATGAGTCAACCAGTGCCAATGCCGTACAAGATGTTCAATACAACCGACCTTCAGAACCTTGATGATCTCATTCAGGTCCACACTCTTAGCAAGCGCCTTCATATCGACCTGGTCCTCCTCCGTGTCTTCTCCTATATCGTCATATTTGATATTTGCGTCAACCCCCTTCCCACCAATCTTCCCGAGACGTCCCCAGAACTCGACGAAGGAGTTCTCGCTCAACATCTGATCGAACGCGAAGCGCGCTTCGTGAGTCCGTTCCCTCTGCCACTTCTCGTATTCGTGCTCTAGCTGATTGACATCGAAACCGAGCTTCGTTACCGGAAGCGATGACAAAAGCGATGTGACAGGCAGGGTCGTGAACGGCGTATTCAGTCCCTGTGCGTGCGACGCGAACGACGCATGAAGGTTTGTCAAATACTTCTCTCTAAGAGCGTTGACGTGAGCATGAAACAAATGCAATTGTTGGTTGGGAGGCAGTGGCGAGTTGACGAATCGCGGGTCCTTCAGTAACTGCGGTTGGACAGCATCCCAAGAGACCTGCGGAGCATGAGAGGTCAGTTTTCGGCTCTATAATGGGTGGCCGGCATACCTGTGGGTCCCGGATAGCATCGATGAGCATCGTCCTGTGACCCCAACGGATCCATACACATTTAGTGGCGCCAAGTAACGGACGGCCGGGGACTGAATCAACGGGCGCACCTGAACTCTAGTTCACCCTCCTCCTTGGACAGACCAAGCTTGGATCGGTCGATCTCCGCCTCGAGCTTGCTGCGCTCCGCCTTGACCTTCTCTTCACGCTCCTTTACAGCGCGTTCTTTGCGTTCCTTACGCCACCGTTCTCGTTCCTCTTCGTCTTCTTGCACTGTCGGACGGGAGTGACCCTGTTCTGTCGACTCTGGTGACTGGGCCTTCGCGGATGCCTCTGATGCGCCCGCCTTGATGTATGTGTTAAACAGCTCTTCACGTAGCGACGATGACCCCACTGCGTCGTAGCGCGGATCGGAAGTGAGACTCTTCTTGATCTGTAATGGTACCAGTCGAGTCGGCATGAACTGATCACAGCCACATGGACAGCACGTACTTCCTTCCACGCAGCACCTGGCTTCGCCAGTCCGCTTTCTCTGAGCAGTGCAAAAAAGTCAGCTTCCGCCTTCTGTGCTGCGGCTCGTTTTTCTGTGAAGCGATCCTTCAGCGCTGTGCTGTGTGTGCGAGTGACGGTGAGTCTTACGTTCACCGAGCTCCTTCAAATAATCCCTGAAACGCTTCTCGCGTTCCCTATCGTCTCTGCCCCACCCGTAGAAGCGGCGATCCTTCTTCCACTGCCTCCGCCATTCGGTCCAGCTCGTTCGTGTGCTCTTCACCTCCTCCTTTAGCAGACGATCGAACTCTTGCCGTGGATCAAGCATTTCCTTCTCCACTTTCACTTTAGACTGTCTCAGTTCGCGTGCTCGGTCACGACAGTAATCGTCGAATGCCTCGCGTCTGGCAGAGACCGAAGGAAGGAGGACATATCGGGGATCCGAAACGAACAGTGGTAGTGAGGTGTCCCAGGGGTGCAGAGGGTTGATGTCCTTCTCCCTGAGAAGAGTCTGAGAATATCATGCTCAGCAACCGACACTGCCGGTCGCGGCGACACATGTTTCACTCACCTTGAACAACGCCTTCGCTTCGTCGAGTGACAGCTCAACGCGTTCGGGCATGTTCAATTGCGGAGCGCCCTTCTGCTTTTCCGCCTCCTTCAGCTTGCGAGCCTCCTCCTCCTGTCGTTTCTTCTCCTCTTCCTTCCTCCGTTCCTCCTCCAGAGCTTCCGCTGCGAGCTGAGCGGCCGCCTCCCTCTGCCATTCTTCTTCATCACTCTCCTCGTCGTCATCTTCTTCCTCTTCGTCCTCGTCGTCCTCATCCACCTTCGCCTTCTTCGTCACCACAACCTCGTCCACAGGCACAACTTCCTCCGCCTTCCTCTTCCCTACCATGTCGCTGACCTCGCTTTGTATCCTCTCCACCTCCCTTGCCCGCTTCGCTTTCTTCAAAACCTCCTCCCGCTCCAGTTGCTCCACGGCCTCCTTAATCTCATCTGGAACAGTCCAAACACTCCGCTTCTCGGCCGTGTGCGTGTAGAACTTGTTCCCTTCGGTAGTAATTACGCGTAGCCACGGTGTCCCCGGGATGGGGGTCTTCACGAGCGGCTTCTCCTTCTTAGGCTTATTCGCCGCCGCCGCCGCCGCCGCCGCCGCAAATACTGGAGGCACGGCAGCCTGAGGAATGATGGGGAACGCGGGCAAGGGTCGAACGTACGTTGACTCTTGCGTCTGCGCGTTGTAGTAATATGGCTGGCCATTTGGACCTGAGAGTAACCTAACTTAATGGGTATTCGTGCGTGGCAATGTGTGTACACACCGATGTGTTCTGTCCATCCTGGTGGCAGAGGCGGTGGCACAAAGCCCACAGGGGGTAGAGCAGCCATTCCGAGGTCGAGGGTACAAGGATAGGAAGTGATGAAGCGCCTGGAAGCGCACCGTCATGGTCGGCGCTTGAAGCCGCGATAGCCGCAACCACTACTTCCCGTTCTCTTATACACCCTGAACACGACGAGCGAGCCTCACGCGGAGATTGGACAAGCGAGCAAGAGAAACAAGAATAAATTACTATGTACTTCCTTTTGATACATACTGCGCGTAAGACATGCCAGCCGTACACCAGTCCCGAATCATGCCCAATATCCACAAGCATCATATACGGAACCCCTACCCAGCCCCCTCCTACGCTCGCAGCCGACGACCCCCTCAGAGCTCGTCGTGCCTCTTCATCTCGACGGGCACCTGCTTAATCGGGTTCCCAAGCTCGTCCACCTCCTCGACCTCCCACGAGATCTGCCCACGGCCCGTCTCCTCGAACGGATCCGGCTCAGGCTCGTCCGCGTCGGGCGGCAGCTCCGGGTCGACGGGCGGCGCAGGCTTGACGGTCGTGTCCGTCGGCGCGGTCTCCGACACGCCCAGAGACCGGCGGAGGATGCGGTCCACGCGGGTGAAGAAGCTGCGTGGACGACGATGACGTTGAGTGCCTGGTTCTATTCATTCATGGAAGCAGGTGCGGGACACTCACTCGTTGGAGTCGGTGACCGCGAAGCCGGAGCGGACGAGCGCGCCGTCGACGAGGACGGTCGCAACCTCGCGGAGCTCATCCTCCGCCTCGATGTCGCGCTCCTCGTCTTCCGCAGGGAGCTGCTCGATGCGGCGCAGGAGGCCCTCGATGAGCGGCGAGCGCGGGTTGATCTCGAGCACCTTCTGCTTCTTTGCGAACTCCCACATGTGCTTGTGGTTCACCTGCGCGTGCGAGGAGCCTGCACGTCATGACATGTCAAAGGTCAGATCGGCTTTGTCGGACGGCGAGCACAGAAGACAGGGATGACGCACTGATCAGCTTCTCGAGGTTGGCGGTGTAGCCGGACTCGTCGGCGACGATTGCGCAGGAGCTGATGACGAGGCGGTTGGAGATAATAACTGTGGGCGCGAACGACGTCAGACAGGGTCATGTTGGGAATGAACTGGGAACGGCGGGGACGTACCATCGCGAGCGGCGCCCTTCTCACGGACTTCCTTACGGAGCCATTCAATGAGGGGCTTGTACCTCTCAGTTTGAGCAGCGAGCTCCGCCGCCTCTCCTTCAGCCTCATCTAGTAAAGTGAAGGTCAAACCGCGTCATAAGAAACTAAACTGCAACAACGCACCCTCGTCACCGAACTTCAATCCGGCCTTCGCGACATCCTGGAAGCCAATCTTCCTACAGACGCCGTCAGTCACCGACCCCCTCCCTACGGAACTCATCAGGCACAACTCACTTCCAGCGACGGATATTGGTGATGAACACCTCGTCCAGGGGGTCGCCCAGCAACAGCACCTCGTACCCGCGCGCGTGCAGCTTCTCGATGAACACGCTCTTCGCCAGCTCCTCCGGCGACTTCCCCATGTCCGCCAAGTAGAAGATCTGGCTCTGGCCCTGCTTCTTGTTCTCGAGGTACTCGTCCAGGCCCGTGCTGTTCCGCTGGTTCGTCGCGAACCGCACCAGCTGTACGAGCTTCTCGCGGTTCTTGTGGTCCTCCACCGCGCCCAGCTTGAACACGTTCCCGTACGCCTCCTGGACCTTCTCCCACTTCGCCGGGTCCTCCTTCTGGATGCGGTCGAGCAGCTGCAGGAGCCGGCGGAGGATGATGCCCTTGAGCTGCTTCAGGAACGCATTGTTCTGCAGCATCTCGCGCGAGACGTTCAGCGGGAGGTCCTCGGCGTCGACGACGACCTTGACCCAGTTCGCCCACTTGGGGAGCGCGTCCTCGCCGAGGTCGGACGTAATGAACACGCGCTTGACCAGCAGCCGGATGTCCTTCGTCACGCTCTGCAGCGGGTTCTGCCAATAGTTGTCGTCGAGGTGCGAGGGCACGTAGATGATAGAGCGGAAGGAGACGCCGGAGCCGGAGTCGCCCTGGAAGTGGTACCAGGCGAGGGGCTTCTGCCAGTCCTTGAACGTGACCTGGTAGAAGCTCTCGTACTCCTCGTCCGAGATCGTCTTCGGGTCGCTGAGCAACGGAGGGGGTCAGTTTGATTGGCGTTCGTAGTAGAATGTAAGGCATTTACCGCATCCAGATCGGAGGCTGGGAGTTGAGACGGATCCACTCGTCCACCTCGATCTGCTTCGTTTTGGGAGTCTTCTTGGGCTCCTCGACCTCCTCGGTGACGTCCTCAATGACGGCCTCGTCCTCATCTATGTCAACTTTGGTGGTTCCCTCATCATCGGGCTTCTTTTCCTGAGCAGCAGCTTCGTCCTCGGCTTCCTGATCCAGAATGAACTCGACACGCTTGCTGGCCAGATAGATAGGGAAGGCCGTCGAGAATGATGAGTGCTTGTTACTGCACACATAGTCAACTTTTGGGATATGGTGGGGAAGCAAGTTAGTATACATACACCAGGTCCGTGATAGTCTTCTCGTTCAGGTACTCGATTGCATCGCCTTTGAGGAAGAGCGTAATCTCTGTTCCCCGACCGAGGGTGTTGCCACGCGGGTCCGCGTAGATGTCGAACGAGTTCTCATCGGCGCCCGAGCTGAAGACGTATTGTGCCGGATTGGGGTTTTTTGATGACTTAGCCGCAAGAGAGGCAACTTGCACACGGTCCGCAACCAAGAAACTGACAGTGCAAAGTCATTATATGCATGCATCACCACCTCCAGCTAGAACACACCTGGAGTAGAAACCGAGACCGAAAGCACCGATCAGGTTGCCAGTACCCGTGGTGTCGCTTTCTGCCTTTGAAAGGAAGTCCGAGGTGCCAGACTTGGCCAAGGTACCGAGGTTGGTCTTGAGCTCCTCCGGCGTCATACCAATACCAGTGTCTGTCGGAGAACATGACCAGATAGAACTGAGGGCACGTCCGGTGGGACGTACCAGTGATGATGAGACGCCCGGCCCCCTCTTCGTCCTGGACTGCCTTGATGGTAATGTTCATCTCCTCGGCGCCGGAGAGGACTACGGGCTCAGTGAGGGATGTGAGACGAAGTTTCTCGAGGGCATCATTGGCGTTCGAGATGAGTTCGCGAAGGAAGACATCCCTGCAGAACTGTCAGGTCCCGGCTAGTCCAAGACACGGACGGCAGAGCGAACCTATGCGAGTACAGGCTAGAGAGAAAGATGTCTCGTGAGCTTGTTTGTCTCTGCAGAGGTGTTTGCTACAAGCCTGCTTACCTGTTGATGACAATCTTGCGGAGGCGAGCGACGTCACTCTAGACGGCTATTAGTATTGATGTCGGCCGCGCGGTGCATGTGGGGGACGGACCTGATAGGCGTGCTTCTCGTGGCTTTCCTGGGCGAAAGCAGAGACGGCGAGGACGCCGAGGGTGATGACGGTGCGGAACAGCCGCATGGCTGGGGAGGTGGCAGGTCAACGCGACGCTGGACCAGAGAAAAGGTGGTGAGGAGACAGGTGCGAGCCGACGGGCGTATGTATAAGTACGCTGGAAGCACTCCTGCTGAAGACATTGTGAGAGAAGGTACAGACGTTCTAGCATTTTCGCCGATGGGCCGCAGCGTGTGCTGGGCTGGTCACGGACAGGGAAATACTATCGCGACCCCAGTGTTCGGACAGACCCTAGTGTTCGGACAAAGGACCATGTCTCCCTCATTTTCCACCCGATAAAGCTGCAAGCTGGCAAATAGGTGCGCGAGTTCATTCCAAACAAGCAGAAAAAAGAACCAAATTTATTCACACAGTCACTGCGGCGATCTTGCAGGAGGAAGTGGTGCAACTCATCCCTATTCAAACTTGATGAGTCTCGCTCCGAGCTCCTCCTCGGGCGCTTCCTTTCATGTTTCTCAGACGTACTCATACACACCCATGATACCCAGGACTCAATTCTCCGAAGCCTTCACTGGTGCACAAATGGGAGAAACAAGACTTGGCCCTCGAGGGCGTGACAGTGCAGCCACATTTTCACTCTCCGACCTGGTTAGGCTGCTCGGCTAAGGCTCATCAAGTTGGATGACGGACATTCCCGAAGGCCGGCAGGGCTCGGCAAGCGTGACGATTCGTGACCTTCTGCGCGGAGAATCGTCCGAACACTGGGGTCAGCCCTGTATACCCCCCTCTCTAACACTCATTTCTTCTCCAATATATCTCATCTTTGGCATGCAGCATAATTTTCAATGTGACTGCTTGCATGCAAAAAATGAATGTTATCGGAGGATAGGAAGGTACATAGATCAAAGGAATCATGCGGTGGGCGCCTTGTCGTCCGAACACTGGGGTCGCGATAGTAGAAGTCTCGTGATCGCGTCGGGCGCGTTGCAACGTTGATGGCCCGATCATGACACGTCAGTACGCCCAGATCTGCCGCCAGTCCGCGGTAAGCCCGCTCCTTGAATACATCAAGTGCGCTCTTGAGCAGAAGGAACGGCATATGGAAGCCGTACACGTTGTCCACAGCATAATGATTAAACTCAAAGCAAATGTTTCACCTTCTCTAGGCTCAGCGCGTACACGTTCGCCACGTGAAATGCAGTATTTGTAACCATCAAAGCATGGCATTCTATACCGCGCCGCGTACTCAAAGGCCCCACAAGAGAGCATTACCTTTAGAAGAGTCTTCAAACGAATCCATGCGACTCATTAACAGAATAATCACAATTAGGTAGCCAGACCCCTTTGTTTTGGCTTCTGGACTGGGCCTGTCTTCAAATGCGCTCTTTTATTAGTATTTGTTCAACTCACAGATGAGTACGGAGGGGCTGGCCGCCATTGGCCTCCATCGCTCCTGCGAGTGTGCCACTGCACGCAGCCGCCGTACTGCATTCGTCTTGGCAGCAGTAGACGCCCACTTCACGTGCAATTTCCTTTTTGGAGAGAAGTGAAGGCTAATGAGTGTGGCCGACCGGCAGGACCGACATCGCATCGTCCAAGCTACCGCCTGCAACGTCCACGCTCTAATATTCGTATACCAATATTTTTCAGCTTTCTTTGGCATCGTCTGCGGCCCCCCCGCAGCACACATTGAACCACGATGCCAGCTCCGTTTTCTCGTCTCCAACTGGCTGCAGCCCTAATCGGTGAGTCTTCCTGCACCTCGTACTACCAATCGACTCGAGTCTTACTCTATACCAGAGTACGACAATGATAGTGAGGACCCATCGAAGCCGCGACGCTCAGCGCAAGAGAGCGCTGTCTTCCTCCCTTTCCGCAACCGTCCCCTCCGGCCCCCTGCCCCAGAGCGCAGGAGCACCGACTATCTCGGCGTGAACCTCCCGAGCGAGACTGGTAGCATTGCGCCCCGTGAGTCTCTCGCATGGGACCGCAAGTCGCGGGCCTCCATCGATGCACTCCGCAACCCATTCGGGCGCGACTCGACGTATGATGGGCTGGATATGGAAGAGGAGGAGGATGATCTGGAGGTCGACCTCGCCTCCTGGGGCCTCGATGCCCTCGTAGACAAGGACAAGGAGAAAGAGAAGGCCAAGCAGCGCAAGAGGACCAAGTCCGAGACCCTCACAGACAACCTCCCCAATCCTTACGAGCGTGTCGGGCGGGCGGCCAAGCCGCATGCGCGGACGCAGAGCATGAATTTGCTGAACGGGCTAGGAGACGGCGGTGCGTTCCTCGACTCAGCCCCCGGCACTCCTGCTCCCGCCCTCGGTCCCCGCAGGCACTCGATAGGCGACCCCCTCGACGCGCCTTTGGCATACTCGAACGAGCCCATCCTGCCCCCGCGTGCCCGCAGCCCCTCCGTGCACGCACTCATCGACAACCTCCCTCTCTCCGCCCCTCTGCACTCCGTCCCCTTCCCATCCAGCGAGACTGTCCGCTCTCCCTCCCCCCAGGTCGGCGAGCGCAGCCGCACGCTCAGCCTCGGCTCCCGCGCCATGATGCTCAACGACGAGCCCGAGCACGACAACCCCTTCGCGGTTCGCCCGCCCTCGCCCAGCCGCATGTCCCGCTTCGACCCCAAAGTGCAGCAACGCGCCCGCACGCTCTCGCACGGCACGATGGCCACACAGATGATGCTCGACGACATCGACCCCGAGCCCGACACCTACGCGCACGACCCGCGCCCGCCCCGCGAGCGCCGCTACTCCCGCATCGAGCTCATGCGCCCGAAAGTGCTCATCATGCCCAGCCCGCTCCAGAGCGCGCCGCGCCCCGAGCCGAAGCAGGACCTCCGCGCGACGGACGGCTTCGAGCTGTCCACGGACGGCCGGCCCCTGCCGTTCGGGGCCAAGGCCGCGCGCCGGTCGTCCGTCACGCTCTCCGTGCTCGATCCCTCCTCGAGCCATCTGGCAGGCGCGGCCCCGGTCGCGTCGAACTCGTTCACTCCCAATCCTAGGAGCAGCCTGACGCTCTCGCAGCTGACGTTCCGCAACACGCTCCTTGTAGACGGGCAGCGGGACGTCGCGTACGCGGACATCGAGGGGCGCCTGAAGCGCGCGACGGAGGACGGGCAGCAGATCGAGGACGAGCCGGAGCCGGAGCCTGAGCCTGAGCCCCAGCCTGAGGTGCCGATCGTGCAGGTCGAGGAGCCGACTGGGCCGAAGCGGCCTGCTGGTAAGTTGTACGGGAAGAGTCTGATCGACGACCTTGAGGCTCGCAAGGCCCAGATGCGTGGAAAGCAACGGTAACATCGTCGTATGTTGTATGGAATAGTACTGCTGAGCTAACCGTCCTCCGTACAGGGTATTCCGCGGCGACGACCGGCCGTCGATGATGGCTCGCACACAAACCCAGCGGTCGAGCACGCTCATCGCCCCGGACGAGCTGAAGCGGCCTGCATCCCAGCATCTGAACTCGTTCAACTCTGCTCCTGGTGCCCTCTCGCGTCGCAACTCCGCGAACGTGAAGACCCTGCTCGCTTTCGAGGACGAGATCCCCGGAGCGCCCCGTCAAAGCCTCCATCCTGGAGGTGGCGTCATCAGCAGTACGCGCTCCGTGTTCGGGGTCGACACGCTCTGGGAGCGCGAGCTCGCGAAGCTCAAGGCCATCGAGGAGCAAGAGCGTAAAGAGGCAGAGGAGCGCGCCCGCCGCGAGGCCGAAGAGGAGGCCAGAAATCCCAAGAAGGGCAAAAAGAAGAAGGGCAAGGGCAAGGAAAAAGACGAGGCCCCCGTCACCCCTCAATCAGGGCTCTCTCCGAGCCCCTCATCTGCTCAGGTAGCCTCTCCAGCTCCAGGCGGAGTCTCAGTACCGGACGCGCCCCCCGTCCTGCCGGATATCCCGAGGGCGATCGTGAGGCGCGCGCCTCCGCCCCCAGGTGACGACTCGGACGACTCGGACGACGACAGCGACGCGAGCGACGCGCCTGCGCCGCCTCGTGCACAGCAGGCCTCCGGGTGGCACTCGGACGAAGACGAGGGCCCTCGGCGGACAGCCGGCACAGGCCCGCGCTACCCCATTTCAAGCTCAGGAGGGCCCCCGCGTCTACCGCAGATCGCGCGGCCGGGCGACGACAGCAGCGAGGAGGACGTGCCGCTCGTCGCTACTATCGGCCGCGCCGCGCAGAGGCTGCAGGCGCGCAGCACCGCCGGAGGAGACGACAGCTCGGACGAGGAGCAGCCGCTGTCCGTTCTGCTGGACAAGACGAAGCAGAAGCTCCCGTCCATGTCCGTCAGTGGCGGCAGCCTCTCGCCGCGTTCGCCTGCCCTCCGTGCAGGCGCGGACGACGACGGAGACGACGAAGACGACAAGCCGCTCGGGCTCCGCGTCTCGCGCGCGTTTGGCACCTCCTTCAACCCCTCGAGCGCTCGCGGGGACGACGACGACGACGACGACAAGCCGCTGGCCCTACACCCGGACCAGGTGCGCAAGTCGCAGTTCTATATGGCGCAGGCGCAGCAGCAGATGCTCGCGCAGGCGCAGATGGCGCAGATGGCGGCGGCCGCGCAACAGTCGATGATCTTTGGTGCGCCGTCGATGATGGGCTCGGGTTTCTTCGGGCCCCCCATGGCAGCAGCCGCCCCAATAATGGCGTACCCCCAGCTGCCTCCAACTCCCCCGCCCATGCAGGATGCGGTCAAGTTGGGACGCGTTGACAAGTGGCGGCACGACGTTGCGGTCGAGGGCCAGCGGTGATGTGGCATGGCGTCGAGATTTTGGGACGTTTGCTCCTCATACCCTTCCAGGAGCTCGGATCTTCCGTTCGGTTGGTAGGCCTGGCGTGGCCGTGGACTCTGGATCCGTCATCGATAATTCTCATGTTTCTCTTCGTATTCGTACCATTGTGCGTTCTGTCTCGAAAACAAGCGTTGCTTTCCCCCGGCTGTCGTGATCTCGTAGTGCACCCACCGTTAATCTCCGTATCCCTATGCATGCATATCCGTCGCATTGACCTGGCCATCATTCAAATTTAGCACACCCCGTATCATATCTTGCAGCAACAGAATACAGTAATTTGTAGAATGTCCGCGGTGATTAACTGGGAGTGAAACTACAAGATCGTGAGACATCATGGCGAAGGTGCTGAAGAGAACGCGACAGCGGTATCTCGGTGGAAAAAAAAGCAATGCGACTATTGTGGTGGGAAATGTATCGTTCATGCTGGCGTGCTGGGGGGTAGGTAACCTTAACGAAGCCTGGGTCACGAAAGCCATCGACGGGGTGGGGTGCATGGGATACAAGGGTGGAAGATGCGTCTGTACTTACAATGAGAACCGATATGGACTCGAGCATAATGCATAAATAATCAAAGTCCGTACGGTAATGAGATCGGTTCTCTGCGCGTCCGCGCGCGGACACGTGTGCGTCATCAGCTCGCCTCCTCTTCTGGCGGGTTGGGATTGAGCAGGTACAGCCGTCGCTTCGGCACCGTCACGATGGACACGTCGCGGCGACTAAGCTCGTCCTCGATCCGCCGCTGGCGCGTGTCCTCGTCGTCGTCATCGTCGTCGTCGTCGACGTCGGGCGAGGCGTGCCCGTGCGACGTCGAGCGGTAGTCGTGCTCAGGGCCCGCGGTGCGGTAAGGCGGCTGGTGGTGCTGATATGGGCCGCGCCCTCCGGGCTCGGTCGGGAAGGGGACCGCAACGGACTCGTTTGTCGACAGCGGGCGCGATCCAGCTGGGGAGCCTGCGCGGGGGACAGCTGAAAACGCAGCAGGCTCGGCGCGCAGGCGAGAGAAGATAACGGAGAGAACGGATTCCCTAGGGCGGCCGTTCCAAGCAAGGGCGATCAAAATGATGTAGAACACGGCCGTCCAGGCCAAGAAGACTCCAAAGGCCGCTCTGAGGCCGCGCTGCCATAGGGCAACGAGGGAAAAAATCGTGAGGGCTAGTAGAAGCGTATGGAAGAGAACATGGATGAAGCCCTCGAAGAGCGGGGGAAGGATAGGGTGGCCGACCGGGCGTTGTTGACCTAACATAAGCCCGTTCGTGCTGTTGATCTCCATTGGTGTCGTCCCGGGCGTCCATGCTTCTCGCCTGTCTATGGGGCTGAGACCATACTCGCCACCCTATGCACATGTCAACGTCACGCGGACAACATAACCAGTAACTCCACACACCATGCCACTGGTACTACGGCGGGGGTCAAGCCAACTCATGTCGCTGAGGTTGCGCGGGCGATGACTAGGGCGTGGATCCGAGAACGCAGCGAGACTATTGGCGCTCATGCGACGTTGGCGGATGGGCCGGTTCACAACCTCGAAGGACCGCTGCGAGGGTGTGTACGGCTGATCGTCCGCCACTGTGCCAGTGTCGTTGGAGCGCCGACCCGTGATGCCTGCCCATGTTCCAATTCCCGCCCACGACCTTATTCTCCGCTTGCCCTCCTTAATCCCGTCTGGTGGATGTGATGCAGGCTCGGAGCGTGCTGAGGGACTCGCTGCGCGTTCGTTCACGCTCAGCTTCTCCAGGGTGGAATCGGCTCGGAATCGGCCGTCGGTTTGCTCCCGGTCCCTAGGACTGACACATCGCCTCATGGCCAACGCGAGGAGTTGCAGAAGGGGAACGAGGCCGTAAAGGCAAGCGAAGAGCGCCAAGCCTGCCTTCCCGTGAGCTGTCTGAAGGTGGAGTGACGTCAAAGCCCGTTTGGCGATTGGTGAGACCGCGGTGATGGAGGTGAACGAGGTGGCGAGGCCGACGATACCGAGTGCATATGCCGCAACCCCGACGACGACACCGAGGTACATGAAAGCCAAGTTACGGTCCGTGAGACGAGTGGTGCTCACGGCGGGTTGGGAGATGCGGTAGAATGCCGCAGCGGGGAGGAAGAGGGCAACGGAAACGGCGCCCAGAGCCTTGTGCAACATCGACGTGTTGAACGGGAAGGAGTTGGACGGAGATGACTGGAGACCTCCACCTCCAGAACTGGGAGAGCCCGAAGGCGAGCCAGTGCCAGTACCAGTGCCAGTGCTGGTAGATCCAGGTTTTGAAGAACCCGATGTTGCTGACCCCAGGGAGGTTGCACACTGCGACAAATATTGCACAGTGACACCTTGGCCATTGGCGTTGATACCAGATTGCAATGAGCCGGAGAAGCCGCTCCAGGTCGCATTAGTCTTAGACAGGGACGCGTTATACGCTCGCAAGATCCATACATCCTGGAGATAATTCCCCGCGGCGTCACGCCCGCCAAATATGATAGTATCCGACGCCGCGATGCTGGTGTCGCCGACGAGCGTCGTCGGAACAGACAGGACTGCAGCACCTTGCCGTGGTTTGGGATACTTGCTGCCCGAGTTAGGGTCGCCCGCAGGAAGTACACGCGCCCATGCCCCTGAGGATGTAAACATCAGCTTATTGCAATTCTCGAACATGTGTAGAAGGCGACGAACCTGTTCCAATCTCTAACACATCCTAACGGGTTTAGACTCAGTGAACCCAATCACGCCTTCTTAATCAACAGAAAACCTACAACTTCGCCCCGGGCCAACCCACCGCCATCGTCCCACAGAGAACTGTTGAACGTTCCCAGTAAAACGAAAGCCTGCTGATTGAAGTCCGTTGATGCTCCGTTCATGTTCGGCACGACGGCAGGGTCGATGCGTGCCGCGATGCACGGTGCAATAGACTTCACATCTCCCGAAGAGGCATCAATAATCTGTGTGTCCTGTACGGCGCAAGAGGAGTCCAGTATAGCTTGCGTAGACGTAGCTGATGTGCAGCCCCCGACAGCGACAATCTGCTGCCCGATAATAGTACCGCCCATGGAAACCCTACCAGTAATGTCTGTGTTGATATTCACGCGCGTCCACGAAGCATTGATCTGATTAGGGTTGTTGGAAGAAAGAGTGCCGGATATGTCCATGCGCCAAACTTCTGACAGCGGGGAGATCGTCTTGCCATCATATCCCCCGGCCATATAGAAGGAGTTGTTGAGGGAGACACCTGGATTAGAGGTTCGGACATCGATGCCACCAACAGCACCCCACCGAGCTGAAGGGCCGCCGGGTGAGATGCCAACCTGCTGCCAAAATTTGCTGGTGTAATCAAATTCCTGGGTCGGAAATGAGAGAGCGATCGGACAAGGTTAGGCCATAGGATAGCACGAACCCAAATATCGGCCAGGCCGGTATCGCTCGAACTTTCACCGTCAACGATAACATGACCGTGGCGACTGCGGGAGTTCAGCCAAGACCATGCCTAGACCAGAACACACTCACTAGCTGGCAGCTGAGTCGTCTCCGCTTATCATAGCAGACCTGGAGGGCGGTTTGGTGTCGAGCTGATTGGGAGCTTGTGGGCTGCTCCACTGCAAGCTCTTGAGATCGAGACTGAGGAAGTGCTATGCTCAACGAGTGAGATGCCATTCAGAGCACGCCAAGACGTACGCGTAGGTGTTCTGTGTCGCGAAGCCCTGCTGTGATTCTCCTCCGAAGATGAGAAGCAGCCCGTCCGTACTGTCGTAGCCGATGCTCGCATCTTTGAGCGGAGGAGGAACGGAGGTGCCACTGAGGAGACCCGTGAGTTCAATCCACTGCAGTGGCGGAACGGGCATGGAGGTTGAGATTGTTTGGGCATGAACGGTGGGAAGACATGATGAGATGAACGAGACGAGGAGGCAGACGAGAACATGTCGCAAGCGTGAACGAGAACAGAGAAGCATTTTGGAAGACGAGGGCGGCCAGGGGTGCGGGTGGCCTGGGGAGCCCATGCTCGCGGCGAGCAGGGAGGAGGAGGACAAAGCCAGCGGATCGATGTGGTTGTTCACGAGAAGGGGCGTTGTCCCAGGAGGCGTGCCCGCGCCGGCCACTCCTCCCGCCGTCCGCACATTAGCCGCTCACGCCACGCCCCCTCCGAGCGGTTCACCGCGGCCGAGGTCCGCCATCGCTGCTTTCCCAGTGCTTCCACCACCGCAGCCGTACTTATCGCTCCTCGTCTTGACCCTCCAAGCTCTTTCCTCTGACCAGCATGATCTCGCCAGCTCTGCTAGCACATGCCCTCAATCTTTCGAGCTGAGCGCGTCGAGTTGCGAATTGTGGCGACAAATGGTTGCACCGTTCTCAGGCCGCGCAATGTCGCCGTCCTGCCGGACAAAACCCGCCGGACTGCTGATTCAAATGTATTCATAGTCCACATGGAGCTATTGTCGGATCCAGGACGAGACAGGCTAGTCTCCACCAGCCTTCCCGTACAAGCCGAGCCGTGTGGCCGAAATACTCGCCGCAGTCCCGCCACAAAACTTCGAGCTTGTTGTACCTTGTCGGGTAATCTGTCGACGCACTGCTGACCTTTCAAGTTCCCCGGCTAGACGTGCAAGAAGGCCCGGACATTACAGAGCCGAGCTACCGTTGCCTGTGATGCGCTTCTGTACAATCGCGAGTAGCTCTCACCCGAGAACTTGGTTTCTACCACATTCATCGAACCTTCCAGACGAGCATCCTGGCTGCCGCATGAATGTCGGCATTTGGATTATCAGTCTCGTGCAACGTCCGCGCAGAATACCTCACACATACGCGTCGGTCAACGGTCACTCCAGCCGCTGTATGTTTCGCCGAGCGCGTGCTCGCCGTGAAATCACTCTACCACGTCAACAGCGGACTTGTTGGAGTGAGTTCATGGACGTGGAAGACCTGTTCTAAAATAGAGCCGATGTCTCTCAGGGGGCAGCCGACCGTGCAATCTCCATTGCTACGCAGTTCGACGGAGTCAGTCGTGGTTTCGACCGCTCGCAGGCGAACGCAGTTCGGTGCTGGAAGCAGTCAAACAGTGAGATTCCGTTGGCGCCGAGATCAGATCTTGACTGGACTCTCGCAAGAACAGGCTTCGTGGAATCCAGTGAGGTAACTTCGATGAGAAGTGGGTCTGAGCGGCAGGCGATACACGCCTGGGCTAAAGAGCTGTAGCAGGTTCTTTCTTTCCGATGTACTAACTATCAAGATCAATAAACCTTCTGACGGTCGCAATGTTGTAACCTCCTCGGAACGACGCGTTTGAGATAGACGACAGTGATCCTGAGTGCCTGCACAAGTTGCGTTCGGGGCATGCATGTGTGAACGTGGCCATGCCCATGTAGTGCGCTAGTATCCTTTGCAGACGCAACTTACTACTGAATGTGGTTATGGCTACACGCTCAACTCAGGTAGATGCAAGTTGCGCCTGGCAGTGCAACGTGACAACCAAATTGAGCGGTTGTTTCGCGTTACCTCCGACTGCTACTAGTACTGAAAGAGCAGTTAAGCATACCCAGAAAACACATCAATTGTACAACTACCGCAAAGGGCATAGTAGTCCCTGGACGGTGAGCTATCAGCCAGACTATAGACAAGTACAAGATCAAGAACCTGATCTTAGGCCCTGGTCGGCAACATCAACCCTGTGGGATCAACCCAGGGTGGCTCCTGCCAAATGGCAGCCAGGTTGATCACACAGTTGATCTGTCTCCGAACGCCCTCCGAACGGTCGGTCCTTTCCTTAATCCGGTAACATCTCGGCCAGATAGCGCCCGCTGGTGTCTGTCACCATCACCTCATTGACGCCCTCAGCCTCTTGGGCTTAACTGCTTATCCTACTTCACAAACATGTCGTGAGCCTTCGAATTTCTGAATATAGTCATAGCAATGCATAGGGTACATGACTATTGACTTTTCCCGGAAATTTTATCCATAGAGCCCAACCTGAGATCTCAACTAGCCAAAGTGGCTGAAAGTCACACAGCGATAAGACAGGGTGACGCATCACGACAATCCCATAAGCGCCAGGGCTGAGTCAGCGCTTTCCGGAGGGGTTCCGTGAAGCGCTCGATATCAACCCATTGATCAACCCAGGGTTGATGTTGCCGACCCAGGCCTTACCTGCTCCCGCGATTCCCACACAGGTTCCAAGCGAGACGTGATCGAGACGAAGCGCCCATATCATCAAGCGTCTGTTATGTAGGCGCCCCTGAGAACCCTGTTGTCAAGTCCGAGCTCCCCGCAGTGTCTGTGCTGACATCGCTCTTGCGGACCAAGGACACCATCTCCTAACAGTACCCCTCGATGTATCATTGCTTTAGAGGATTACTCACCTCATCGAGTTATTTATCGGTCAGTCTGCACGCGACAGGCACTCACTGTGGCTTACTCGTCTGTAACAGCCTTGATCACAATGATGGCCAATAGCATACCTACGTTCAGACTCATGGCTGACCGTCTTATCGGCGTTTGTACCCACAGAAAAAGTGGAGAAAACTACCGCTGGCATATCAGATCATCTGATGTTATGTCTTCTGTTTTCGGGCACAGAAAGGGATCCCGCGTACGCGGGCGGCCCCACCCCCTCGTGCTCTCTGACTGCCACGGTACGCCCGACCATCCCATGACGAGCTCCGCGAGTCTAACCCTCTATCGCTGCGGCAGCTAAGCCCATGCCAAAGGTATCCTGAAGATCGAGCAAAGCAAATGAGTCGCAAGCCGGGTAGCCCGAGGCAACTTCGACGCCACGCAAAGTGATGAGCAGCATGGCCTCACTTGCGCACGCCGTGCATTCGGAGTCGCCCATCGCATCAGCCGCCCCAGAGCACACCTATACGGGAAAACACCGTCTTTACCACAATCCCCCGAGCCGGAGGGCTCCCCTCCAAAACCACATGAGCGGCCGCCGTCCAAAGCTCAAGGCTCGAATGGATAACTCGGATCACTCTGAACAGAGACATTACCTCTATAGCAGGGACAGTAGCATGTCCGCTCTATGGGCTACCGGTGTGTCACGTATACACGCAAGCCTTGAGCCACCAATTTTGACAGCACTCCGCTGGCGGCCAGCAGCTACCGCGCCCGCGCGCTCTCCAAACTGATGGCCGGCCAAAACCCTTCTAGGACAACACCGACAGCGCACTGGGCGGCTGAGACTGCGCAGAAAGGCGACTCTGCTCCCATCACGTTCCCGCGCTCCGCCACAAGAGGCTTGGTCCGGTTATCCGTCAACGTCTGTAACCGCCGTTACCGCGGTCGGTCGGTCGGTCGGCGGGTGCATGCGCTGCTGTGGGGTTACAGCTCAAAACCACGTCAGACTCTGTGTCGGAGCTCAGGTCCGTTAGCGGACACGTCCACCGTCGCCCACAACAGGCGATAGCTGCCTTGTCGACACAGGTCGCACGGAGAGTGCAGAGCAAGGGTAACGGGACATTCACCTCAGGAGCTACTCCACGCCCAATACATGCCTCGATGAACGTTGGGGGGAATGACACAACAATCCAGCGAATATGCTAATTCCAAGGACAAGCAGGCTTTCGCCACCATGTGGCGGGGTGGCGGGACTGACGCGGACTGGCCGCCACCCGACCCCCTTACACGCGGGCACGCGCTATCGTCCTAGGATGGCAGCGCGGCTATTCTACCAGGTGAGGCTGCCCCTCCTCCCAGCGTATGCGGACATCACTATTCGATGGCAATACACAGGTCCGTTTCCCAATGTGTGAGACGTGCGCGCAATCGCAGCTATCTGTTCAGTCGCGAATGTGCGCCGCGCGCTGAAGGTATCCCGCTCTGCCTGCGTCGAGGCGCGGCGCCCGAGCATGAGTCCCCTCCTCGACTCTGCCATCGCGCGCGGATAGGTTTGCGAACGCTCAGTTCGGTGAGTGTTATAAAACTCTCTGTGCGCAGTCGTCCAGATGCTCAACGAACTCGGTGCACACATCCAATACACTACACGGAATCCTACGCATTTCACTAATTGACATGTCTTCAGTGTAAGTCTCCATATCCTTCCCGGGGTGGACCAGGCACTCCGGTAGCGAACTGTACGACTTGACATCTAGTCGATGTGGCGCACGCTAGTCCACCCTTCATACGTCCGCTGCTGACCAGTTTGTAACAAAATGCAGTCACTACCCCCAGGTTCTCCAACAGGCCGCTGGCAACCCAGAAGTGTTCCAATGCATCCCATGCAGGAATGGGCGCGCGATGAGCGGCGACGAAGCCCAGCAGCACATCTACCAAGTCCACGGACTCGCACTGTGCGTTGAATCCAGTGTCTTACGGGGCTGAATCTAACAAATCTCATGTCGTTTGGATTATCAGCAACCCAATCAACTGCGGTGTGTGCGGCTGGACATTCGGTGCTTTGGGCCGATACGCTGCGCACCAATGGCTGCAGTATGTCAATCCTCATGCATTTTGCGATATCATGCTCAAAGTGATCTTCATAACAGCGTCCTCACTAAACCGTGCACTCAGTGTGGCATCAACTTCCGCTCCGCACACGACAGGTTTGCTCATCTGTGTGAGCGCCACAACCTCACCACGGAGAACGCGCACTTGTTCAAGTAAAGCCTCTGAACTGCAAGCTTTCGTCCATCTAGAGATATTTCTCGGCTATTAATTCTTGTCGCACTGCCCACGACCATAGAGTAGACCTAATCTAGTAGTGTACTAATGTCGTCATAGCGTATAATGTAGATAAACGATACTGACCTCTCTAGTGTAGCATAGCACATCCAGTATTCCCATTCTTGAACCATCCCATACCCAGACCGTTCCGACGATACAGCTCTACATTTTGATCCCCGAAGCGTCAGCGACACGTTCGATATCCGCGAAAGTAGCCGGTAATTTTAATCCCCCTCTGGTTCACGGGAAGGCGCGCTAGGTGAAGAGGGCCGACGCCCGAGATCCCCGTCCGGAGCCTTACAATTTGCTCCCCGAAACTGCCGTCGTTGGCGTCTCGAATTGATGATGACGGGGGAGAGGGGTTATGGTGAGATCGGCGACCTGATAGAACATCTCAGCACGTGGCGAGCAGCGGTGGACTTCTGGGGATTAGCACTGCGAAGGGGCCGATGCAGATCGGATGCAGAAAGGGGGAACTATCAGCGGGCCCGAGCGGAGATTGACCAGAGGCTACTGATATCTCGTGCATCTGAAGCGTTAGCGAAAAGTGCATCCACAAGTACATGCTGCGTGGAGGAGTCGGGCTGGGACAGTAACTCCGCCTGTCGTGCGCCCCGGTGAAGCGTGAACTTCTAGACACAACCTTGTTGCTTAGATCTTTTTTTTTTCTTTACTTTTTTGGGGGGGGGGGAGTAAACGTCTCGGAGGGGGGTAAGAAGACCCCAGAGGTCTAGGAGCATAGAGTGTGACGCCTGCGGATGGTAGACCACGATGTCATACCTACCTCAGTTTTGGAATGAGGCACGTAGCTACTAGATACGGCCCATGCAATGTGGAGGCATCTGACAAATTCGAACCCGTGCACGTCAAGTGGTCCATCTGGACAACCCAGGAAGAGTGGAACGGAGCCGTAGATCATGCAGCATCGATGAGTTAGCTCTGTAAGGGGGATGGTTCAAGTCAATATCACCTCGATTTCGTCGCTGACCGCGGATGTGGGCCCGGGTGTGGGAATCATCAATATGGAGACCGTCCACAAACTAACTAAGCGATGCTGTTGTTCTCGTATAGACGTATGGACTAGGCTGGGCATCGAGCGGTTGACCGAAACTCGGGCGGAGGGAGTGAGGGGGAGGGGTTGATTTTGTTGCGAGTGTGGATTAGTCCGGACGCGCGTAAGTAGAGGTCGCTTCCGACCGGTGCCACCCAGATTCCTTTTGGAAGCATGACCACGTGGGCGGTACCGGCGGTAAGACGCTTTGGCGTAGTTTGCCTGTGTAGGCGCAACTGCCACTGGTTCTGGGGTCCCGGTGGCACATGTCTGGAGGGAGGCGGAACATGCAATCCCACCTCACTGGCGTTTGTTCTGGTAACCTGATCATTTCCCGGGCGCGCCGCCTGTATTGTTCTTCACTCAATTTCTAGGCCTAAGGCAAATCGCGATCCTCTTTGCTCCAGTGCCGTAGGTGTCGACTTTTCCATGGTGCGCCCACAGCGCCTGCTGAATAGGGAATTCAAGGGCCGACTCTCGTTCGCGCTAGTATATAGCCTTCTCCTCATCCCTGGTCCTTGCACAACCTTCCTCAACCTTCTTATCATCGTTCTCTGTGAACAAGCACTCGCACAGCTTTCGGCGAATCTTTTCTCTGACTTCCAAACGATAGGGCGAACCAGCTCAACAATGTCTTCCCGCCACAACAACTTGCTCCCCGGGAGCTTCGGCCGGTAAGTGTGGCGGACGATATATTATAACTGTTTTTGTCCTATACTTTATCAAGGTACCATGTGTACAGTGATACTGGCATGTTTTATTATGTCCTTCATCATCTGCAACTCCTGTCGACGCCGGTGGAATGGGTTTCTGACCTCTCGCCACAATTCGTATGCACAGATTATCTACCGCAGACCTCAATCAAGGTGTTCGCCACAGTCCCACCAGGCGGGAAACGTATTCTTCTTCAAGAGATACCCGCCCGCCACCATCGGAATCACCCAACTCGCTCCCCGCACAGTCACAATGCGTTCCGCCACAGTAAGAGCCGATCCCAACAACCCAGCTACCTAAAATTTGACATGTCATTTGAATCACAGATCATCCTCTAAAGAGAAGCAGCCCAATGCAACAAGAGCAACACAGCTTCCCCTCTCCATATACGAACTCCCAACCGCCACATTCATGTGGGCTCGCTGGAAACCCGACGACGACTCCCAGACCCGCATCTTCGTGCGCTATAGGACTCAACAGAGCGACACTGACTCCGCATCGACGTACTCGAGCTCCACATATTCTCGACCGCATTCACCGGTTTCGTATATGTGAGTGTCCGCATACGTTCAATAGGATAGCTACGGCGGTGCCTTACCGTGCCTGTGTAAAACTAGTTCTCCTCGTATCTCGCCGGTCTCAACGCCACCCTCTCTTCCTTATTCTCGTAAGCGTAGCTCCTCGGCGGAGTCGGAGTAAGTCTATAAAGTCTAATATTGACGCGTGGATCCTTATGTCGTGTCGCTGCACAGCGACGACTCTCTTCCCAGTCCTTCGGATAGGTTCCTGAAGTTGCCTAGGTGAGACACGAAGTAGGCCTGACCGCCGTTTCTAAGATGCTGACCTCCCTGTGCAGGATTTTCCACAACAATGCGCCCGGCAGGGTAGATTCGGCCCGCAGCGCCACGCCGCGCATTCCGCACGAATATGTGACTTTCTCAAATAATCTGGGAGACAAAGAGGCGATGGAAGCGTATCCCTCCGGTTCTGGCGCCGGGTCGGATTCCAGCGACGTAGAACTACGCCCAGCCGCCTTTTTCTATCCGGCCCATCAATCAAATTCCTCCCGGGGCGAGGCAACGTTCCCTCGATCAATGACGCCCACCGCCGACACCCCTGCGCCTGCATACACAGCGCTAAGGGAGGAATCCGAAGAGTCCGAGAGTGACTTGAAAAACGAGTGGATCAAGTATACGTTCCCGTCGCCCGAGACTAGTGCCGGGCCGGACTTCCATTGCACCTGGCAGGAGAAGCAGCGGGACGGGACGTCCAAGCCGTGCGGGTACAGCTCGAAGAAGCACCTTGTCAAGCGGCACATTGAATCAAAGCATCTCCAGCTCAGGTGCGCCGCCGCTCATGCCGCATAGGGTTCCGGGCGCGAGCGCTGATATTGATTTTCCGCCCATCCTAGGCCGTGCAAGTGTAAGTTCTGCGGTAAAGGGTTTTCCCAAAAGAGCAACCTCGATACCCACCTGAACACACAGTGAGTGAAATCGGCGTCTTCGGCCTGCGTTCCAGCTGCAGCATCTGACACGGCCTCGGTCGCTGCGTCATAGCACCAACAATGCGCCGCACAAATGCCACTACTGCGACGAACACTTCAAGGACCCTGCTCGCAGGCACCGTCATATGATCCAGGTGCATCGGCACGTATCATCGCGCACGAAAAAGGGCAGGTTGGGCACTGATGTTCGCGCGGGGTCTGTCGCGGAAGCCTCGGGGCCTGACGTCGAGGACCTCACAACTCCCCAATCTGCATAGATGGGAGTGAGATCAGTGATGTCTACCGTGGTCGACGCGCACTGCTATTTACAAACCTCAAGTTCTCCTAGAAGCCAACTGCTTCATCCTCGAGTTCGTTCTCCCCGCAAGATGCTTGCATCGGCTTGCGGTTTCCCTCGGGTTTGGCGCTACTGACTTAGTAACAATCCGGAGTCTGTCCTATGTTTCTCCCGTGTTGTTGTCTGTATTTCCCATATCGTTTGATGTTGTATCGCTACTGTCCTGCTCCATCGATATTCGCTGAAATTCGTTAGAATTCCCCTCCCTTTACCGCAGGTCGTAAATACCGTGGATCAACGTCGTCTCAGGACCTACCTGTTTATAGTCGTGATGAACGTTTGTATCATAACATACCCAATCATTTAGTCGTCAATCTGCCATCTTGTTGTGGACCGGTTGATCGTACTGCCGGACAGCATGCGGCAGGGTGGTGGCAAGTCGAAGGGAACTGACTTTGAAGAAGCCGGGACCGTGACGTAAGGTCCCTGGGCGCTGGCGTCTCGATCATGCCGGCCGGGGTCGGAGCGAGCGCGCGTTCCACTCACTCCTTGTTCTCTCCTGTACAATGTCATCGAAGCAACCCCAGCTCGGCAGTCTTGCCATCCAAGCACCCTCATTGACCCCGAAGACCGTTCACGTATTGCCATCAACGTGCCATGATGTGTCCGTGTTCAAAGGTCTGTTCTATCACCGCCGTTCAGACCACCAGGGCCTCCTGACGCACGCCATGGGAATCCTTCATTGCCTGCGACCGTCGGACAGAGCTCATGAGCCAGTACAGGAAGCTGGACGACACCATAAACATGCGTCTCAACCGCGCAACCGCACAATACCGCGATCGTGAGCGTAGAGGATTGGCAGGCAAGGGCGACGTTGAAGAGCAGGCGTGTGCCCAGGTGTGGCGCGAACTCATTGGTGCGCCTTCATCTCAATGCTAGTCCGCTGACCCCGAGCCGATTTACCGACCGACCGGTGATAAGCCAACTGGTCTCGCCGGAGGGAACTGGTCGATTATTGTGTAGGCGTCGTCGACCAAGCTATGGAGGAGAAGCAACGTTCGATACAGGACGCCGGAGATGACGCCTCAGCACAGCGAAAGGCCCGGGGCGCTCTCTACGCCGAGGAGGTCAAGGTAAGACGCGCCGAATTGACATCGTTGTATATCTTGACTAACGTACGGTCGGGCTCATCAGCGCAACCAAATCCGCAATGAGTTGTTCGTCGAGAACATTGTCCGCAAACGCGCGTTCGACGGTACGTAACCTAGCTCTGACTCTGACTCACACTTCGTGAAGCAGAACGGTCATGCACAGCGTTCCGGTCGCGTTGCCGATACTTCGAGCCACCGCAAACCGATGCAGAAGCCCGCAAGTGGTGGGAGTCCTCCGTCTGAGAGTGTCTCGCAACGAATCCCATTCACCGGAACCAACGCCCAATATTCATCACGCATCTCTTGTTCCTGGACTGTCGGACAGAATCTTCGTTCCCGCAATGGACAGATCATCTTAGCTTCCGAGACGATGGGACGCGAGGAAGCCTGACAGAGTGGGTGGGTTCCGCTGATGGATGGCGTATCCTGTGCGTCTAGAGGGGGATCCTTCGCGACGCGCTGGCCCTTGCGCGCTGCACATCTGCATGCAGTGCGGGCTTCTTTCGACCAGCAGGGCCCAGGCGGCCAGGGATCTGTTGTAATAGGCACCCAGGTATCATCGTTATCTGCAGGGTGGGTTGGCAGGAGCGCAACGTGTTGGATCCAGGAGTACTGTCGGACTTGTCTTGAGACGCTTGTACGTCAATAGGCTGGGCGGGGTAGGACCCACAATTCACTATGGCGGCTGAGCATCGGCGGGGTTTAGCCAACCGAACGGGCGGACGTCTCGATCGACCCCCAGCTTGCTGTGCCATGTGCGATGCCGGCTTTCAGCGACGGTTAAGCTTCGTCAGATCTCATCGGGAGCCCGTTGGCACGTGATTGTGAGATCATGAGGACGGCTTGCGCAACCCTCTCCACGGCGCATGTCATCGGGGCGGCTTACTCGACAGTACCAGCCCCTCGTCGACGGAGCCGTGGGCGCAGCCGTTGCCGGCACCATGGCCGAACTTCCTCGACGTTGTCCACCACCGCCATCATGCTGGCCGCCACCTTTGCAGCACTCTCATTGCTAGCCCATGTCTTCCCCATAGTCCATGCTACAGTTCTTTATCCGTTGATCGTCCAGTCCGGTGGGCCGTGGTCGGGCGCAGAAGACGCAGTCAAAGTCCCTGTCACCTTGGGTGTGATGAGCGCATGTCCGGACGCCATCCTCTGCGAAAGCGTCTTCGACCATGTCGTGCAACGTGTCGCAGACAAAGTCGACTTGACTTTGACATTTATTGGAAAGTAAGCTCATTTCATCCATTGCTTTGACTTCACACACTCAACAGCCGGTAGATTGAATTCATCCGAGCCGGACTTCGGGGTTACGTGTATGCATGGGTCGAATGAATGCGCCGGAAACGTGCAGGAGTTGTGCGCTATCAAGTACGCGCCGTTTCAACAGTGGTGGCCGTTCGTCCAATGCCAGAACTTCCAAGGCCGATACGAGGTCGGTAAGCCGGAAACGGCGCTCAAGTGCGCGAAGGCCGCAGACTTGGACTGGGAAAATAGCGGGGTTGGCGCTTGTGCAGGTCTGAGTGGGGACGGTAAAGGAGAGGAAGGGATACGCCTCTTACAAAAGAGCGTCGTGGAGACCCGGCTCTTGGGCGTCGAGTGAGTAATCCGACTCAAAGTCTCGTCACTGCGCTGACAAGACAATGCGCCCGTGGCGTTCATAGGAAGAGTTGCACTGTGATTATCAATGGGAAGCAAGTCTGTATCCGCGACGGGGCGTGGAAGCAGTGCGAGGTTAGGACTCACTTGATTATTTTTGTACTCTAACGCTGACGTACCGGCGGAACATTTCAGGGTGGACATGCCCCTAGCGACTTCATCAGGCAAATTGAGGAGGAGTTCGACAAGTTGAACAGCGATTGAAACAAGGGTCGGGGCCACGCCTGAGGTGACGGGACCTTGCGAGGTCGTCGGACAGGAGACGTCTATTCGTGCACAGCCGCTGTATTACTAGCCCCATAGTACCTCGTATATGATGATTACAAGATTGAGCCCTATTAGTGGTACTGTCACGGCGATCTCAGTAACGGTCTGGCAGAGCATAGGAGGAATACGCACTCCGCATGAGCGTCCTGACGGCGCTGATGAGGTTTATTATGCGTCCCTTCACTCCTATGTCCTGTCCTGCAGCATATCCTTGTTGTTCGTATGATTGGGCATATGGCTGCCCGAAGCCCTGGTTGACGGACTGTGCCTGCGCGGTGCTCCAGCCAACTGAACGAAGTGGGTGAAGCCAAGACCAAGAGCCAATACTCAGTGGGCGGGATCTGAGGGTACGACAGTCCATAACGTACTTCGTGCAAGGAACCGCTCTTCGCTGAGCACAGCCATAGCATTTATGAGTAGTAAGGAAACATAGAAGAGACGTCCGAGGCCCAGCATCGTGAAAGTCGAGCCTGTGCCCGAGAGAAGTGGTGGTGGACGTGTCGGAGGTGGAGGGTTGGAGGCGCCCCCAGCCTGCAGCGCGGATCGCGTGGCCGCAGGAGGCGCTTGCATCCTTCGTCCACTTCCTCGTTCTGTCATGCAGTGTGTCGGGGCGAGCCTCCGCGCTGGTACGTGTCACTTGTGTGTGTACACTGTGACCTCCTTGCTCAATCGTTTGTGTAGCGAGCAGAGCGGCCTCGACGGTGCGCGTCCATAATGTAGCGTCCAGCTCGCGGGTCTTCCAAGTTCAAGCTATCCAGCGCCGGAAGTACGTGCAATCCCGCTGCTACGAGACCTCGGTTTTCTAAGTAGGCGTACTCGGAATCGGAATACAGCGTGTTCTTGCGGCTTCCCAACTTCAAGGGTCCCGTTCAATGGCTTCAAGAAACCCTTTCACCCAACGTGCGTCAGAAAAACACCGAGGAGGAAATCGAGGCGGCCCGTCGACAGGCCGCAGAGAAGGGTCAGCTCGGAGTGTTTGAGTCGATGCCGACAGTGGAGGGCGAAGAGGAGGGCGAGGCCGTGCCTGCGTGGAAGAAAAAGACTTACACCGAGGTACGTCATGACTTGTCGTTCGCTCTCTGGCACTTTGTCGAAGCGGTCTACAGCACAAATACTCGACGGCCAACTTCAAAATGTCCCATCGCAAACTGAATATGCTCGGCCGGCAAATCGCCGGCAAGCCTATCGACCATGCTATCCTCCAGATGCAGTTCAGCGAGAAGCGCGCCAGTAAACGTATAAAGAGTATGCTGGTTATCGCCAAGTCTCATGCCGTCAAACTCAAGAACTTGAACGAGGGAAGGCTCGTCGTCGGTGCGTACCGCCAACGTCGGTTATATCTGCACATATATCTTGACCTGTGCCTGTATATCTCAGCGGAGTCTTGGGTTACGAAGGGCCCGAACCAGATTAAGCGGTATGACATGAAGGGTCGTGGACGTGCTGGTATCAAGACGCACCCACACTCACGTCTGCATGTCTTGCTCAAGGAGGGAAAGACAAGGGCGGAGTTGCGTGCGGAGGACAGGGAGAGAAAGCTGAGCAAGATTGTCTCGGCTGGCTATGTCAGGGAGGACATCCCTATCCGCAATCCCGGTGCGACATGGGCATGGTAGAAGGCTCATGTATATCGCGTACACTATACACATATATGGTAATTCACGGGCACTCCTTACACACATTACATGAATTATGAGCAGGGGGCGTGTCTGCCAGCATACAGAGAGCAGCGCTATTTCTGGCGACGCGCCACGACATGCTCGCGCTAAAGCACACTTGGTCGCGGACCACGTCCTCGTCTCCTCCATTTCCCCATACCATGCCGCGGCACTGGCGGGCACCCTTATCGCTCCTTCTCTCTGCTTTCCTTCCGCTATGTACGCTTGCCGCTAATTTGTTCGAAAACACCGCTATCGTGCGCACGGTCGAGCTCGGAGGCGCGCTCGTGCACGTCACGACCACGTATGCGGTCAAAGCGCTCGAGGACGGTTCAAGTGTGTACACTATCGCACTTGGGGAGCGGGAGCACGCGCATACAGCCTGGCTGGAGGCGAAGTTGAAAGGCCAGACGGAGCGACTGCCGTTGGAGGATTTTGGATATCATCGGGATAGGTACGTGCTGCTCTTCACCTGATATGCGGGGTAGGCTGTAACGTGTCCTGTTCAGCGGGTTCTACTTGTACACCATCGAGCTGCCCAAGGCTCTGAATGTAAACCAGACGTCCAACCTTGTCATTGAGACTGTTCAGACGCACGCAACGTACCCCTGGCCGGAGGAAGCGGCACAAAAGGACCCTCAGTCCCTGAAGTACCACTCTGAGCTTCTGGTCCTGAGTCCCTACAAGACCGCTGTTCAGCGGACGAAGATCAGGTGCGTTTTGACGCGACACATGTCGGCTCACCTCTGAAACGCTGTGTCCTGCAGGTCACCAAGCCCTCAAGTGCACTCGTACACTACTCCCGAGGACGTCGAGTTCACGACCGACGCGGTGGTCACGAAGGCTGGCGCGACTATTACCTATGGCCCTTTCTACGACATCCCCCCTTCAGCCATCCAGGACTTCGTCGACAAGAAACAGAAGGAACTTGTGATTCACTATGCGTTCGACTACCCTGTCCTGGAGATCACCGAGCTTCGGCGTACGGCCGAGATCAGCCATTGGGGAGCGAATCTCAACATCCAGGACAACATCAATCTGCACAATGCTGGTCCTCGGTAAGCCTTGGGGCTTTGAGCCGATGTGCGAATGACGTCTGACCAACAATCTGCGTTTTCCTTAGTCTGAAGGGGCACTTCTCCCGACTCGAGCACCAGTCTCAGGCTTACTTTGGCAAAGCAGCGCCTCACGTTCTCCCTTCTCTCCAGCTCCATCTCCCCGCAGGTATTCACGATGTGTACTACTATGACCTAGTCGGAAATGTGTCTACCTCCCATCTGCGTACGACACCCTCCACCCCGAAGGGGACCGAGGCCAACCGCTTCAGCTTCCTCGAGTTGCGTCCCCGCTACCCCCTTTTGGGTGGCTGGAACTACAGCTTCACGTTGGGCTGGGACTCCTCGCTATCGGACTACGCCGGTTTCGACAGCAAGACAGGCAAATATGTGGTTGGCGTGCCTATCATGACGGTCATTCCTAGTGTGGTCGTTGACGATGCGGAGGTTGCGATCATCCTGCCAGAGGGTGCAACGTGAGCGGTGCAAGTCTGATACAGAATATGGGATCCGCTGACCGGTGCTCTTCTCAGTGATATTGACTACTACGCGCCGTACCCTGCCTTATCCGAGAGCATCTCGACGCATATCACTTACCTAGACACCATCGGTCGCCCGAAGGTGACCCTGAAATACCAGCAGCTCACCGATAAGCACGGGGGTGTCATTTACGTGAGTAGTCGCTGAATTGAGTTTCTTTAATCGTTGCTCATCGTCTCTGCAGGTCACCTACAAGGTGCCGTTCACTGCGCACCTGCGCAAGCCGGTGGCTGTTGCGACGGCTTTCATAGGTTTCTTTGCGCTCGCCTTCGCTGTGAAGCGTGTAGACATTCGCCTCCGGAGGAAGTAATTGTATGCTATAGCTGCTTTCTCTCAATATAACTGAAATCATCGCGCACGTTCCTGGTCTGATCCGGGTTGTGGATTATGTGGTATTGATACAACGTGGTGTACAGGTACGTGTCTAACATTATTGCCACGAGAACATTCAGGTCATCCTGTTACTGCTGAAACTATGTACCGTGAAGGGCGTGCACCCTGGGGGCGGTGGTGAACTGTCAATGAAGAGCAAAGGATATCAGTAAGTGGTTTTCAGCGATTGTGATTGCGGATGCGGTCTTGGCTGACATATCCGTCCGACAGGCACCCGCTCCTCCAGACATTGATTCGGGATGCCGGCAGTGGCACACTCACCATTGGAGGAACAGGAACATCCCGTTTAGCCCGTTCACATCGGCGCAAGCGTAGAACAGCCCCTGATTGTCCTGCGCGCCGTTCTCGTAGAACAGCATCGTGCCCTGCCAGCGCCAGCGGCCCCCGGGGACCCCGTCCGGCTTCGTGCCCGCGATCATCTGCAGGGGCAGCTGGCCCGTACCGGTGGAGTTGTGCACGTTGACGGGCAGGATCGTGGACTCGTTGTGGTAGTGCCAGAGCTGGCTCTGGTGGATGTAGAAGAGCGGGGGGGACCTGTTGCGGTACATGGTCACGTTCCCCGGGTTGCCTGCCGGTGCCGGTGTGAATGGGGTGATGAGTTCAACCTTTCTTCGTGTTCGCGTTTGTTGGGGGTGGAAGACGAGCTCTCACCTCGTGTGGCTGCGATGGACAGGTAGAAAGGCACGTGGTTGGCGGCGCCTTGGGTGGTTGCGGGCCCGAGCCCCTCGAGGTAGGACATCCCGGGGACGAGGTTCCCGATCGAATCCCACGAGGTGTACCCCTCGAAGGATGGCATGGCCGTGACGAACGCGAGCGAGGCGACGAAGGCTGCGACGGCGACTCGGAGGAGCATCGTTGCGGTAAACATGGCGGGCTACAGGCTCAGTCGTTCGGTCGGTACAACAGGGCAGCAGCCGTTGAGCATGATGCAGTGCGATATATACTGTTGCCTCTCGGAGAATCTGCGCGGCCACGCAAAGAGGTCCACGTTGCGGCCACGCTCGCAGGTCACGACCGGAAGAATCGGCGCCATGATCCTAGAAACAGGCTTTCCGGGACATATACAGAGGAAAAGGGCGTGTGCGCTGTTTCCGTATGCTGTATAGAAATGTTTGCTCATGTGACAAAGGTCGTCCCCGCAGATTCGGCGATGAGGACCGCTTAGGAAGTACGCAGGATAATCCAAGGTGATGCTTCGGAGGGAGGGAAGTACTTACACGTGATCGTGATTTTGTTTGTGCAAACAACACGTCTGTGGCGGCGTCGCGTGGAGCGGAGACGCGGAGTTTATATCTTCTTTCCAACGACACTCACTTGACATCGCATCCTATAACTTATCTTCTTACTTGATATGCCTTCCTGAGCCACACATCTGCTTTCTTGGATATCTGTCTGTACATAGTGTGATGGACAAATTCGTCACAGCCAAGAAACCCACCACCGTCCGCCCCAACGGCAAACAAGAGCCGGCGAACAAGACTGAGCGCCAGAAGTACAGATACAACCCATACGGTGTGAGCAGGAGCAGCGAGCGCAAATTCGAAGACTGGAAGGACAAGAAGCGGACCGAGAAGTCAATAAACCATCCCAACGTAATTTCTTCTGCCGAGATGATCTGACAAGCGATGTGGTTCAGGATCCTCGCCCCGTTATTGAAGGAGGGTGAATCCGCAGCTCAAGCAAAGCCATCCTCGAGGGCGCTCACGAAGCATGTTCTGAATACGCTCAAGGATGAGTCGAATCCAATCACGCACTCGAACATCTACCTTCGTACCGGTGCGTTTCTTGAAGCTTTATAGGGGAGTTCTTGGCGCGTTACGGCACAGCACCATTCAAGCTGAGTGCATCGGCAAACGTATTTGGACATAGGCTCGACCATGGCAGTTGCTCTTTTCGTGCTTTGTGTATTCCAGCATGCGGAATTGGTCTTCCGGCATGGGTGGGCCTATTGTAAGGCGCCAATCCAGCTGGTTGACTAGAGACTACCATGCAGAATCCCCATCGTTAGCGAAAAGGCCGCTCATGGCGTTGTAGATCACATATGCTCAGCCGCAACCGGTCACCAGCGTTCTGATGGTCGTGGACCACGCAAGTCCTACATGGAAGTCCGCCGAGACAAACTCGCAAAGCAGTTGCCCGAAACTTCTACAGAGGTCCTGCGGAATGTCCGAGTGTATATCAATGGGTACTTGGACAATACGACGGACATCGAGATGAAGCGCATCGTCACGCTTGCAGGCGGTCAAGTCATGTGCGTTTCATCCCCCTTGTATGTTGACTTGCTCGGATCTTTACCTTGACGATGATGGCACAGGCATACAGCTCCTGGCGCGACCCATATCCTGACGTCGCAGCAGTTGAGCGGAGCTAAGACGCACAAGCTGCTGACGACGAAGTCGAAGGGGATCGTGCACGTAGTTCGGCCTGAATGGGTCACGGACAGTATTGACGCGGGGAAGCGATTGTCAGAGAAGGACTATGCAGTCATCAAGGTTACGAATAGCCTGAAGATCACGGACATGTTCGGCGCAGGGTCTTCTGGGACGAGTCGTTGAGCGGTGTACAAGCAGAACAGAACACAGAATGTATCCATATACTCACATACTCTATTCTCCGTTGAGTACAGTTCCTGGCAACGCTCTCAGGCGAGTGTGTGCAGCTAGTAGGAAATGAAAGATACCGGAGAGAGGGGCCGCGTTGATCATTCCAGGAAGGATGTGGCCTGAGCCCGATGGGGATCTGTGACGGCGACGGGCGGCAATGAATGACGGGGCGAGGAGAGCGGACAGTGAACACGGAGGAGCTCAGCGTGCCTCTTTGTCGCCGTCCACTCCACTCCTTCAGTCAACTGTCTCCCCTCCTTCATCCACAACTGCGCCCTCTGCATGCATATACTCACGCCTAATCACGTCCAGCTCATCTCCGCGTGCTACCCACCCTCCTCTGCGCTCCTTACTGCCGGTCCCGACTACTCGCCAAACTCACAAGAGCTCTCTCGCCTCACCTACTACGCTGCGAATCGCCCCGGAAAGATCAGCAAACTCGGGAATGAGCTGGAGAGGCGCGCAAAGACGGACAGCAGGAAGGCCGCGGCGGGCAATACGAGGGCACGAGCGTATGTCCTACGTCCATTCAGTCTCCAAGGACTTGCCCAGAGCACCCGTCCCTCTAGGTCCCTCTTAATCACATTGGCTATCTTCAAAGCCATTGCGGCGGAATGCCGCAGAGATCTGGCGTTGCTCTCACCATCCTTGCTATCTTCTGTCAATACTACCCTATCGGCTCTGCCGACGGACCTTGAAATTGCGGCGAGAGCTGCTACAGTGGTATGTCTTTCTGTCACACGACGGTCAACATGAAATATATACTCCTTGCAGTTCACGGCATGGACGACCTACACCGACGGCCTTATTATCGGTGGGGACCAGAGAGTAACGGAAGATTATATGTCCTGTCTGAAACATTTTGCGCGGCTTTGTGATGTCGACCTGACAGACCACGAAACCCGTAACCGGTGAGCTCCGAGACTCACAGTACCGACAGAGTATCTGTGTTCACGTTGAATGGTCTGGTAGCACACGACTGGTCGGTCTTGCTGCCTTCATCGGCACAGTGAGCTCGGAGGCGCTCTACCACTCTCAAACCTACTTTCAGACACAAGTACAAATCCTCATGCGCGCTATCCTTCCCTTACTCTTCCAAGTCGACGTCGTTGTGTTAGAACAGCAGTGAGTTTCGGTCGAACATGGTGCTGTCGGAGGAGACCGCTCATGAGTTACCGTAGACTAGCGGACATCAAGGAGCAGCCGAACTCGCCCATCCTGGACGAGTTCCGTTCGCGGCCTATGCTGGAGCGGAGAGCTGCCTCCATTCACGTCCACATAGACGGCGACCAGGGCCCAACTTCCTCGGATGTGGCCAACACCGCACTACGTGCGACCTCGACCCTTTTGGGGCATACGAACGGCATCCAAGCCTCTGCTGTGGTCAAAGCAGCTCTTGATACACTCGACGAGAAGCGCCGGTGGGATCAGGTCGACCACTGTCGCTGGCTGGCTGAGAAGTGGGCCGAGTGGACACAATACCAATACCGGTACGGTATTCCGACGCGGCTGGTGGAGTGTTTGGCGGAAGGCCAAGACACGCCACAACCGTCGGCGAAGCATTCGACATTGGCGGCGATGATCACGACAGTATTTACATCGCCAACGCCTCTGGTGAACCTGTCGACGTCTGATATCATTGCCAGTCTTATCTCCATCACCTTACGGAGAATTACTCTCTCTCCAGAAGATGCACTCCTACCCGCGCTGGTCGAGTGCATTTCATCACTAGGCACGCATGTCTACTATGCGGACCAAATCCAGGACCTCGCTGGTGAGCTAATCAGCCGGCTTGTCATCGTGGAAGCGAACGGGCTCCCTGGTGCAGTGAAGGCGAACCTAGAACAAGCGCGCACACAGGCCGTCCGCTGTCTCCTCGCAGGGCTTCTCGGACTCATCCACGCGGCAGACCTCCATGACGCAGGTATCGATCCCGAGGACGAGAAGAAGGCAGTTGGGACAGCGGCCGCCCTGCCCGCTGTGGCCGAGCCGAGCCGGACGTCCCAGGAGGGCCATATCCGTCCCTCCCGGAGAACGAAGGTCACGCCGGAGACATGGCAGGACACGCTGTCGCTGCTGTGCGACCGCGACTATGCCGTCCGCGCGGACTACGCGAAGGCGTTGGTAGAGTACGTCGAGACGGAGATACCGAAGTTGGGGGACAAGACCGACTCGGACGGTGTGAGGCGACCGAGACCTGTGGTGGAGGGGCCTGTGCGCCAGGCGAGCACCATCAATGCTCTGCTGTATGGCGATTCCACGACTCGCTTTCTCAACGCGCTGCACGCGTATGTCTATGCGCTAGCCACCGTTGCCAAACTTGGCCTGCTTAGCAGCTCGTCCTCCCCTGAACGCACGACGCCCGCACCCACTGCAGACGGGGAAGAGCAGGCCATGTCTAACGGCGCAAAACGCGGCGCACCAGCGATGGACCGCCCGTCGATCAGCTTTCCGCCCCGTTCACGTCGTACTTCGCTCGTCAGCCGTCTGCTGAGAGAGGCCCCCGCGAAGCTATCAGTGTCGGCCCACGTCGCTGCGGAGTTCTCGGACTTTGGCAACATCCTGGCGGTGCTGACAGCGGTGCACGAGCACCTGCCCGTCCGGAGCCTCTTGATCGGAGTGCCTATGCTCGTCGCGCTGGAGCGCGCGACAAGAGTGGGTAACGAGGAGGCGTTGGACGCTTCCACTGCTCCGGTCCTCCGGTCAATAAAGGAGCTTGTCGCCAAGACGTGGCTCGTCATTGGCCGGGTGTGGAGTTGTTCTGCCGTCACGGGGCTCGCGGAGAAGGCATGTTCACTGAATCCTGCGTAGGCCGAGCGACTGGGCTGACATGGTATTTTGTTTCAGGCTCTATCTGCCCTTCCTTCTGCAGCGCCATTACCGAGTCTGCCGGACTGGCAGTTCGGCACTTTGCAACCCCCGCAGCAGCCCATACCCTTCCCTGTTGATCTCGAGATTCGGGAATCGTTACCGGACATCGACACAGACGCTCTCGTGAGCGCCATCGCCGGGAGTGACTACGTTCAGGAGGCTACTGGCCTCGGCCTATCTGACCTGCTCCGCCGATTAGACAGTGCGGAATGGAGCGCGGACGGAGCGTTTCGAGAGTGTAAGTTCGTGCTACTGAGCTTCTAGCCTCCTCATACTGATGGTCGCCCACAAATGCTGCGACATGCACACCGTCCTACCCTTGGTCTCCGCGGCTCCTCTTTCCACTCGTCTCCGCTCTCACGGCGCACCTCTCTAACTCCGTGCAGCGATGGAGACGAAGCGGCGGTTCGACTCCTTCTCGGGGGACAACCTCTCGCCCCTCGTCAAGGTCGCGCCCACACTCATGCACGCAGAGAACCTGTCGATGCAGAGCCTCGCGCGCTCCGGCCGTGCGGTGGGTGTCACTGACCTCCGCGAGGCGCTCGAGGGGCGGAGCAGCATGTCGAACCCGAACCTCGTGGCGGGGCGGGTGCCGTCGATCTCGACGCTCGACCACACGTCGAGTGTGTTCCCGGAGGGCTTTGGGAAGCTGACACCCACGCGGTCGCGCCCGCAGCAGCGCGTGAAGCCGCGCCCGGGCGAGGTCAAGGACGTGCTGAACAAGTTGGGGATCGGGAAGCAGAACGCGGGGAAGGCGAACGGGGGCACGGTTTTGAAGTCGTCGTTCCAGGCGATTCAGAAGACGCAGTCGAGGTGAGCTGCTGGCGGCTTCCAACGTCATGACCCGGCTAATGATCTCATATGACTGACATAATGAATAGAACGAACAGGACCCCGCCGGCATTCCCTCCATACACGACATGATGCAGTCTTCACATCTAACCCATCTGGTCGCTACTCATACGGAGACCACGTATCTTATCGTAAGCATATCCTACTCTTATACTGCGTCGCATGGACATTGTCACTGTCATGGAGGGGCTGGAATGGACAGTCAGAGGCAAAATAGTTGGTAACCTGATATTCTCAGTTCTAGGTGGTCCCGTAGCTTTCCGTGCGCTTAGTTGTTTATCGTTAGTTGTTCTCACATCTCCCATATACAGTTAAGTTTGGTATCACCCAGGGTTTCATCACCGAAACAAATAATTTACTTGCTCCTGTGCCCATGCAATCTACTGCACAGCGTCGTAGTGAATTACCTACGGCCATGTGTGGATACAACACGACGCCGTGACTCCTCATCGCGCTGGCGCCAGTATGCAAGCTCGCTTTGTGCCTTTGGATGGCTCGCTGGATGGGGTCCATTCTAGACACATTGCGACATGTAGGCGGGCATGCATGCAAATGAAAGAGCTGAGATGCACTCACACTAAGGCCTTGCAGTATTTGCTCGTAGAAGGTCGATTGTGCGGACGCTTTAGCCACCTGGTCGCCTAGTTTGTCCGTATGGGTGGTGATAAGCTTCGACAGCTCTTGGCGCAAACGGAGCAAGCTATGTGTTGACAGTGTCACACATGTCATGTTAGGAGTGATTGCACCTGACAGGAGATAGATTACGCACTTCGAGAAGATCATCGTCTCCTCTGGCTGATCGGTGAGGGCAACGAATGAGTTAAATATCGTGACGTAGCGCCGGCAGACCTAGACGTAGGTTGTCATTAGCATACGTAATATCAACCATAGGGTGCATAGTCCGTTGACATGATAAGTATACTTACGCTAGACACCGCGGCGTCGGTTGTCCCACTACGACGGAAATACCCTGCAGACGCCCCCTCTGCAAACTTCTTGAGGGCGTCGACATGCTCCGCCATGAGTTTCTGGAACACGGGCCACATCTTCAGGCGGAGGGTGAAGATGTACGTCTCGAGTGGGCCGCATCCCCGCCTCTGCACCTCGGCAACAATATCCTCGGTTAGACGGATGATTGTCAGGAGTGGGATGACGGGAGGCGGAGGCTCAATGGCACCGGCGACAAACGTCTACGGTCTCAACAATCAGCACAGAAAGCCAACGGACAGGAGATACGGGGAGACTCACTGAACAGTAATCCAGGATGGGATCTATCACCTGCTTCCACAGCGCATTCAGCGCCGCCTGCTCCTCCTTGGCAGTCTGCTCTTGATTGGCAGCCGCCTGAATAACGCTGGTGATATTGACCGGTCGCATGCGTGGGGAGACGCTGTCGCTGCCGATCTCCGAGCCCGGTCCTGAGCGCAATTCATCAAATTCCCCACGGGTTGGCGAGAGGATAGGGGGTGACATGGCCGCAGAACCTGTTTGATCTCTGCTCTGCGGCGGAGGGCGAGGCTCGTTTGCGAAGAACGATGTGATGAATGCATACTCTGCCGTTGCGTTATCCATGAGCACCATGAGGGCCGAGCGGACTAGCGCTTCTAAAGGCTCTTTCTAGTGGTACAGTCAACGCCTTCGATGACGCTGTAGATCACTACGATGCGTACGCACATAGTTCTTGTCCTCAGTCATATAAGCCATGGTCACGCTGGGACCGTCTACACGTGCATATGACAAACGATTTGCATCGAACTCTAGCCCTTGCGATGTCTCGCCTGCGCCGCTTATGATACTTTCAGACTTCTCGACTGTTCGAGCCTAAAGGAGGTGGGGTAAGATGCGCATTGCAAGGAGCAGAACATGCCTTCCTTACTTTGACCCAGCCAAGACCTCGCAAGTACCGTCGGAATCCGGTCTCGTAGAAGGTACGCACACTGCTGACATAGGCTCGTTGCACCTCACTTGCAACATTGCTCGCGTGCCGCTGAAGGAAAACGAAAAGAGGGCGATACTTCATCCAAACTGACGATTGTAGCATCTGCAAGTTTGTAGTCATGCTCGTTCGTATGGGCTCAAGCATTGCCAGGAAGAATGTCCGGAGTTTGGTCGCAGCCTGGTTGCGGTGCTGAACAACGCCATGAACGGCTACATCAAGATTGCACTTACCACTATTCGCAAGCCTTCCGCAACCTCTGACAAGTCCCGGGCAGCTTTGACGCGGACTCGTAGCTTGAGGGTTTCTAGTCGTCGTTCAAACTCCACGATGGCGGGTATCCAGTCATCATCGACGCGAGTGTCCAGTATAAGCGTCGCGAGTGCAGGGGGTATGCATAGGTCACTGATGAGGTTGGACAGAGGCTTCTCGATCCTCTGGACAACGCTAGGTATCGAGTATTGGGAATACTGGAGAGAGCACTCACTCTCCGCCCCTTAAGTCTATTATCGATATCCTTGCTCCTATCCTGAAGATTGGATATTTGTCCGGATACAGCAGACAAGTCCTTCTGGAAGGTTGAAAGGAAACCTTCTAGGGAGTCAAGCAGGTTGACACTCGTCTGAGCAGCGAAGATGAGTTGGGGGCACAGTGACGCTGTATAAGGTGATGGATATACCTGAACTTGGTCATGGAGCTCAACAAACTCCCGTGCTCGGAGCTGGTCTTCCGGACACATGTAGACAATGAATGACGCGATGTGCTGGGCACTCACAAGACGGTCCACCCTGTGCGGGCCCCGATGGGAGGTCGGACACTCCTACAGTCTGCTTGCTGACGTCCGCCATGGCTATAAAGTGTGTGTGTGCTGTTTTCCCTGTGATACCCTGCAGAGGTGAATGAATTGGCAGCGAAGAGCAGTAGTGACGTCTACGGTACAAGTACGCCAAGGTCGGTGCATAGGTGAATATGCTGTAGACGCCGACGCCCGCTAGATCTTAGATCGCTTAGCACTCTACCAGCGTCCACTACTACCTGACTTTCCATCGGACTGGATATTCCCCTGCGCGCAATCATCAAACAGTCGTCGACGTATACACGAGGGTTACGCGGCTGTTGCAGTCCGTCCTTGTCAAACCCGGGTAATCCATTGAGTTCGGTTGGAACATGTGAACTCATGCAGCCTGTCACTTGACTTCCTGTTTCGACGGCGCGGTGCCTTGTATAAACGGGTACGCTGCGCTACTATCTTCGAGTTCTGTGAACTGACACATCGTGGATTGATTCTCAGCTCACGCGATAACGTTGGTCACTACAACCGCGTCTCAAAATCCGATGCTTACTAGCACCCGCTTCCTAAGTTTGCCTAAGGTGTGATATGCCGCCAAGGCCTTCTCCTTGTCTGTATCGTTGTGCCTGGGACGTGGCACCTGGACATATAATTATATCTTGACTACAGAGGGGTTTTCCGGATTGGTAAGTGTCAGCAAGGTGATGCTGTATTCACCGACAGTCGGGTCGGAACAACTTCTCAGTCCCCTGGTAGGCAATTCTATACGCTCTTTTTAGCACGCGAGTCTCGATATGGAGACCGCAGCAAGAACGAACCCCGCAGATGAGAACACCTGTCCACACAAACTCCCAGGGCTACCCATCTGACTAGCTTATAATGGGCCGTCCTCAGCCTTAGTTACAGACTGATTTCCAAAATGACCCTCAGTCCCCAGGCTATAGCGTCCTCTTGGTTCAATGCGTTCAGCGCCGCTTTCACTGTCGGTGACCTAGACGCTCTGGCGGGACTATTCCTTCCGGATGGCTGGTTCCGAGACCTGCTGGTTTTGACGTGGGACAGCCGTTCCCTCGAAGGACGGGAGAAAATCAAAGCCTTCTTGTCGCCGACCATCTCCGGCGCGCAGGCTACGGATTTCAAAGTCGAGGAATCGTCACACCTCGCGCCCCACACGTCGTTCATACCGCAAATCCAGACCACCGACATCGAATTCGGATATACCTTCAAATGCTCCCGCGGGCCAGGCCGCGGCTTTGTTCGCCTTCTCGCAGACAGAGACGGAGACGGAGAGTATAGAGCTCTAACGGTTATGATGATGCTTTCAGACCTATGGGGACATGAAGAAAGTCCGACCTTGCATCTCAGAGAAGACGTCGCTGGTGTCGCCGGTCGTAACATGCAGAGGGAGTTTGCTGACTGGGTGAAGGAAGTCGAAACTAAGCCTTACGTTCTCATTGGTACATATTGTCTAGCCTGTTGTACGGTTCTCCCCGCTGACGATTCTTGTTTTGCTCAGTTGGTGCGGCGCAGACTGGTCTGCATGTCGCCGCCCGCTTCAAGCAGATGGGCCTACCGACGCTCGTCATCGAACGCACTCCTCGCATCGGTGACGTTTGGCGCAAGCGATACCTTTCTCTGGCCCTGCACACTCCACGAAAGCACCACTCATGTATGCAGTCTTGTACACGTAAGGTTGAGGTGTGTGCTGACGAGTTCTGAAAAGTGCTGTATCAGCCTTTCCCCGATAATTGGCCACAATACACCCCTCGCGACAAGATCGCCGACTGGTTGGAGCAATACGTAGCGGTCCAGGACCTGGTTGTCTGGACTAGTGCCGAACTTGAGCCACGGCCCAAGTACGACTCCGAAAAGCGCGAGTGGGACGTGACCATTATCCGAGATGGCAAGGAGTACAAGGTGCGCCCCGCGCACATCATCATGGCTACCGGTACTCTAGGCGCACCGTACATACCGGACGTCGCTGGCAAAGACGTTTTCGACGGGCGTGTCTTGCACGCCACCCTGTACAACGACCCTGAAGAGTTCACCGGGAAACGCGTTGTGGTCATCGGGGCGGGCAACACAGCCATCGACATCTGCCAGGACCTCGCGCTGACCGGCGTGGGGTCTGTAACGATGGTTCAGCGTTCGTCTACATGCGTCATGAGCCGCGACTTCATGACCGACGTCATGAAACATGTATTCCCTGAGGATGTTCCCCTTCCTATCGCGGACTTCCGTAATGCAGGCATGCCGTATGGTCTGCTGAGGAAGCTGAACATCAAGGCCGAGGGATACATGTGGGAAACACAGAAGGGGCTCCATGAAAAGCTACGCAAGGGTGGTATCCATGTGAACATGGGACCTGATGGCTCAGGCCTGTTCTTTCTCACCCTTGGGCGGCTAGGAGGTGCGCACTCATGCCATGCTTCGTTTCGGTGACTCGCTAATCATCCTGATTGTAGGCCTTTGTGAGTCAATAAGGTATACTGCGTTGCGACTGAGGAGTGTCTAACTCGATTACAGGGCAAGACAAGGGTGGCGCAGATCTCATCGCGGCAGGAAAAATTAAGGTGAAGCATGGCGTCGAAATCGACCACCTTACGAAGGCTGGCGTCGTGTTCACGGATGGCTCCGAGCTCCCTGCCGACGTTGTGATCCTCGCGTATGTTAGCAGACTGTATTATGACAATGGTGAAGTAGTAAAAATGATTCTTCTTTCAGGACGGGATACCTACAGATGAAGGAAACTAACCGGGCTTTGCTTGGTGACGACATCGTTGACCGGACAGGGGAGCTGTACGGGCTGGATGAAGAAGGCGAACTGAAGGCCAGTTACAGACAGAGCGGACATCCTGGAGTGAGTGTTTCATCCATCATCTTTGAAAGGCCGCGTATACTAACGGGAATTGCTACACGATACAGCTCTGGTACGCTACGGGTGACTTCTACCAGAGTCGGTTCATGTCGAAGATATTAGTAGGTCATTTTACATAACAAAATCAATGTTCCCGTATTCATTTGCGTATAGGGCTTGCAACTTCAGGCTAGGCAGTTGGGTATAGTTGATTGACCCAGATTCGTCACAAGACTTCGCCGAGATGGAGGGTCACGATGCACTCGATCTCATAGGATCAGTAGCGGCTTGCTGTCATCTCCTGATTCTGCCACATGTACCCCTTGCTGATAGAATACCTGAGGCACTCATTTGGAGATCTAAGGCAACGACGAGCATCTCAGTGGCTTGGTAAATGCAGATGTTTTCGGCAGGGCTCGGGCGCTTAGAGGTTCCATGGTCCGTAAAGAACGGTTATAAGGCAAATGCCTACAACTATATAAACAGGACTCGACATTCTGCTATCATATGTGTTGTGGCGCGTTCAGGGCTTACGTTAGAGCGCGACAGTGGTTGATGTGTAGACGCCGTCCTCACCGCCGGTCACAACCGTTCAACTGAGATGGCCCCTGGTAGCCACGTGGTGGCAGTGGACCCATACGTAGAACTCGGATCTCGATCCCTTCGCCATCTCTCCCTCAGTCTCGCTACGACCTGTGGAGGGTGCCACTCTAGTCGACCCCTCATCAACGCTCATGACACCCAATGATAAAGGCTTTGCGTTCCTTCAGCGTTTCCCACCGCCACACAATAGTGCCTACCGACGGTGAGAACACGAAGCTCGAAGCAATCACGCGGAGCTTAGGCGCGTAGGACACGGGTCCTCGAGTGCTCCATCGGCTGCCGGTCCTGACTTCGAGCTTTTCCGCGTTCTTAACTCAGGAGGATACACTAAGGGGTGCTACCGTACCGTCGTCCGGTAGACGGTTGCCACACGGCCGTGAGCCGCATTTGGCAAACGAACGGCAGCGCCGCTGCATCTGTTCTTTATAGTGGTCGCACGCGCGACTCGCCGGTGGGTCCACTAGATTCGCTACGATCCTTCTTCCCATGAGTGACTGAAAGAAGTCTTACGCATGCTCGTACCCAGGTGGTCATCATTCCCGGAAAAGCATATCAAGTACTCAGCGTGCTTGGGCGGCCAAGGCGATAAAGTTCGGCCGCCGTCTTCCCTGCCCAGGCGCATTATTTCCCCCCTCATCGCCCTCTTCTCCGTACCTTGACTACACTACATCTCATGGCTCTTGATCCCCATCGTGTTGCCTCCGATTGGCTTGCAGCCTGTTCATCTGCGTTGAACCGTGCGGAGGTTGATGCTGTCGTGCAGCTTTTCCTTCCGGACGGCTGGCTCCGGGATCTCCTCGTGTTTACCTGGGACGTTCGCTCTCTGGCAGGCCGCGAGAAGATCGCGGCATATCTAGCCAACACGCTGTCCCCGGCGAAGATCACAGAAGTCAAGCTGAACGAGATCCCGGGTCTAGCTCCTGGAGCCATCGTCATCCCACAGCTTAGCGGTGCGCAGGCTGTAGAGCTTGCGTTCACCTTTGAATGTCGTCAGGGGCATGGTCGTGCGCATGCTCGCCTACTCAAGGACGCCAATGGAAAGTACAGGGCCTTTTCGCTTCTGACCGAGCTGTCGGACTTGCGTGGCCACGAGGAGCTCAGCACGCTGGCGCTCCGGGACGATGTCACTGGTATTCCTGGCAGGAATATGCAGCAGGAGTGGCGAAACTGGGTGGAGGAGGTGGAGACTAAGCCCTATGCGCTAATCAGTATGTCTATCATCCACGAACGAACCCCTATCCGCTGATCAAGATACAAATGTGAACATCAGTTGGTGCTGGACAAACGGGCCTTCACATGGCCGCACGCTTCAAGCAGATGAACATCCCAGCTCTAGTGATAGAACGCAATGTTCGTGTGGGCGACATCTGGAGGAAGCGATATCCGACATTGACCCTCCATACAGTGAAGAGACACCATACCCGTAAGATTCGATGTCTCTTCGCGGTCTGACACTTTGGGATCTGACATGTTGGGACGCTTGCGGTGTTTGGAAGTGCTGTACCAGCCATTCCCCACCAATTGGCCCGAGTACACGCCAAGAGATAGAATCGCGGATTGGCTCGAACTATATGTCATAATGCAAGACCTGGTCGTATGGACGAGCGCAGAGATCAAGGGCCACCCCAAGTACAGCATCGAGACCAAGGACTGGGATGTAACAATCTTCCGCGAAGGCTTCGAAGTGAAGCTGCGCCCCGCTCACATCGTCCTCGCTACCGGGACGCTAGGTGAACGCAACATACCGAACGTGCCGGACATCGACCGTTTCCACGGCCAGGTCGTGCACTCACAGGACTACCAGGGAGGCGCGGAGCACGCAGGCAAGCATGCCGTGATCGTTGGGGCGGGAAATAGCTCCATCGACGTCTGCCAGGACCTCGTTTTCCAAGGCGCCGCGTCCGTGACGATGATCCAACGCTCGTCGACGTGCGTCATGTCGCGGGAGTACATCGCGCGCCGACAGCGCGCCACCTTCCTTGAGGACCTCCCCCTCGAGATATCGGACTTCAAATGGGCGTCGCTTCCGTTCGGGCTGCTGAAGAAATTGAACATCGCAACCCAGCAAGCGGCATGGGAGGAGGATAAGGAGTTGCATGATAAGCTGCGGAAGGGTGGTGTCAAATTGAACATGGGCCCAGAGGGGGAAGGGCTCTATCTGTTAGTGATGGAGCGAGGAGGGGGTGAGTTGCCTCGCAATTCAGTCTTCCGTTCGATTCGCTGACAGCTTTCGACTAGGCTACTGTGAGTTCGCTGTGCGTGAGCGAGGGATCGTACTTGTACTCAATGGGTTCCTTGATCAGGGCTAGACAAGGGTGGTGCAGATCTCATTGAGGACGGGAGGATCAAGGTCAAGAACGGCGTTACGGTCGAGAAGTTCACCGAGAACGGCGTCGTATTCAGCGACGGGTCCCAGCTTCCCGCTGACGTCGTAATCTTCGCGTAAGTTCAGAGGTTGCGGCGGTGAATCTCCGCTGACGCCTAAGGCATTCTGCTTCTTCAAGAACCGGCTACACCAACATGCGCGAGAACAACAAGGAGTTATTTGGAGAAGACGTTATCGGTATTACAGATGAAGTGTATGGGCTTGATGAGGAAGGCGAACTTAGGGGTAGCTATCGCCCCTCGGGGTATCCCGGGGTCAGTATCTTGCCCCTCCTGCTCCAACGTCTCGTCGCTGATCGTAACGGCGTTGAACAGCTCTGGTTCGCTAGTGGCGATTTCTACATATCTCGCGTCATGTCGAAGACCTTAGTAAGCGAAACGCTCTCCTCCTAGTAACTGAATTCGGAATTAACGCTTCACCATTCTCTTCTTTAGGCACTCCAGCTCAAAGCGATTCAGCTCGGCCTTCTCAAGCACAATGGCCGCAGAGACGGACAGCAGTGGAGCGGCCCATGAACGTACCCATTGTTAGATACAGTGCTGTATTGTACTCCGGTGTATACCCATGCAGGTAATGAAGCAAATTATCCCTGTGACTGCGATGCAATAGCGATGTACAGTAGACGACAACTACAGAACTGGCTGGAGAGCATTGTAAAGCGAATAGCTAGTGTCCGAGACATGGCCATAGTAGGCCGCTTGCGGCTGCGCCTGAACCACCTCCTCATCACTTGTCTCATCGGGCCCCAGCAAAATCCGCGCATCTTCCGCCTCGGGCTCAGCTGGGTCAACCACGAGCTCGCGGAGAATATCCGTCAGATCAGGGCGCACGGCTTCCATCTCCCGTATCCACTTCTGACTGACCATCCATCTCGCGACGCCCTTCGGCGGGAGGAAGAACCCGTCCTTGGGCGGCCCCTCGCGGCGCACGCGTCGCCCCACCCCGCGCTTCGGCCTGAAGCTCTTGTCAATCCTGTCCTGGTTGTCGAGGATCGCGTAGAAGCGGAGCAGGCGCGAGCTGCGCCATGAGAGTCCGCGCGTGCGGAAGACCTGCATCGTCTCTGTGCTGCCGCCCATGGGCGCGGGCTCCTCGCCGTCTGATTCCTCGGAGGACATGCAACCCTGTTGCAGCGCGCTGTCGAAGGCTGGCTGGGAGAAAGCGCCGACATTGTTGCGTGCCTCTGTACGGTTGGCAAGCTTCTGCAGAAACGGTACGCCGGATGAGGCGCGCATCGTTAGCAGGAATTCTAGACCAAAGACCAAGAAGACCAGGACACTCACGGTCTTCTTCCTGTGCAACCGACGCGCCTTGAGTGCCTTGTGGTCCTCGCGTCTCTGAAGCTTAGATGCGGCTGTGGCGTCGCCTTGAGACTTGTACTTCTGCCGAAGCGTGGTGAAGACCTGCTCGAAGGCCGCTTCGAGAGTCTTCTTTTGGAAGTCGTTGTCTGGAACGTGCTTGTACTTGTGCCGATTGGCCTTGATGTCGCTCACGATGCGCTTCTTCATAGTCGCGTTGACGGCAGATTGCTTCGTTGTTCGCGTCCACACGAAGCGCACAGGTTCAGTCACTGCCGGGATGACGCCCTCGAATGCGCTGGCCGGGAGGTCTTCGCCGTGCTTCAGTTTCATCATCTTCCGTATGTGGATACGTAGAGCATGCTGGAGGAGGATCATGAGACATGAGAATGCGGGCAGGTGCACCACGATTCCGGTACTTACATGGATAGTAAGACAGCGGTCGTCATGTCCGTTCTTTCGGCGCAAAGGTCGATCAGTCGGAGGCGCGTCCGAATCTTCCGAATCACTGGAGTAATCCGTGTCGTCCTCCAGGACGCGGCGAGGCCGCTTGCGCGTATCCCGTCCTAGTTCCGGTGTAGCGGTGCGGGAGTTTGTTGGGCTACCGTCCGACTGAGGGGTCAGCGGGCCCTGGAATGCATAGATAGAAGGCGTAGGGGCCGAGACAGAGGGCGAGGGGGACTCTTGGATAACATAGAGGGCGTCCGTGCCATGGGCGGATAAAGGACGAGAAGATGCGCCCTGCACGAACATAGGCATAGGTTGCGCCACTGAGATGTGCTGGGACGCGAGAGACGCATGAGGCATGGGTGAATGCGAGAAAGGCTCAGGTGCCGGAGAAACCGGCTCAATGCGCGCTGTCGTCGGTATGGTTCCAAATGACCTCTCCTGTACTTCGGCTGGAGGAGCCAGGCTAGGGTGCATGCTGATGTACGCCTTGAGCATAGATAGTTCCTGCTGGACGGTCTCGAGACGCTGCTCCATCTGCGCCTGCACCTGGGCAGCCCTCGCCTCTTGTTCGCGCTCCCATGCAATGCGGCGCCGGCTTTCCGCGGTAGCCGCATTCTTGGCACTGGCTATTACGCGATACAACTCGTGAACTACGGGAGGAGCATGACGAGGTGGGGGCGGCGGTGGTTGAATGACGGGAGCAGCTCTTTGAAATTCATTGAGTCAACAGAGGGAGGGAGCACCAAGCGGGAAGTGTGCGTACTGTGTAGGAGGAGGTGGCTCTTGCGGTACCATAGCAAGCTCAAGCTCGCTACGATGCGGAGCAGTTGGCTGAGGCACCTGAGCATGGCGAACAGCCGGCGTAGCAAGTGGGTTAGCGGGATTAGTGGTAGGGTACTGCCTACGCCTTGGTCGCTGGACTACGACGTGGGGATTTAAAGCGTTAGAGAGCTCGCTGGACGACATTGCATCTGTGGTTCAAGGTACAAACTGGACAGCATGACGTCCGGCATAAGACGAGTGCCGGCGTCTAGTCGTCGGTTGGACCAACGGACACAAATAACTGTCTGGCGCACGTGGTCGAATACACCCGACGCGTCAGCGACGCGTGTGCTTCAGTCCGCGATCTGCACAACTATCGTTCTTACCCCTTCCCTCCATCACACCCCCCTCACCTCAAGAACTCGCCATCATGGAGTCTGACATGGATGCTTTGCTTGCGCAGGCCGCGAGTGGACGCGGCGGAGGCGAAATCAGTATTCCAGACAAGTACGCTCTTCCTCTGTCGCGACGGATAGCCTTTCCTCACTTCTCTACAGTGGCGAGGTCATCCATATCTCGTCCTTGGCTCTCTTGAAGGTATACCGCATGGTTCTAGCTATGATGTTTTTGGATGACGTACGAATCCTCTCCAGATGTTGAAGCATGGTCGCGCCGGCGTACCTATGGAAGTCATGGGTCTCATGCTCGGGGAGTTCGTGGACGAGTACACAGTACAAGTCATCGACGTCTTCGCTATGCCACAATCAGGGACCACTGTCTCCGTTGAATCCGTCGACCATGTATTCCAGCAAAAGATGGTGGACATGCTCAAGCAGACTGGGAGGTGAGTTCTACTCTCGTAGCGCGGGATGCATTCCCGCACCAAGCATAGTGCTCGGGTCTTAATTCTCATACCATGCGAGCCGGCGGCAATTGTTTGCTGCAGTCTTCTCATATCTTGCCATGGTACATATTTTTCTGTCTATTGCCCCGTGTAAGCAACGTCTATAAGCTTTGCGCCCCATGCTGCATGATACGTGAACGCGCACGCTTTACATAGTCTTGGGCTCCGCCGAACTTCCGTGGATCTCAAGTGCTGATCGTTCTCAGGTCAGAAATGGTGGTCGGCTGGTATCACTCACATCCCGGATTTGGGTGCTGGTTGTCAAGTGTAGATATCAACACACAACAGGTACGTCAGGTGCTTGTATGCCTAGGACTACACACTGGATCCTGACGCTGGCGTGGTGCGAAGTCATTCGAGCAACTGGACCGCCGTTCTGTCGCCGTCGTCGTGGACCCCATCCAGTCTGTGAAGGGCAAGGTCGTGATTGACGCGTTCCGGCTCATCAACCCTACAATGGTCCTCCAGGGCCTTGAGCCGCGTCAGACGACTTCTAACATCGGTCACATCAACAAGCCCTCCATCCAGGCCCTCATCCACGGCCTGAACCGCCACTACTACTCAATTGCCGTCAATTACCGCAAGACGGAACTGGAACAAGCGATGCTCATGAACCTTCACAAGCGGAACTGGACCGAGGGTCTCACGTTGCGCGACTTCAACGGGCACAAGGAGGCGAACGAGAAGGCGATCAAGGTACGCCCTCGCACGGCAGCTCGGTCGTGCGACAGCTTGGCTGACCACTATAATTGCCCGTGTGCCCGCTCTGCCACGCGCGCTCCGTCTCTTGGCTTCCCGCCATGTGCAGTCGATGCTCTCGCTGTCAGAAGCGTACAACAAGTCGGTCCAGGAGGAGTCCACGCTGTCCGCAGACCAGCTCAAGACGCGGCACGTCGGGAAGCAGGATCCCAAACGGCATCTGGAGGAACAGGTCGAGCGGGCGATAGGGGACCAGGTGGTGCAGAACCTCGGCACGATGCTTCTGGCAGAACTGTAACTGTGTATCTTTATCCCGGACTTCGCCTTGGCCTTTTAGCTCCCGATCTCTGCCTTTATCGACGACGTCTGCATCTCGAATACGCTCGCAACTCCCCGGCCGAACCCCGCGCAAGGGAAAGCTCTCCATAAGCGCGCCGCCGTCGACCAGGGACCCTTGACGCACGAGAGATAGGATACTCGGAACACTAACGCTGTCTTGGGCGGGACCTGGTGACCAGGCGCGTCTCCAGCTTCGACGGTATGCCTCCGCGTAATGGCAAAGTGTGCGATCATAGGACGGGGAGATGACATAAATACGAAGCTTTTTAGTCGCGATTGGCCTGGTCGAGATCTGTCCCATGGCAGTTATCTCAATGGGGCGCTGCAGCCAGATTGCTGCGCGGACTTTGACTCCATGAACTACCGGTTGTGAGCGATGAGTAGTCTCCCACTGGGACGAACCTACTGTTTCTGGTACCGGGGCGTGCCGCCGCATTACATATACATAGCTAGCCGGGTCAATGCAGAAGTCGACATCTGAGCAAAGTAGATTGGAAGTAACGTATACGAAGAACAGATGGCTATGGAAGCACCGCGGCGAGCAGGGTCAGGTCATCGGGTCACTGTTGTCGAGGAGCTGCCGCCTGCTGAGGACGGGGATGATGCCCATCATCTTGGCGCGGCGGATGGCCTTGGCGACCCTGCGCTGGTTGCGCCAGGTGAGGTTGGTGTCGGTGCGCCTCTTGATCTTGCCCATGCTGGTGACGAAGCTGGAGAGGAGGGACGAGTTGAGGCACTCCCTGAGCGGGTCGATGCCCGTCTGGTGGAAGACGTCGGTGTGGCGGGAGGTGGCGGCGTCGGGGCCGAGCGCGGGGCGCTTTTTGTAGGAGCGCGCCTTGAGGTACTCGTCGCGCGAGAAGTGTTTGGGCTGGACGAACTGGCGGAGGAGGGGGTTATCAGACGCGTTTCAGGCTGGGAGGGTAGTCTGCTGGGGACGGGATTCGCCCTGCCGACTTGCGGGGTCTTAACAAGTGTCCTTGTGAAGAGAGGGTACTGCACGGACACGACAGGCGACCCTCCACATGACTTGGAGCAGAGTCCGTCATCTTCTGCCCCGCCGGCATGTATATAGCCTTCGCTGACACCTCAAGGATTTTCTCCTCCAACCAATCAAGGGCCGCCAGTCGTACGCTCTAACAGCATGAAGCATCGAACGCACCTTGTGTAGCTGGAATCCTGTTAGGATGGGGAAGCTCCCAGGTTTCGTTATGTTTGCTACAGCACATGCCAGTCAGCGGTGTGATCTGGCAAGCTTGGGGCGTAGGTGGATGCTCGCACTTGGAACGGTGTCAATGATGCCATCGCCGCCGTCTCCCGCCCTTCCAGATTGGATCACTTGCTGCTCCTCGGAGACCTCTTCGAGCATGTCCGAGAGATCGTCCACGTTGTCAGGCTCCGGCAACGACGAGGACAGGTTGTAGGATACGGAGCGCGTCGCGGCAGCCGAGGCCGTGCATGTCTGGCGACGCGCCGCGGTGCGGATGGCGCCGACGAGGGAGAGCATGGCGCGTCGGGTCCTGCGATCAGACAGGAGGTCAGCGATGGAGTTGAGACAAGACGCGTGCGGTAGGGGGATGCCATGGAGCGTCGGACAGACCTTTCCTAGAGCGAGTTTGGCGTGTTGGGAGCTGGACTCGGTCCTGTGACTGGCGTGAGACGGCGAGAGTGAGCGTTGATGGAGGTGGGACTGGGGGCGGAAGGGAGTGCGAGCGCAGGTGACTGGGACGGACTGTATTGGATGTCGAGAACCGCTGCCTGCGAGGTCACCAGCCGAAGCCCAGCCAGCCCAATCCCGCGGTGCCACCAGAGCCAGGACCCCGGACTCCGGCGCATCCGGACCCGGGACAGCCAGGGCGTGTTCCGGATGTTGCATCCCGAACTCTCCTTTGTCTTTCTGCGCCGACACGTTCAAGCAAAAAAATCTAGGCACCCGAGGGGCAGCGGGGGCGCCGCGTACGATGGCGTGCAGCCCACGAGACTCAGTTGGGGCGCCGCTGCGCGCTATGCAGGAGAAACGAGGAAAATAAGGGGAGACGAGGGTGTGAGAAATCAAGTGCGGCGCGGCCGATGGTCTAGAGGGAGTTAAGCGCGGAAGGGCGAGTCTGCTCATTGAGACCAACTCTGAATCCCTCCTCCTCGTCTCCAAGTCACCGCCGCCCATCCCGTTATCGCTCCCTCATGCCAATCCTCAACTGAACCACTCTCTCCTCTTTTCTCTTTTTCTGTCCCACAGCCCACTCTCTCCCATCCCCACCACACACACCCTGCTCACGACCATCCCTCCCTTGCGCCCGACCACGGCATCTACATGTCCGACTCGAGCGTGCCTCGACGACAGCCGCCAAGTCCGCTTGTATTCAGCCCCGAGACCGTCCTCAACAATCCCATCCAAGTTCAGCCCAGCACCAGCAGCGCAGCCAACTCTCATGGATCCGGTTCAAACATGGTATCTATGCCTTTCGTCAGGCGACATGTCACCCGTCGCCTCAAGGCCGCAAAGGCAGAGTGCGACAAGGAGCTCCAGCGCGTCACCAACTCCATAACCTCCTTCTTCGAGGAACGGCTCCGGGAGGGCGAGCACGAGCAGGAGCAGGAGCGCGAGCAGCGGGAGTACGAGCGTGAGCGCGATCGCGAATCCCAGGCGGGCGATATCGAGCCTCTCCGCGAGGCCTTCGTCCTCCAGCCCCAGGAGCTGCGATCCGCCCTGCAGTTCGACGAAGTCAGCTCGGATGGAGGCTACGAGGCAGAGCCCGAGGGTCATGGGCACAGCCGCCAACGTGCGTTTCTCGACGACGACCGTCCCGAACATCCTACGCTGACCCACCGGGCTTCGTCACCGGGACTCCTTACAGCGTCTGTCTCGTCGACCAGCCCTTCGTCGCTCCGTCGACACCCCACTCTGCCCAGGGAACGTCCCATCAACGTCGTCGCCTCCAACACCGGCGCGTCGAGCCCGTCGTCGGTGACCACCCCGCCGCCCGAGGCGGTCAGTCCGCGCAAGCAGGGCGAGTCCTCGCGCTCGGGACAGTGGGCCGGCCAGAGCCTGGCCTCGCGCCGGCTGTCCCGCACCATTCACATCCCTGCACGCCCGCCCCGCTCTGGACACAGTTCCCGGTCCACGTCCCGTTCGCGCTCGCCCCTCCCGCGCTCCAGCTACGCCGACTCCTCGTCCAACCGCCGATCATCACGCATATTGGTCGACGACCCCATCGACCCGATCATGACCACGCTCTACGAGATCATCGCAGTCGCGACGGACGTGCTCGACATGTCCATCAACCAGCTCACCGCGAACCCGAAGGTGTGCGAGACGCTCGTCCAGCGCGTGCAGAACATCGGCAAGGCGTGGGACGAGCACCCGGACTGGCACGGGCGCAACTGGTACGTGCAGGTGCTCCTCGCCATCGCGAGTCTGAGCCGCGTCGTCGAGTGGTGGGAGGCCGAGAAGCAGTTCTGGAACTTCGACGACAACGACGACGAGCAGGAGGAGCCGCTCACGTTCGTCATGAAGCCCGCGGAGGAGGAGATCCCGGCGAACGCGCCCACGCTCGCGGCGCGGCCGGATCAGGAGAACGCGCTCAAGCTATCCGCGGAGGACGAGAACAGGCTGCGGATGTCGCGGACCGCGAGCGCGAACCGCCGCTCGCGAGATGAGGCCACCAAGGACATCTCGTCATCGGCGGCGACGCCCCAGAAGGACTCGGACCACGCGAAGGGCACTGCGTCCAAGTTCGATGGCACGAACGAGTCCGCGCGCGTGCTTGCGACGGAGCGGCTGCGGCTGCAGGCTGAGACCGCCCAGAATCAGAACATCGTAATGGAGCTGAGCTTGGACGGCGACCACTTCATCTGGATCAACTACGCGTGGCGCGGCGTGGTGGGGTACGTGTTTCACTCGAACGGTCGTTTGGCAGCATCTCACCAGGTACGCCTTTCAGCACCGACCCTGAAGACTACTTCGGGACGCGCGTGTCGAAGCTGCTCGCCCCCTCGGATTGGCACGTCTTCCGTGACGCCACACGTCGCCTGCAGGAGAACGACTCACGGACGGTCGAGGTCAAGTTCAAGCTTCGGATAGCTGGCAGCGATGAGCCGTCCAACCTCTACCAGCCGATGGAGGGCAGCGGTCTGCTCATGGTCGACCTCAAGGACGGCCAGCCGACGCACACTATGTGGGTCGTGCGGCCCGTCGGCTCCCCCGAGGTACTTCAGGCGCCCCCTTCCATCCTGCTCGAGACAGGTGACGTCGGCGATGATCCTGCGTCAGCGGAGGCCACCCAGGTGGGCTTCGGCGAACGCAGCGCGCTCGAGCCCGTGACGCCCTTCCCGTTCGCGCGGCCGATCAACACCGCGCCGATACTGTGCCGCATCTGCGAGTGCAACGTCCCGCAGTGGTACTTTGAGAAGCACAACGAGACGTGCAGCGAGGTGCACCGCCTGGAGGCCGAGATCGCGGAGTGCAACGAGTCGATCGCGGAGCTGCGCAACACAATCCGGGACCTGCAGACGGCGATGGACCGCAGCTCGCCGATGACGGTGCCCGAGTACCGCGGGATGCCGATCTTCAGCCCGTCGACGTCGCCGAGCTCGTCGTCGCCGCTGCAGCTGCTGCGCGCGCCGCTGAAGATGAAGCGGATGAGCGTGAAGCGAATGCAGCGGCAGGTGCTCGAGCAGCTCGAGGACGTGCTGCAGACGTGCGTGGAGGTGTCGATCCCGGCGCTGAAGGAGGACGAGTCGGCGGAGCCGATCGAGCGCCAGCGGCTGCTGTCGCCGACGTCGGAGCGCAAGATGGCGCAGGTGCGGCACTGGAACAAGCCGTCCATCGAGGACGCCGCGCTCACGCAGCTCATCGAGGACGCGGAGCGGGTGATGCGCCAGAAGATCGACAACGTGGTGCGCATGCAGAACACGATCCGGTACTCGGAGAAGATCCGCCAGGAGTGGGAGGAGAAGGTCGAGCGGACGCTGCAGTCCTGGGAGGGCGAGGACGCGGAGGACGCGGAGTGCTCTGGGGAGGAGGACGAGCGGGACGAGCGGGGCGAGGACCGTCCGGAGGGCGAGGGCGAGCAGGAGGACGACCACTCGAGCACGACGTCGGAGTACGCGTTCACTGGCCAGCAGTCTTCTGCGGACCCGACGCCGATCGCGCCTGCGTCTCCCATTCCGTTCAACCCTGCGCCCGAGCCTCCGCCCGCTGTGTCGACGATGAGCCCCTCCAGCCTGCCTTCTGTCTCTGCCGTCCCCGTGCCGATGTACTGGCATCTGCCCCAGGCGATCACCGCCGCGACCAACACTACGCACCAGACACGGTGCTCCACGCCTTCCTCGATATCGTCCCCACTGGCCCTCGCCGCGCCCATCGTCGCGCACGAACAGCCGCCGATGCTCGACCTGAACGAGCCTGTCTCCCATGTGACCATCCGGACGAGACGTTCGCCTCAGAACCTCGAGCCCAAGCTGCTCATCACTCCCCCGCTGTCTCCTATGGTGTCCCCTCAGGACGCGTCCAACGCGGGCACGCGCAGATCACATCGCAGGCATTCGACCGCACAGCCGTTGATCTCGCCGACGGCGTCCATGTCTGGTCAGCCGTTGTCTCCCCGTCTCCCCTCTGTCGCGCCGCTCTCCAGGACGACGCCGACGTCCATCAAGGACTTCGAGATCATCAAGCCCATCTCGAAGGGCGCGTTCGGCTCCGTCTTTCTGGCCAAGAAGAAGGTGACGGGGGACTACTTTGCGATCAAGGTCCTCAAGAAGGCGGACATGATCGCGAAGAACCAGATCACGAACGTGAAGGCGGAGCGCATGATCCTCATGAAGCAGGCGGAGTCGCCGTTCGTCGCGAAGCTGTACTTCACGTTCCAGAGCAAGGAGAACTTGTACCTCGTGATGGAATACCTGAACGGCGGCGACTGCGCTGCGCTCATCAAGTCGCTTGGCTCGCTCCCGGAGGAGTGGACGCGCAATTACATCGCTGAGGTCGTCCTGGGCTTGGACTACCTTCACCAGCGCGGTATCGTGCATCGGTAGGGATCCTTTCATGCGGGGTTTTCCCTATGTTCGTGCTGACGCAAATCTCTGCAGTGATCTGAAGCCTGACAACCTGCTCATTGACCAACACGGTCATCTCAAGCTGACCGACTTTGGTCTCAGCAGGATCGGTCTCCTCGGTCGTCAGACCCGTGCCCCCTTGGTCCCTGAGCAGCGAGGTGCCCGTGGCCATAACAGAGGTAGCCCAAATTCACGACCTCCCTCGATCGACTCGGCGTACATGGCGCCCTCGCCCATGTTCCCGGCCGATCTCATGCCCGGTGGAGGTTCGTACTTCAGCCACAGGACACCGTCGCTTCCTCGACCTGGGTCTTCCCCTTATCTCCCACTTACAGATGACCCGAGCGAATCGAGCGGGTCGGAGTCTCTGGCTTCGGGTTTCTTGTCGTTCCGCAGGAGCGGCAACACCAGGCAGCAGCTCTCCGATAGCCCTTTGCAATCCTTCGCTAGCGAACTCACGAACGACTTGCGATCGCATCCGACTCCCGGTGGTACCCCGCCCGGTGAGCAGAAGGTCGTGGGCACGCCGGACTACCTCGCGCCGGAGACCATTCTGGGCCTAAGGGGAGATGATGCTGCTGTCGACTGGGTGAGTGATCGGAGTTGTAGCTGGGCTGTTCCCACTTCAAGACACTGACTCTCCATTGCAGTGGGCGCTGGGTGTTATCACCTACGAGTTCCTCTATGGGATCCCGCCCTTCCATGACGAGACTCCAGAGAAGGTGTTCGAGAACATTCTCTCAGGTCACATCGAATGGCACGAGGACTACGTCGAGGTCTCGCCCGAAGCGAAGGACTTCATGCAGCGTCTCATGACACTGGACCCGACCAAGCGTCTTGGGGCGAATGGCGCTGATGAGGTCAAGGCACATCCTTTCTTCGCTGGGATCGATTGGGATAAGGTTACGACGACGGAGGCTGCATTCATCCCTCAGGTCACTGATCCTGAATCCACTGACTATTTCGATCCTCGTGGCGCGGTCCTGCAACTTTTCCACGACTCCGAGCAACCGTCGCTCACACAGCAGTTCACGTCGGATAGTACTGGTGCACCCGCCGGTGCTAGTCCTGAGGCCCCGCCTGCGAGCGCCCCAGTGACGTTGACCCGCGAAGCGACTGCCTCGCCTTCTGATGACGACTTCGGGTCGTTCAGTTTCAAGAATCTGCCTGTCCTGAAAAAGGAAAACGATGATATGATCCGCAAATTGAAGACCGAGACCAGCCAACAGCAGCTCGCGCCACTGACGCATGCGCTCTCGGAGCCACCCAATATCCACTCGAGGCGGCGTAGTATCTCCAGTCGCGTTGGTCTCAAGAAGCCCACGAGCATCGTCACTCCAGTCGACACCTCCAAGCCACCCTTGCCCACGAACCCGCCCTCGCCAGCGACGTCGACGTCCTCCATCTCCTCGTCGGTCTCGCGCGGGCCGCCGACACCCGGTAGCGCAAGCAGCCACGCGCGCAAACCGTCCGAGTTCGGCGCAGTCGAGCGGTTCAAGCTCAACCACCTTGAAGGAGACGTCTCGCGTCGAAACTCGATGCCCAGTCGACTCCGCACAGCATCGGTATCTACGACTGGCGACGGCTCCGTTTCAGATTCTTGGTCGAACGCGGTGCCTGTTACCCCAGTCCAGTTCGAGACGCCGCCTTCATCCGTTGCGTCGATAGACCTGAAGCGCGCCCCGGATCCCAGCGACCGGGCGGTGACGTGCCTTTTGGCGGAAGACAACCCGATCACTGCGAAGATCATCGAGACGCTGCTCATACGTCTAGGCTGCCGGTGTATCGTCGTCGCGGACGGCTCCGAGGCCATCAGTGTTGCCATGGGTGATATCAGTGAGTACCTCTCTCACGGAGCAAAGCCGAGTTTGAGGTCATTGACCATAATCCCAACAGAGTTTGACTGTATCCTCATGGATTTGCATATGCCTATTCGTATGTTACCCAGCTCCACTACCGATTGACATCTGTCTAACCAGACATGCACAGTTGATGGCGAAGGCGCCGCGCGGTATATAAAAAGTACCAACAATAAGAATTCGACAACACCGATTATTGCTGTCAGTGCGTACAGCGGAGCCGAGGTCGCGGAGTGCAAGGAGCTCTTCTCAGCTTACCTCGCTAAGCCTGTCCAGAAGGCTGACCTGGTTGCGGCCATGCGCCAGCTGGGCTTCAAGACGTCCACGGTGCAAGGGCGTGGACAGAGCACGAGGTTGACTTCCGCTCGGTGACATTTGGTATATATTTTATGGCCTTTCTTTACGAACCCCATCGCTCTGCATCATCAATCCGACTCTCCTGCTTCGTTTTCGTTCACACAACTGCTCATGTCGCGTCACGCCCGTTTCATTCTCATCTCGTTCTCGTCATTCGCATCATATCATGCATATCACTCACACATTGCAATATCCATCCATACTCCCCTTGCCGACCGTCCCTGCATTCGTTGTCTATCGCGCATTGTAAGCTAGACCTATTGTGTTATCAAATATCGTCGCTGCGATCCGGCTGGCAATTTCATTCGTCTACCTGTTTTGGTCGAGGCAAACACTTCACCGGATGGAATCGAGCCGGGCTTTCGCATGCCAATAATCTAAGTGGAGAGCGCGGTCCGCCGGCTGCGCGTCGAGTGTAGTACGTATTACATACATAGAGTGCGTGCGTCCTGCACCTTCTGTACACCCGATCTCGACGCAACGAGCCATGTTCTCTTTGTCTGTGATCGAGAAAGCAGTGTCAAGGGCGCGAAGCTGTACAGACGAGATGCTGCAGTCATTGGGGGCGCACGGCGACGACAAGTGAGCAAGTGGGTGGTGGCATTGGCAATGCGCTTATGATGCGAAGGGACCCGGCGCCACGCCCAATTGCACCTCCCAGGGCCTCTTTGGTTCGCGACTGCATGCTGCTACCGCGTTACCTGCTTCCTGCTCCGTTGCTGGCTCACAAAAGGTCCTCGATCGTTTAGCCTCTGCATCTCTGGCACATCCTACTCTTCCTGAACTATGGCAGCTCCTGGACCTTGGAGAGAGCCCGGTCCATATCCGCACTACCCCTCAGCTGGACCACACTCTCCTCCTCAGCATAACCATCCGCACTCCTTCGTTGGTGCGCAGAGTCAGTCGTACTATGTGCCTGCAATGCGAGCTCCCGCCATGCCGGGCTTCTACAACCCCGCGCTCCCCCAACCACAACCTGGTCCGGGAACCCCGCCGGGGTCTACAAGCGGGCCTCCCGCGTTCCCACAACCTCGGGTTGGACTCCCCCCGAGCTTAATGCCTGGACGGCAGTCTGTGTACTCAGTTCCTCGATCTCATTCAAACGATTTCTTCTTCCAGAACGAGCCCACTATATCCTATGGCTTTCCGCGACATTCGCGGACTGACCCCCCACCCCCGCTTCCCCGCAAGCCTGTTGCTGAACAGCATCCTCCCTTGCCTCCGAAGCCTCCGCGCTCATCCTCGCTTCTTGGTTCTCCAAATTCCCCGTCCCATTTATCTTATACTAGCTCGTACTTCTCTTCTCCCGAGCCTAGCCCTGCACCCTCGGCCCCTCCGTTTCCGCTATCCGATGAGCGTAACGACGATGCCGCGCTCATGAACCGCATTCTAGAGATTTCTTCGAAGGAGACGCGTCTCTCCCAAACCTCGGGCCAGCCGATGCTATCCGAGGAAGAACAGATCGCTCGCGCACTCGAGGAATCACTGAAGATCAGCCCTTCCCAGTCTGTGTCGTTCCCGCCTCCGGACCGTCAGGGTCCATCGGTGTCCGCTTTCCCGGAACAGGGCTCCGCGCCGCTTCCGACTGCATCTCGTTCTAGCCCTGATAACTCCGTGGCACCACTACGGCTGGCTCACAAAGATAGGAAGGTGCGGGTGAGCCAACACGCGTACATTGCAGAGCAGATTTCTGCAGACGAGGCTCTCGCGCGCCAGCTTCAAGAAGAGCTGGAAGAAGAGGAACCGCAGCCGAGTCCGAGCCAAACCCAGCGTTCACCATCTCGCTCACCCTCTGTCTCGGCGAATTCGGGAGGGTCTCCACAGCCCGAGCAGGGTCTACCTCAGTATGAGGATGTGGTGTCCTCACCGCCTCCACCAACCTCCGGGTTTTACAACCCCTCTGTCGCCGCTCACTTCTCCGTCGATGGCACTGGTTCAGATGGTTCTTCCTCTCGACCAGGGTCTTCATCAGGTCGCAACTCCCTTTACAGGAGTATATCCGAAAAGCCTATCCCGCCCAAGGGCAGCTTTCCAGACCAGGGAAGAACCCTGGGTCGCTCGCAGTCTGTCGGGGAGAGTTTTCCCACTGCCGCGACCTTGGCAGTCCCCTCTCTCACGCCCCAGGCGCTGCGCTCGCAATCTGAGCGACCGCTCTCTACGGCGTCATCAACACTAGAGTCTGTCGAGGATTCGAAATCGGGCTCTCCGAGTTCCTCCTTGCACGGTGTCGAGATCATGTCAAGCACACAGTACCTGGATACTGAGCTCCTAGCCGGACTGTGTAAGTCGGATATCCCATTCTCAGCGTCTCCGCCTTCAGTAGCTGACAGGACCTCTAGCTCTGGGCTTTGGCACTCCTTCTATCAGTTCATCTCTGAAACCGTTTGATGGTGTGATACCTAACGTCATCGCGCTGCCATATGGTCGATGTCCGCCATTCCACATCAGAGCGCCGAGCTGGCGAAACCTACTCAAGCTCATGGCGAGATTGAGCGGGACGCGGCTAGAGCCAACTATGGAAGCTTTAGCGGTTGTGAAGACCGAAATGAAGCTGCGAATAGTGGTGTCATTTGTCAAGGTTTGTTCTCTGTTTCGTTTGCGATCAGTCCCGTCTTAACTCCCTGCGACACAGGTTCACCACGCATCGTCAGATTGGCACACAGTGTTGTACATGACGATTGATCACCCCGTTCCTGCCAACGCGCCCACGGGATGGAAGTACCGCAACGGCGATACGAATACCCTCCCATTCTCCTATACCCTCTCGCAGCTTCCGGCGTTCCTCCGCGACGGCGCAGACTCTCCCCTGTCGAAATTCTACACCATACCCGCCAGCAACGAGGCGCCCTTTCCCGTTTTGCCGATCAGCTTCCCCAATCTCGCGACCTACCTCGCGTCCGCGCTGGAGAACGCGCGCGACGCCATACGTGACAGCTCGAGCGGCGTGCGGCGTCTGGCGCAGTACGTGGACCAATTCTACCCGAACGATCGGGCCGCGTTGGATGACGCCCCTGAGCGCGTGGGCATGCGTCGGCGACTCAAGAATCTCGTGGGCATAGGCAGCAAGCCTCAGAGGGACCGGAACGCGGAGGTGTACGAGCTCGTCACACCATTCGTGGCCGATGATTACGGGCGTTGACACACGTCGGTGTCGCTAACATTCGCCTCGCTTTGATTGCCTGTCTGCCTGCTGAATGCGTCGCGTATGCGGCGTCTATGGAACCACTTGCACATTGCTGGGACTATGTACGAGCGGACCCCACGGTCATGTCATGCTTTGTATCGTTTGCGTCTCGTGCTTCTTCTTTATGCCCATCTTCTATGCCCAGTGATAACATAGCCTTACGACCCGGAATCTGTATCCTTACGATCACACAGTACTCCTTTGCGACGATTCGTCTACTCGCGCCTGTCAGCTTTTCTCCTCATCGTGTATTTATTGATCTAGATACCGTAGGGAGAAGATGCATTAATCATACCTCATGCCGACTTCGTATAGGCTCTTCCACGTATGTCATGTACGTACCACCTGAGTGCCGTGTGGGTAGCTTCCTGAACTACTGACGTGATCTCGATAACATCCGTATATAACGTACGACAGCGGACGATGCTCTAGATTTGGCGGCAGCAACACGGCGCATATCCAGAAACCAAGATGTCCAGGGCCGCTGAGCAACCCCTAACAGATGTTTGACAGTGTTGTCCTTCTCAGCATTGCCAACAGCGAGCGTGTTCCTGGGTGAGGTTCACAGGTTGGCGTCGTCGCCGACCACGCGCCCAGCCGTGGCGCAGCGTTGCATTCGAACCCTGTCTCGCTTCCAACACCTCCGATGGAAGTCGGAGGCAGTGTTCGGCACTTGTTGGCACCGAGGGTGTTGATGGCTTCTAAATGACATGTTTGTACTCATAGTGCGGGCCCGACCTCGAGGTCTGCCTGCCTGCACCCTAGAGGCTTGTCACGCTGCACTGTTTAGATTAGCGGAGGAGGTGGGAGGCTGCGCGTATGTGAGGGTTACTTCCTTCCGCTCCCTTTCTTACGTTGCTCGGTCCTGGGGAGCGGGAGTCTGCAGCGGGGTTGTTCAGATGCCGTCGATTCTTCGCGCCGAATATCACAAACATGCTTCCAAACCACAATGCAGGAATACGCGTGATGTTCTTGTCCGTGACATGCTTATCCGGAAGTCGGACCCCACAACCCTAAATCTTCCCTGCATGCTGCATCACGGATGGCTTTTGGAAGGACAGAGGTTGAGCCGTACAGACTAGACACAAGCTGGAGACATAGCATTTCACATCCTCATGAGTTGAATAGTACGGAGGAAGTCCGATGAGGCTACTTACCACTTCACTACTATCAGCGGAGTCGCCTAGTAATTATTCGAGGCTCAATCCGCCCCTAGCATCGTGGCCCTTTGCAAAGCTGGCAACAACTATCACGAATTCAATTTTTGTAAGGTTTGAAGGGGACGAACTTGAAGACCTGCTTTATTTGGGTGGACACTTATAGGCGCCCGTGATGCGAGCGTGGGCGGCTGAGGCTACCACTGTACTCATACAATCGCAACATGTTCTCAGATCTCAATGTCCCGGTTCCTACCCTGTCAAAACAGCAGCTTGCGCAAGCTGCGTCTGCATCCAAAAAAGGCAAAGGAAAGCAGGATCAGAATATCCCAGTATCTGCAGCCTTCACCCCTGCCCAAGTTGCCGCCATAGAGAATCGCCTAGATCTGCTAGTGCATTGTCAGTACCGTGTCCAGAAAGTCTCTCTTCTATTCTGACTGTCAGAGCTGTTAGTAGGATACACCGTATTTGCCTTCAACCAGACAGTAGAGCGGAAGGTTGACCCGAAGACTTTCGTCAATACGCTCGATGCCCTCCTACCACAGCTGCGGAAGAGGTCAGGGGTTGTATACTTGAAGAGGTTGACTATAGTGTTGGATGAGCAAAGCGAGAAAGGCTTCGGATTGGTGCGTTGGGGCATCTCTGTGTGCCGGAGAGTCGAGTACTGAACCCTCTTGCGTGCGCGTTCTTGTAGACGAACGGAAACGCGGCCCTCTTCGCACCCTACGACCTGCTTGCCCTCGTCCCTACTACTGCGGCTACGTTTTCGCTTGCATGTCTCACGCATACACAACCCACGCCTCTGACGACACACATCATCTCGCTGCCGCTCACCCTACCTCGGTTACCCTTTAATCTCAAGCATACCCTCGTCCGAGCCGCGCTAAAGAACGGTGCCGTCTTCGAAATCAACTATGTCGGCGCACTTGGAGGTGACGGCGATCCCGCGTTGACCATTCCCAGTGGTTGCGAGAGCGGTGCTGGCGCGAAGAGGAACTGGTGGGCAGCCGCAAGAGAAGTCGTGCGTGTGACGAAGGGCAAAGGCATCCTAGTGAGCGGTGGCGTTTTCAGCGAAGGGGACTTGCGCGCTCCGCGCGATGTTGCCAACTTGTGCGTTGTGCCCCCTGTGATTTCACAAAGGCATCGTCTTTCGTGCACACTAACTACTCTTGCAGGATCAGCGTTCTTGGCGTATCGCAAGACGTCGCGCATGATGCCTCAACAAAAGTAGCTCAGTCGCTCGTCCTCCGTGCACGTACGTCTTTACGTGCCCAGATGCCTCCTCGTTCTCGTATTCATTGCCTATGCAGAAACACGAAGGACATATCGTGCAGTATTCTCCGAGCCAAAGGTCGTCATACCGTCTCATACTGGTGGCACTACCCCGCCGCGAGCCGGCAGTGGTGAATCTCAGCCTAAGCAGCGACCAATCAAAATGGAGGAGTCTACGCCACCTAAGCTTTTCGCCAACGCGAAGAAGCGACCTCTAGAGGAGAGTCCCCAGAAGGGACCAGGCCCTGCTGTGCAGGTGAAGAAGGAGGATGGGACCGCTGGGGAGAGCGGTGCGAGGAAGAAGAAAAAGAACAAGCTGTCTCAAGGTTAACCCGAGTCCGTCGTGGACGAATGTCTTCTCTTCGTGGGCACGGGGCGCGCAACAATGGGATTTGAGCATGTCTTCGCTGGTATGCATGTTACTACAGATACTTCGAGAGGAGATTGGAGAGAAGATATGGATTAAGCGTATAATATGGCTATCTGTCAAGGAAGTTTGGCACAAAAGCGTTCTATTTGTACCATTAATACGGCATGCAGTTTGCAACCATACACAATATCAGTTTGAAGGCCCGCAAATTGACCGATCCGAAGGATACGTCGCCCACCGCAAGCCGGCATGGTTGATCCAGAGGGGCAACATATCGCTCGACCAGAGCCTCCGACAGCCCGTCCATGGGTTTTGCAACGGATACCTAGTACCTACCCGGGGACGATCGGGCTGCTGCTATGAGCTACTTGGGATTCCAGGAGCATGGTCAGGGTACATGGAACGACTAGAGTGTAAAGAGATGGACCATAGACATTGTGACATGAATTCACGGCGATAGAGTGGGTAGGAGGACGGCGAGGCTGCAGGATGCGTACAACGTGTCCCCGGGGAAGCGTCTCTGATTGGTCCATGACATGGTTGGATGACTCGGATGCGTAGTGGCTTAGTCGGATCTTATCTGATAATTTGTTATTGACCCGCGAGCCGCAGACCTGCGTAATCTACCTTTGCCGTTCGCCCTCATCGTTCTCGATGATGTCCGACATCCTATTGACGGCCATGCCCACGAACCGCCATAACCGCCGGCCATCATCTTATATAGTTCCGCCTCTGTGCCATCTTGCCGCAAGCACGCCAGGCGCAGCCCGACCCAAGATCGAGGTCAGCCTCGGAGTTTCTCCAACACCATGAGCGCCTTCCGGAAAGTGGTCGCGTTCGCTCTTGGACACAACCCCGACATGGATCAAACGAAGGTCCAGCTGCAGGGCGCTGACATCCCTGTGTCCGACGTTCCTTGCAGAGCCTGTCCCGACCCCTGCGATGAAGGCGAGAGGCGATCACTGCGTCTTCGTTATATCATCTGCTAGAGTTTTGCGCTCACGTTCTCGGAATAGGTCATGATGAGTATCCCAAATTCGATGTTGATCGAGAAACCGACATGCTGGGCTCTGTCAAGCCCTATGGTCGTCAAGTATGTCCCTGCGTCTGCTTCAAGGCTACACGAACACGGGCTTATGTTCAGGCTAGATCGTTATCTCTACAGGCAAGACCGACTGGGTCCGCGAGGTGACGGACGCCGCGGGCACGCTCGCGGCCCACTTCTCCGACGTCGCATCAGGCGGCGGCCACAAAGACAAGCAGAAGGACAAGGGGAAAGACAAATCCAAGTCGAAGAAGGCGGAAGACAAGTCCGGCAATGGCCCCTCCGTCGCGGGAGTGTTCAATGCCAATCCGTCTAAGCTCAAACGGGTCACGATTATAAACGGCTCCCACCGAACCGTCTCCGAAGACCATAGCAAGGAGACCGTGCTCGTGTTCCCGGACTGGAAGGTCCTCACGGAAGTCGAGCCAACCCGAGCGGGCGCGGAGGCGCTATATGAGCACTCCGTCAGCCCGTCGTTGCCCCTTTTCGCTCCGCCTCCGCCGGAGAAAGCGGGCTCGCTCAAGTCCTGGATACTGCCGTACTCATGCGTCATCCTCCTCTGTCAGTCCTACCAATCTCCCCTCTGTCCGTGACACACTCGCCGGACTCACCGAACGCCATCTCGTACAGGTTCCCACAAGCGGCGCGACAACCGCTGCGCGCTCGCCGCCCCGAAGCTCGAACACTGTACGTCCCTGGCCGTCGGCCCCCCAACTGGCCGCTGACCCTCATCCGCATCTTTGTATACAGCCCTGACACAGGCCCTGGAGCGCGAAGCCTGGGAAGTGCACCACCAAGTCGAGGACCCGTCCGTGTCCGGGCCCGCCCTCGAGGACGACCCGACGCTCGCAGGCATCACGTCCGACACAGAGCGGCACGAGGAGGTGCTCCGCCGCCTGCAGCGCGTCGACGCCGCGCACGCCGAGCACAAGCGCGCGCTCATCCTCTTCTGCTCGCACATCGGCGGGCACAAGTACGCGGGGAACGTCATCGTGAGTCTGCCGTGCCTTCTCTCTCCCCGTCCGTCGACTCGAGAGCTGCTGTTATTACGTGTACGTCGGGCGATGCGAGCGGGGGCTAACGTACGATGGTGCTCGCAGATCAATACACCCAGGGGCGTATCGGTGTGGTACGGGCGGGTGACTCCTCACGAGGTGGATGCGATAGTAAGAGAGACGATCATTGGTGGGAAGGTCCTGCCGCCATTGCTTCGCGGTGGGATGAACCTCTCCCAACCTGGGCGCAAGAGCTTGAACGACTGGTGAAGACGACGCTTCGATTGCACCCGACCGACACCTTAGAGATGCGATAAACCCGCTATACCAGAGTTAACTCGCGTAGATGACACATCGTTGGACCACACAGCAGCATATAGAAGGGGAAGAGAATGTTGCATTTATGACTACAGGAATGGAGGGTATTATTACACGGGCCCTGGCTGTACACGGCATACATATGCGATACGCGTGCGCGAAGTACGCGCTGATGTACAATACGGGGCATACAGTATTGTTATATTGAACAGTGCGGAAAGGCCACATATTCTCGAATGGGGAGAAAGGCCGACATGAGACATACCAACACCGACTGAGCGGGGGGATTGGGCCATGAGATATAGAACATTGTACTGGAGGTCCGTGAGGTGTCGCATAGACGACTGCGCATTAGTATTCGGGAAGCATGGCGTGCACACAGCAGCCGGGCGACGTTGGGTGGGAGGCGGGGGAGAGCGCAAGAGTTGTCGAGGGTGAAGTTACAGGTTCATATCTTCGTCGAAGCCGCTGAACGCATCGTCCTTCCGCCTCGAATAGCGCCCCGCCGGCGAGTCGCTGTCCAGATCGTCGTCCGTCGTCGGGTATGTCCCCTCGTCGACTGCCTCCTCCGGCTCCGGCTCCGGCTCCTTCTCCGCGAGGATGCCCGACGGGGGCGCGACGATCGACTCGCCGTGGTACGTGAACCCGCGGAACTTCTCCTGCACGGAGTTCGTCAGCGGCGGCGCCTCGTCCCGCTTCTTCTTCGTCTTCGCGATCTCGATGCCCTTGGGCGCGGCCGCGGGCCTGTCTGGCTTGTCCGAGCCGAGCGGCCCGAGCGGCGTGTGCATGGTGCTATTCGTCAGGCTCTGCGACATCGCGACCCAGTTGTCCGACGGGTCCTGCTCGTCGAGGTCCATGTCCATGACGCCGACCTCGCGCATGTCCGCGGTCGTGAACTCGGGGTCGAAGTTCGCGACGGACTCGTCCGACTCGACGACGGGCTTGAAGGGCGGCGTGAGCTGCTTCTTGGACAGGGCGTCCCAGTCGATCATTTTGAAGAACGGGTGCTCCTTGAGTTCTGCAGCATCGCGTTGCGCGCCGAGACGGTGTTTGGGATTCCGGTTGAGCAGCTGCGGGCACATTTGTGAGACGCTGCGTTCATGCACACAAGAGACCGCTGAACTTACCCCCTTGACGAACTGCTTCCCGTCCTCGCCGATGACACCCTTGGGGAACTTGATCTTGCCGAAACAAATGTTCTTGTACATCTGCTGCGTGTCCTCGGCGTAGAACGGACTCCATCCGCAGCACATCTCGAACAGGAGGACACCGAGACTCCAGAAGTCGACGAGTTTGGAGTATCCATGCTCGTCCAGCAAGACTTCTGGTGCGAGGTACTCCGTCGTGCCACAGAAGGTATTTGTCAGCTCGTCGGATCGCAGGTCCGGTTTCGACAACCCGAAGTCGCATAGGGCGACGTGACCGGTAGCGTCGAGGAGGATGTTCTCGGGCTTCAAATCACTGGGCAGACGATAAGCCGTCTATACAACTGCTCGCACCTACCGGCGCACTCACCGGTATACGATATCGTATTTGTGGAGGTGCTCTAGAGCAAGGACGAGCTCCGCGATGTAGAACCTTGCGCGCTCTTCGCTGAACCGCGTCTCCTTCTGCAGATGCCAGAAGAGCTCGCCGCCGCTCTTGAAATCGGTGACAAGGTACAGGTCGGTCTCCGTCTGGAACGAGAACTTCAGGCCGACGAGGAAGGGGCACTCCAGCGAGCGCTGCAGGATCTTGCGCTCGCCGATGGTGTGCGCGACCTCCTTCTTCTCGATGATCTCGCGCTTGGACAGGACCTTCATGGCGTATATGCGCTTGGTGTCGCGCTTCCGCACCTGGAAGACGCGGCCGAACGTGCCACGCCCGATGAGCTTCAGGAACTCGAAGTCGCGCGGGGTGAGCGCGCGCTTGGTCTGCGGGGCGATTCGTCATCGCATGATGGGCGGCCGAATTCACGCGTAGCGTGAGAAAGGTGGGGACGTGTGATCGGTAGTCGAGTAACCGGCCAAGGGTGGGCGCGGAACGTAAAGCGAAGCGAGATCATCAGTGACGGAAATCGCGAGGACGAGGCGCAATCATGTGCCCACCTGGTTCGCCTCGAATGTAATCTGCACTCTCATCTCCCCGCTGACCGCCTCGCTCTCGAACGGCTGCAGCCTGACGCGCAGCACGGAGTGAATGCCAGACAAACGAGGGTTGCATATCGGACGGAACAGGGATGAAAATTGCAGGGTGGGGAGGAAAGGGGCATTGTCAAACAGCCGCTTGACTGACAGTAGTTCGTTGCGCTTACTTGTACCATTGATCAACCGTATGATCATGGACGAGAGCCGGCTTGACCTGGACAGTCCCCAGAAACGCGTGCTCGGAAAGCGAGCGGTCGTATACGCTGAACGTGATGACCGATTGCTCGGAGGTGACATCGCTGTAGGCCATGAGCGACCGGCGAGAACGGAGACCAGCATCGAGTACTCACAAGGAGACTTCATGCTTCCAGACGGGGTTGTGCGCGTTGATGCGCGCCCCGAGCGCTGCCTGCAAGTGAGACTTGCCGGATCCAAACGACGATGAGGGCGTCGCCTGTGCGCTGCTGCGCGCGCTCCCCTGCTTGCTGCTCGCTTTGGAGTTTATCGCGCCAAGAGCAGAGAGTGCGGTGGACGACGAGACGCGAGAGAGGGTCGTGGCGACGCCCTTGACCTCCTTGTCCGTCTCGTCGGTGGGATCGCGGCTGACAAATTCGTTCTGCTCGAATTGCACGACGACGTATGGACGGGAGCTGGAGGAGCGGACGTTGAGGCCGCGTGCCTGGATAAGCTTGACGTGGACCTGGCCCTTGGATGGGCCCGATGGCTGCATCGATGAGGACGCGCTGTTCGCAGACGAGGCGGGGGTGCTCCTGCCGTTGGTCTTGGGTGCCGAGGAGGAGCCGGAAGAGGAAGAAGAGCCGGCGGAGCCGGGCTGCTTTGAATGCTGACGCTTGGGAGGTGGTGGCTGCTGCATGTTGAAGAGGGGGGCATTAAGGGAGAGACTCGTGGTTGGAAGTGCGGACGGAAGAGGCGTCGCGGAGGGCGTCAAGGGGCCTGATTGGGGCGGAGGCTCGGGGCCATTGACGACGGGCAAGGCTGGGCCTCCCAGAAGCGGAGGTGTGAGAAGGTGTTGTGGTGTGCTCAGCAGCGAGTGGTGGTATGACGGCGTAGCCTGCATCGCTGGGGCCTGCTGTTGCTGTTGTTGCTGCTGCTGGGCTTGGACGGTGGGGAGCATCTCAAACGGATTCTTGCGCTCTTGTCCATTGGGCCCCGCCCTAGGAGTCAGATCGGCGGCGTTGGACGGCCAGAACTTGAGCATGATCGTAGATGCCGACGATGACAGCGAACAGCGAGACTAACGAAGAGTGAACGATAGAGAGATAGGCTGTTGCAGTCGGAAACGTGCAGAGATAACTCGGAGTCGGGAGGGAGGAGAAAGACTGACTCCTATCGTCATCTGCCTTCCTTAAACATGCGCTCGCAAGTATATACCCGAGCCCTTCCTCCATCCCACTCCACACCAGCGGCTGTGATCTCGACTCCGGGGATGATGTTATTGTCAAGGGAACTAGCCCCGAACACGACATACTACCCATTCTTCGCGTCCACAACGTCTCGCGTGTCGCCCGCCACCCCTTCCTGCCCCTCCGTGGTCACAGCCTTTGCTGCGAGAGCCCGTGTCTGCACCTGTTCCTCCAAGTATTCCTTGCTCCACCGCAGCGCCCGGAGCACTCCCCCGATCAGTACCCCCAAAACCGTTGTGCGCCGGAATGCCGTCCAGGGCAATCGGTCTGCATCCCCGCATCCCAATGAGCACCCGACGTCCCAGGACTATTGTAAGAACACAGGAGGCACGTACACACAGCCCCGAAAAGCGTTCCCGTCCCAAGCCCGGCCGCCACCTCCCGGACGTCGTCGAGGCCCAGGCGGGTGCAGCCCTCCTCGATCGCGACCCAGGCCGCTGCTGTCAGCCCTAGCTTCGTTGCATCCGCGCCTGCTTCCTTCAGCCCTCCGAGAGTGACCCTGTAGTTTTTTGTCTTGTTGTACAGGTACCACCCGCGCACCGTTTTGGGCGTCCGGTGTGCGTTCTCGGCCAGAAACCTCAAGGACGCGGTTCGGGAGCCCCTGAAGAGACCGATCGTGACGCCTGTGAGAACAGCAGCGCCAGGCAAGAGATAGTATCGGCGGGGTATGTTTATGTGAACGACGGGTAGTTCATCGTGGTCGTCGGATGAGGACATGGCACTGGCACGGCCTGCGTCGCTGCCACCGCACTCATCCTCCCAATGACCTCACTATGCCTAATGCGGCAATGCGGCTATTCGGCGCATCCTTCCGAACAAGCGTACTCAACGCCAGACCCCACCTTGATGTTAACCTTATCATTGTCCACGAACCCCTCTGACAGATAAGTAGGACGCTCGAGCTTTCAATGCCGAGGAGAAACGAGCAGATATACACCGCTCACCACTGCGTCCGTGGACATCACTCGGACTAGCAGCTCGTGTACCACCACGCCAGTCAAGTCGAACCCCAAACCAGAATCGTATCCGGGAGATCTGGCGACGCGTAACGTTAAGCTCTCTTATCTATGACCCCAAGCCACACACGATAAAGCGTGAGAGAGACGGCCTCACTACTGAGATCCTTTAAGCATCTGTAGCACTATACAGACACGATCGCAGGGAATAGAACATTGGAGTGGGGCGCATCTTGACCCTCTATGGGTACGTATGCTCATGTAGGGCGGACGGAGCTTGTTGAGATTCGCTTCGAGGGAAGTTTGTTGACCGCTCAGAAGCCGATGCATCTGACCATTCATTGCAGTACTCGGCGGCAATGCGATCATTTGGAAAACCATCCACCCTTTGGCGGTCAGGACTACAAGTCGACCGTTTGAATCGCAGAAAACACAGCAGAAACCGTAGCTTGGGCTCGCACAGAGCTACTGGAAGATGATCCCGTTCGAAGGGGTGAGACGTCGGTGGTGGCGTCGTTGTGGGCAGTTTGTACGTGTATTCGTTTGCTTGCGAGGAGCAAATTTGTTTTCTCTGGTTTTCTCGCATTTGGTCGCTGTATGAAGCTGTTTGAGCCGTGGCTGAGAGTGCGCAAACAACCCAATGATCTCACCTCCCGCCATCATCGTGCGCCCCGCCGCCGCCGCCGTGTTCAGCATCCCATACGCCATGGCGCATAATGAGCAGACAGCCGCGCACGGGGGACGTGGCCTGTGCGTCGTTGGGAAGCTGCTGACATAAGCAAGTTGGACTTGCCCAGGGCTCCCGCGCTCCCTCCCGCCCATTCTCCCCGCCCCCCGTATTGCTTCTCCCTGTCTCCGCTGCCCTCCTAGCTATCCTTCTTGCCAGCGGATATCGCACGTGCATCATCCGGCGGACACGATGGCTCAGCAACCACCGCCGATGGGCGTAATACCACAGGAAATGATGCACGGACAACCTCCGACCCCTCAGCCCGTGAACTACTACTCCGATGCGAGTACTACAAACGATCTGACGGGTGGCCTCCCAATCAACCTCGACTCTCTACGCGATGGACCTCCCGGGAGCAAGCCGTTCTACCCGTACTCAACCTTAATTCGGTGCGCGTCGTCTTTCCGATGACGGACGCGAGATGAGCGTGCTCATGGGTTGTTGGTGTATTTCAGATATGCGATCAAGGGCTCTCCAAACCAGAAGCTACTGCTGGAAGATATATATTATGCGATCGAGTCACGAGTGCGTGTCTTGTCTGGTGTAATGCATATCGAGAGTGCCACTCACAACAAAGCAGTTCCCGTATTTCAGGACGGCGCCACCCGGATGGAAGGTGAGCTACAATCCTTTCTCTTCTTGACTTCCCGAGTGGATTCGGCTGGCTGCATCTCGTTTCGGGCTCAATCTTCACATACGTAAACCGAACCATTTATTGACTCTGCGTTCTCTGTAGAATTCCGTCCGTCACAATCTCTCTCTGAACCCTTGCTTTGAGAAAGTGCCCCGACCCCTTACGGACCGCGGCAAGGGTTCGTACTGGACTGTGAACGACAACGTAGACCCTCGAACAGGCGTCCACAGAATTCGGAAGAAGAAGGGGAAAGGTGCCTCCAAGGGCTCTCCCCCGCTCGACAGCCAGGACATCGACTACCACCCAGGCGCCGACCAGCAGTCGACGTTCGACCCCAGCAACCAGTTCGTGCCCCCGCCTCCGCAGATGGGCGCCCCTGGCGAGCCCGGACCCAGCCGCCCGGCCGCCCCCCCATTCCCACCCCCATACCCGTCGTACGTTCTCGCCGCGCTCCAGCATCTCGTCGACCAGCGCGAGGCTGACGGCTCTGCTAGCTTTGACCCGACGTTCCCGCCGCCGCCGATGATCATCTTCCGGCCGGACGAGCAGATCGAGGTCGACGAGCACGGGCAGGTCAACTGGCACGCGCAATGGCGGAAGGAGCTCGTGAACCTGCAGCAGGCGACGGAGGAGCAGGAGAAGGCCGGCGCGGACCAGGAGTGGTATCGCCATATGCTCATCCGCGTGCGCACGGCGATGATGGCGCCCCCGATGAACGTCGGTCCGACGGGCGAGCCGATCCCTCCTCCGCCGCACATGGCCGGACAGCCGCCAAACCCTGGTGAGGTGCCGATGCAGGTGCCAGTGCAGCAGGAGCAGTGATTGATGCGAGAGGGGTGGGGGGTTCTTGATTGGGACTTTGGGGACGAGGTTGTTCTCGTGGTTCGAGTGATGAGTGGGGTTCGATCGGTCTTGAAGGCTCTCCGTGTATCTTATTCCCAGTCCCCTTCTCTGTTATTAGTACCTTTGTACGCTTTCTTTCTGAAACTATGAATGGTATGCTTGCGTACGATGTCGTCGATGTTTGCCTCCTAGCCATCAAAGCAGTTGTACGACTGCTCGAGGACGGTACGTTCTAGCGCTAATTGCTCACGGCACCTGGTGCGCGCTGGTCACTATCCTCATGGTGTGACTATACGCGTCTTGTATAAGAACCCTCACCACGGCGTTCAGGACCCGTCAGACAACCTGGACGTCCACACGGGCCTCGAGGCTCGCCCATTATGTCGACGTCCCATGCGTACGAAGTTGCGCTTTTTGGCGAATTCTTCTCTCAGGACCTCGCAGGTCTGCCCGTACATTGCACCCAACAGACGAACGAACACCGACTAAAAATGCCTCACTCTAGCGGTCCTCAATCGCTTGACGCTCCATAGCGAATCCGCACACCAGATGCATGCGCGGGAGATTGTCTTCGAGCCGTTCGACGCGCAGAGCCAGCGGGACGCGGGCAGTGAGCCCATTCTCCTGCGTGCCCGGAAGGAGCTCCTCGACCCCGAGTCGAAATGGTGCGTGTCTCCAGCTTGTTGTATTTCCGGGTGAAGTTGATGCACGCCATGTCGCAGGATGATGTACTCGTACCTGAAGCCAGAGTCCCTCCGTGTGCACCCTGAGGCGACCGTGCGTCCCTGGGCGACCTGCCAGATCGTCGGGGACGCGCTCACGTTCGCGTCCGCACTAGGCTACGTGTATGTTCCAGAGCGTGGTTGCACTCCGAAAGCTCGTGCTGACGCCCTGTGCCATCGCTTGGCAGACGCCGTTCCCAGATATACAAGAGGGGATATGTCTTCAGGCGGGGGAACCTCGTCGTCCAGATGTTCCAGCAGGAAAACGTGAGTATCTCGACGCTTTGCGGCCCTACAGGGCGTCGTGCTTACGTGAATGCTGTGCGTTGTAGTCGGACCTGAAGACCGGGAAGCCGATCCCGGCGCACGTTGATACGCTCTGGGAGGTCGAGGTGAAGACGGCAGCTCCGGTTCGTAACTCGCAGGAGACGCCGCTCAGCCAATCGCTCGATGCCGTCCTCGAGGTGCAGCTGCTGATGAAGGGGTTGCTTGACCTGCGGCGGCAGGATGTCTGATATCGTTCGACCCTTCAAGCGGCCCAAGACCTACATGCTACTAGCCGCGAACACATCGCACGCATTGTGCTGGAGTCTTTGGACCCACTGTTGGACCAATCCATGTATGAAGCCAGGAGCCGCAATTTGCCTCACTCAAACCCCCGCTATCCGGCTTCTGGACTGCATTGGCGATCATTGCTTTGCAACTGACATTCGAGAAGCCTTACGTAGTAGACTGCTGGGTCAATTGGAGCAATAGCTCCTGCAGACTTGTATCAGTCACATAGCTAGCCGCCCCAGACCCCACATGTCAATTAGTCCTAAGAGCATCACTCCAAGGAGCACTGCTCCAGGTTCCACAACAACTCCAATCCGTTCAATTGGTGCAGTCATACGCATAGTCTCGCCCCGACGAGCGTGGAGCGGATTGCAAGAGCTTACATGAAGCAACGCTAGAAGTGTGCCTTCTGCATTGCTGTGACTGTCGGGCAGAGTCCTTCGTGCACTCAGCACTGGCTACTTGGAGCATTACTGCGCTGCCAGATGGATCAGAGAAATCCAAGTTATTCATCCAAGTATGCAATGATGTGTCTGAATGCTGGAGTAGACTAAGTGCATGAGCATATGGGTAGGTTGTAAGTGTGCTGCGTGCATGATGTTTGAACCGCTGAAGTAGTCTGATATATGGTTATAAGCAGGTTCTCATATGCTGGACAGGATAAGACATACCAAATTAGAGAATATATGTACAGCCGAGACCGATGTTCCTCCTTGAGAGCAAGAGGAGGCAAGGCTCGAACTCTCAATCCAGGCTGCTAACTACCGCCATCCTCTTCGTCCCCCGACTCGCCCCAATCGACCTGTTCCTCGTCTACACCCTCGGTGCCGCCCAGGACGCCGTCTTTCACCGGATCCCTCAGCGCGCCAGCCTCCCGCAGCTTCTGCAGCATCGCAGCCAGCTCCTCCGGGCTCCCCTCGTACTCGTCGTCCGTCTCGCCCTCCGCGTCGTCGTCACCCCACTCGTCCGCATCCACGTCGAAGGTCGAGCTAGGCGCGGCCGCCCCACTCTCCTCCTCGTCGCTCCCCGCATACCCCCCGAGGAGGTTCATCCCGTTGCGCTCCTCCTTGCTCGACCCGTCCGAGCCGTCGTCGCTGCCGTAGCCGCCGAGCAGGCCGCTGATCGCCTTCTGCGCCTGCTTGGGGTTCAGCCGCCGCCGTTTGGGCCGGGGCTCGTCCGCGGCGTCGTGCACGACCGCGCCCTTGTCGTCGACGATGATGCCCTGGAACGAGTCCTCTTCCCAGACGCTGATGGTTGGGAACTCGACGAAGTGCTTGTGCTTGAGGACGGCCCCGAGGGGTTTGCTGGAGTCCAGCTTGTAGAAGCCTTCCCGGAGGAGCCGCCCTGGCTGGGGAATGTGTGGGTTCGCGTTGAGGGCCGCCAGAGGGTCGAGGGAGGTGCTCATGACACATAGAGGAGGGGCGAAGGAATCTGGTACGTCCTCGTCCGGGAGGGCGAGGGCGAGCACCCATGGCGGGACGCCCTTCTCTTTCTTCGACTTATGTCTCTCCGCAACATGTGTTTGCAGCGCCGATAGCAGAGGGGTCTCGAGCGCAATGCGGTGCGCGAGGAGTGTGAACGGTGGGTCCGGCGGCTGCCCAAGGGGCGCGAGCGCGTTCCTCGGGGGGTGGAACCTGAACTCGACAGTGAGGAGGGCGGTTTTGTTCCTAGCGAAAACAGACACATCCGGACCGTCACACGCGCACACGAAAGACACAGAGACGAGATCGGTGCGCACTTGAAGTCCCACGTCGACTGGTTCAGCGTCCGCCTCTCCATCCCGCTCGGCAGGAACTCGATCTCGATGTCCCGGAAGTCGAGCTGCATCTTCAGCACGTCCCGCTTCGACGCGGGCTTCGCCTGTGCCCCGCCCCTTCCCCTCCCCCGTCCGCGTCCTCTCGCGTCTCTCCCGCCTCTCCCTGCCGGTCCGTTTGCCGACGCCGAGTACCCGCCCTGCACGATCTCTCTTCCTACCTCCCCGACCTTGCGGCCGACCTCCTCCAAGAACGTGTAGTCGTTCATGAGGGCCATGTATCCATATTGATTCATCGGCACGTACGCGGCCTTGTTGCGGATCCCAGAGCAACCATCGCCTAGTGTCTTGTGCTTCGTTGAGCAGGAGAGGGAGCATGTGCGGAGGTTGCAGCGCGGGCAGGTGTAGATGGCGGCGTTCGTTTGGCATATTACACAAATGGGAGACTGCCGCTGCAGGGCATCAGTAGAGCTTTCGGCATTAGGCACCTCAGGGGCGCTTTCGTCGAGCAAATCGTCCATCGTCAAATGATGGCGAAACGGAGCGAGACGAGGAGACGGGAGAGGAGCGCTGTTGAGCGCTTGGCGCTACAAAATCGCGAGACGCGACGCGTGCACCGCGTCACTAGTGCGGATGCGAGGATCGCGGAGAGGATGGTTTGACGATTCAAAGGCTTGCAAAGATACAAAGGTTGTGATACATCTAACTAGCACAGTACTAGTGTCTTATAACGACAAAAATATGGATACCAAGAGGTCAGCTTCCCAGACAGGTATCGGGGATTAGATATCGTCCATCCCCAGATCGATCTCCACCTTCTCACCGGGCTTGAAGGCGGGCAATCCTATGCAACAAGGAGAATCAACAGCGGCCGCAGAAAAAGAGACATATCCAAAGACGCACCTCGGTACGGGCAACTCGAGCACCGGAATGCGTCTCCCAAGTAGCAGTTTCCACAGCTGCTCGTCGCCTTGGGTGCTGCCGCCGCGGCAGCCACGAGACGCTCCTTCTCAGCCTGTGACACCTCGATGGCCTGCCCGTCGACCTTGCCGTCGAGCAGCACGACCTTGCTCTGCGCAAGTTCCTCTGCCTCCAGCTCCGCGAGCCCGCACGTGCAGTTCTTGCACGCCTTCTTCCGCCGGGGTGCACCGCGGACCGCAGGCTCGCACGCCGCTGGCCGCTCACGGTCCGCGGGGGTCAGAAGACTCTCCGCGTCGATGGTTGGCGTAGCGGGTGCGCTGAGCGTCCATAGCGCCTTCTTCGACGCCTTCTTCGCCGGGTCTGCCTTCCGCCGCAGGGGGAGTGCGGCGACGGAAGCGGTTTTGATGGAGGTAGATGCCCCTGTGGTGTGTGCGGGCTTTTGCGCGATGAGGGCGCCCTCCTGCGTCGCGCTGAGGACGGTAAAACCGGCGAGGGTGAGGTCAGAGGGAAGAGTGGGGAGGGAGGCGCCAAGGTTGAGGAGGTGGAGCGTGCCTAGCGGCTCGAGGCCCTTCAGCAGCTGCGCAAGGAGGTCGGATATCCTTGGCGCGAGGTTTTCGTACTCAGGCGGGGACAGTGAGACATGCACAGATGCGAACTTGGAGGGAGGGAGAGTTGTGGCTGGAAGCGATTGAGACCGTGCGGGCGTCTCAGGTAGCATTGATGTACACACCTCCGTCGAGCAACCTGTCGACCATATGCCTCTCAACCTCGCGCGAATCCGCCAAAGATGTGATCAAAGCCTGATACTTGCCATCCTGCGCAGTCGCGGGGGAGCCGATAGCGAGTGCAGGGCCTCTTGCGGGAACGGCGGCTGCGACGGCAGGCTTCTCCTGAGCCTGCACCTGGATCGTAACCTGCGAGGAGGTAGGGGCAGTGTATACTGCGGAAGGAGCCATCGCCAAACGAGGTGGAAGTCTGTAAGGACTGCGATGGACAACAGGCCGCTTTTGAGAGGAGAACAGAGGAGAGGAGACGTGTCTGAGTAAGCTTTGGGGAAGACCGAGGCCGTAAGCAGGATGTGAGTCGTTTTCAGAGGATGGCGACTTTCTTAGTAACTCCTTTGGCGCCTGCGCTCCTACCCAGTCATTTCAAGAGCATCGGCCCGGATGTCCCCGCACTGCCAGACGCCTTCGGCAGTACCTGCTCAAAGGGAAGAAAATACGGACGACAAGTTATTAGGCTGTCTCAACGACCTGGCGGCAACCGACTTCGGTCTGCTCGAGGTCCGGCACTAGGACTGCATGCGACATACTTCTCTCGCCATGCAGGAAGGTCGCCTACTATCAGCTCGGATGGACCTGACTTTAACTCTGAGACGACCGAGGCACTCAACCCACGCTATCATGGGACAATGTATTGTGCGTAGTGAGCCCTACAACTTCCACACCGAGTCTTTGTCGTATCCCAAATTCCCAAGCAACCCACCAACGTCCCCTTGAGAGAAGTTCCGACCAAATGGTCCCGCGATTGCTGCGACCATTCTTCACATCGCCGCCAAAGGTCAATATCAAACCACCACAGCAGATAGAAATGACGTACGGGTCGGGTCCGCAGACGAGAAATACGATCTTCCTTCCATCGCCAGCTTCCTGTGGTTTCGGCTTCGGCGAAGCGCTGAATAGGCTTCGCCACCAGCTTCTATGGCCGTCGCCCGAGTCCGTCGCACGTTCAATAGCTTCTCTTCCAATTCGGCCCACGGTCAACGAAGAGGAAGGCACTGCCGGATGCGCAGGACCATCGGGCGTGTCCACGAAGAGTGATAGCCTGAGCCTGTCGGGGTGCGCCTGGGAATAGGCTACTAGAGGGGCGAGCATCTCCGACGGGGGGAGCTCTGTCGGCCGACGGGAGGAGTGCAGCAGCGTGAAGCGCGTCTGCGTGTTCGGAGGGGATTGGCTGAGCAATTCCTTGTAGACGAGCTGGCAGAAGGGCGTTATCCCCGTGCCCCCTGAAATCTGACCGCGTGTCAGTTCGCGCACTCGAGCGCGAGAAGCCAAGCACGCACCATGACCACCTCGTCCCACTCGTCCGGTCTCCAGGCCCAGGTTTTGAGCGGACCGCGTATTTCTATCGTGTCGCCGGCCTTCTTGGAGTGCAGCCAGCGGCCCACTTCACCTTTCTCGTATTTCTTGACCCAGAACTTCATGCGCCCTTCACTGTCCATGCCTTCCAACGGCGTGAAGGGACGCTCGACCTGGATGTCGTCATCCTTGATGTAAACAGACCAGATGGGCTCAAAAGCAGCCTCGTTGAGGGAGGGTAATGAGTTCCGTGGAACAGCGAGTGTCATGAGGCGGGTGTTTGGGTCTGGACATGGTTCTGTGGAGGTGACGGTCACTGGTGTGAAGTGCGATGGAGAAAGCAGGGCGTTCCTCTTGGTGGGCGCAGCGCGAGAGGGATCCGGCCAGAGAAAGTAAGAGGCTACGAGGGCTCCGCTTCCAAGGCCGACTAGGAGAGCTGTGGAACGAGACTTTGATGTCAACGCTGGTGATTTCTCTGTCGACAACTGCCGCGAGAAGCCATATCTGTGTATCGGAGCAAGCACAGGGCGGTAGCGAGTAGGATGGGAGGCAGCCCGCAGCATCGCTATGACGTTGGCGTTGAGTGCCCGAAAGGGAACCGCGGTTGAGGCTGCAGCCAAACAGAGCCCAACAGACTTGTGGCGATCGCAGCAGGAGCGCTCGGACGCGAGGTTGGGTCTGGCAGCCGCTGCTGTTTCTCCTCCGCCCATCGACACCTCCGAGCCCACTGCCCGCGCCCGCGTGCACCGGCTCCTGCGCAGGCCGCACTACTGCCACATCCCTATTCTACTCCACTCCCTAATCATGGCCGACATTCCTTACGACTATAGATTTGTACCCACAGCTAACCACACTAATCTCTCCAACAGCGCCTTACCCGACGTCCGCTCTCTATCTCTACAGGCCTATCCGCCCCTCCAAAGACAGAGCAAATCCATAGTACATTTGGGCTACTCGGCGGGCGCACAGCGTTTTCCGCACATGGATTCAACTTTTGTTCCAACTTTGGAGTTCCGTGTCCCCCTACTGCCTCAGAATGTCCATCTGGTACCGGACTTCCAGCCAAGAGCCGTCACCGTCGCGTCAGACGTGTCTTCATGGCGTCGGACCCGCTATGACTACCACGGCACCGACCATCCCAAGAAGAAGGGTCTCCTCGGCGAGGGTGCGGCATCCGCTACACTCTCTTTTCCCCCCTCAGTTCCTCTGACTCTACCGACTGCCGTGCCTTTCCCCTCGCCTTCGCCTTTCGGACGTACGACACCAGTTTCTTCCGATGTTCATCTCCCAGAACGTCCCGCTACGCCATGCATGGAGGGGATTGTTTCTAATCTGGAGACACCAAGCATGCGATATGATGACATGTACCGCATGGGGTCTCCCAGTGATGAGGAGTTGGCCCATTCTCTTACATTCTATGGGCGGGACAGTCCCGACGTACGGGAGCTTGCTCTGTCCCCTGGTCCGCCATATCCTCCACCGGTCTTTGCACAGAACAGCCCTAACTTACTGGCACCATATTGCCCCGATAGCCCTAACAAGGATATGCACTCTGTGGATTTGGCCACTCTGCCGATGCATCCTTGGAGTCCTCCCTATTTGACCTTGCCTTCCCTCTCGGACGACAGTCTCTCCAGTCCTGAAAACAGCTTGCGGATGTCCGTCGACGATCCGTCTTTTGGTGACGAACTGCGCCTCTCCCTGTCGCCCCCTCCCTTCGCGTCGAAGATGGACTGTGATGAGCCTGGATCTCCTCCTATGTTCGGTATCATCGTCGATGTCAACATGCGCGAGCACGCCATGCAAGAACTGTCACCTGAGTTCTATGTCAATCCTGCGGACGTCATGGCCGGGTTCCTTAGATCAGCCAATCCCAGCCCCGAGCTCACGCCCAAGCTGGACGATGAGGACTGTGACATGGCGACACTGCTCCGCTCTGAGTCTGTCTGTGCCTTCGCGGAGCCTGCTGGGACCTCCACTGCGGCATCTACAAGACAAATGTCACCTGTTCCCGACTACGCTGCGGACTTTCCCGACGACGCTGTTATCCACCAGGACTTTCCAGACGAGGCTATATCAGCTATTGTCTCCGTATTGAAGTCTGCTACGACGTCTGCAACTGCTCAAGGGACATGCGCTGCCTCTCCGTCTGCTACAATCTCTCTGCCCTCGCAAGCGTTCACTCAGTCTAGCGAGGTCGTCGCACCTCGACCTGTATATGCGTCACCTGGCCACCACTATCCTGGCAGCGATCTGGGTATGCTTCGCTCTACTCTGGCTGACTCTTCTGGTGGGCTTGGTTTCCCTGGTCCCAACAACCCATCTGGCAGCAGGCTTCCCCTAGGGGAACTTCGCGTCCCTCAGCAGTACACAGCCCCAACTTACGTCCCCTACCCACCCGCAGCGTTCCCCGGTGCGCCCACGTATGCCTTCCCCTCAGCGCCGGTTCCCCAGCAAGGGCACGCTCAGTCCCAGTTCATGGACGTTCCGCAACCCGTGCTCAACGCGCACGTCGGCATCACCCTAGAGGAGCTCAGGCAGCGCGCAACGGAGTACAGAGCGCGCCACCCGAGCGCGGAGCTCGACAAGGCCTTCCTGCAGTCCTTTGCCGGCCGGCTTAGCTCGCGCGGCGAGCTGCTCGACGACTACCGGTGCTATGTCGTCGGGTGCGGGCAGCGCAACAAGCGGCGAGACCACATCCTCGTGCACGTCGGCTCGCACGTCGAGCATCGGCCGTGGGCGTGCCAGCACTGGTATGTTTGTCTCGCTTTCGAGTTCTTTTCGCTCTTCGTGGACTCATCCGCTTCGGGCCAGCGGGATGAAGTTCTTGCGGAAGAACGAGTGCAAGCGGCACGAGTCGAGCCACGAGGGCCGCAAGCCGTACTCGTGCGAGATCTGCGCCCCGTTCCAGGAGAGGAGCTTCGTGCGGCAGGACCTCCTCAAGCGGCACCTGCGTGTGTCGCACGGCGTGCATGGTACCGCCAGAAAGAAGTCGGCCAACAAGGGGGAGGATCAGGACTACTGGCCGTGATGGGGTCAGCTGTCAGGCGTTGGGATGGGGAGGGGGCTTCGTACGCCGGTGGGAGTTACAAGGTTCCGTGCCAGATGTATGTATTTGTACGTATCTTGTTAGAGAAGACAATAGCACCTATTCATCAACTGTATATCACTCGTACATTTCAGGCGCTTTGCAAAGCTCGTTTGGTTCAAAGGGCGCGATCAGCTCTTACAGTTCACTGCGACATGCGAGAAGACAGCTATCGTACACATCTGCACGGCGGTACAGTTCAGATGGAATCCGTGACGCCAACGTAGAGGGAGGCTCACCAACTCAAAATCCCGTCAGAAACGCAAAGTTAAAGCCCAAGAGTAGCTGTCGGCACAGCGCCCGCCGCTCCAAAACCCTCACTCCAGTCGTCCTCCTCAGCAATATTGGCGACTCCGGGGGCGGTGCCCGCGGGCTCGTGCGAGAACCGGAACATGCTCGCGGGCAGCGACTGCGTCGCGACGCCGCGGCTCGCGCTCCTCCTCAGCGGCTTGATCTGCCGCTTCGTCTTCTCGGCCTGCAGCTTCACCTGCTCCTCGCGCTTCTTGCGGATCGCCGAAGCGGTCGCGCCATCTTCGTCGTCGAGGCTCAGGTCGACGTCGGCGTCGTCGAGCAGCTCGACATCGACGTCGGCGTCCTCGTCCTCGTCCGGCCCTGTGCGTTTCGGGCGCTGCTGGGGGGAGGAGGGGACGGAGGACGAGCCCTTCTTGCTCTGGTTGGCGGCGCGTTGGCTGAAGATGTCGCGCATGGCGTCGTTGGCGGAGATGAAGGACGGCGTTTGGGTGAACGGGAGGCGCTTGTTCGCGGAGAAGGGGTCGACGGGGACAGAGACGGTGCGCTGGAAGCCTTCGGTCACGCCTGCAGGAGCGCGGGTGAGAGGCGGCGCGGCGCGTCTTTGTGGGACGGGAGGGGGACGTACTCTTTCGGACGCGCGAGGGGACGCTGCGGAGCCTCGCGAGGGTGTCCTCGTCGATGCTTCGGGGGACGTATCAGCAAGAATATCGCGGTACGCCAGCGAAGACGTACTAGTTAAAAGGCTGGGGCTCGCCCTGCGCGGTCGAAGTCGTAGCCTGCGCGGATGAGCTCCGTTAAGGGCTCGCTGGAGTAGTTCCACTAATGTGCGTACCATCTGGGATGTCACCCAAGCCGATGTGCCCTTGCAGTTTATGGCAGACGTGTAATGTGCTCAAGAAAAGTGGCAGGAATGGCGATGGGAGAAGCAAGGGGGGGGTGCTGCAGCAGCCTGCCTCGCGGAGGAGAGACGGCGGCCTTTGTGCGTGACCGTGAAAGGTTTGCACGTGAGGGGCCGTCATTGCGTCGGCGGCCGTCCTCTCGGAGCATACACAGCGGCTCCTCTCGTTCACGCCAGGCCTCGTCTCTCTCATCTCTACTTTGCTGGCCTGGGACTGAGTCTGATACCCTTACTATATACGCATCGCCGACAACAGTACTGGCGGCCATGGAGGTCCTTCGGCCGGACACCAGCATCCGGAATGAGGGCCGCTGTGCCATGCGCGGGTCTTGTGGACCCAAGGTCGTCTTCGGCAAGCCCCTGCCATGTCCTTACGACGGACCCCCGACAGAAGTATGCTTTGACTCTCTGTATGTGTTGTTGCTGGTGGAACTGATGCGTTGCTGCGGTAGGATGACGTTGACCGCGACCTCCTCGTCAACCTCTGCGGGGCGGACTTCGCCCAAGGACCAACCTGCTGCACAACTGACCAGCTCGAAACTCTGCGCGATAACCTTGGCCTTGCCGAGAACCTCATCTCTTCCTGTCCTGCGTGCCGCAACAACTTCCGCAAATTCTGGTGCTCCTTCACATGCTCGCCTGACCAGGCCTCCTTCATCAATATCACTTCTACCCAAATATCCCAGACGGGCAAGACCGCAGTGCAGACGGCGGATTTTTTCGTGTCGGAGGAGTTTGGAAATGGGTTTTATGATAGCTGCAAGGAGATCAAAATGGGCGCAACGAACGGGTACGCCATGGATCTCCTGGGTGGTGGCGCGAAAGACTACCATGAATTCTTCAAGTTCATGGGAGAGGAGAAGGATATGGGTAGCCCATTCACAATCAACTTCCCTCCTTCACCTCCTCCGCCCGAATTTTCCTCGCTCAACGCGACCGTGCGGAATTGCTACGACGGCGATTTGGGCAGCAGATGTACCTGCATTGACTGCGAACAAGTCTGCCAAGCACTCCCTCCAGTCTCTCCGCCGGGTGCCGAGTCAACATGCCATGTTGGTCCCTTCTCTTGCCTTTCCTTTGTCCTGCTGCTTGCGTATGCTGTCGCGGTCGTGTCGTTTATCCTTGGTTACGGTCTCGAAGTGACCCTCCGCCGACGACGCGAGAAGTCGTACGAGCGGGTCGCCCTGTCCACAGACGCGGACTCGCAACACCTTGTTTCCCCTCGGACCCATGCACGCGGACTCGTAGGCGCATCGTCACTTGCACAGTATCTCGACGGAGAGGACTCGACAGGCACACAGTCCGAGTCCCGTCGTTTGGGGCGCGGCGCGTCCCTCCTCGACCCCATCGAGACCGTCCAACCCCGTCACTATCGGCTGAACAACATTCTCCGTCGCTTCTTCTACAAGCTCGGCCTGTTCACGTCCACATACCCGTGGCTCAACTTCGCGCTCGTGTTCACGTTCATTGCGTTGTTGAACCTTGGCTGGAAGCGCTTTGACGTCGAGACGGACCCTGTGCGTCTCTGGGTTGCGCCGGATTCGGAGAGCAAACTGCAGAAGGAGTATTTCGACGAGCATTTTGGACCGTTCTACCGTGTCGAGCAAGTATTCGTCACCTCTGCGAACGCTCCCTCCCCGGAAGACAAGGACCCGGTGCTCTCCTGGGACCATCTGCAGTACTGGGCGGACGTGGAGGAGGACATCCGGAGTTTGCGCTCTACTCCCAACGGGTATACTCTGGACGATGTGTGTCTCAAGCCAGCAGGTCCAGATGGCTTCTGTGTTGTGCAATCTGTGATGGCATGGTTTGGGAACGACCTATATTCCTACGACCCGGACACCTGGGCGGACCGCCTGGTCAGCTGCGCCCAGCAGCCGGTCAACTGTCTTCCCGACTTCCAGCAGCCACTCGCGCCTCAAATGGTTTTGGGCGCCGTTCCCGAGGACGACAAGGGCAAGAAGCAATACTTGGACGCGAAGGCGTTGGTGGTCACATATGTAGTCCCGGATTCGTTGAACAAGACCGAGCAGGCGAAGGCGATGGAGTGGGAGTACGCTCTCCGCGGATACCTTGAGGACCTCGGCAACAAGGTTCCTGGAGAGGCTGGCCTTGAGATTGCCTGGTCCACGGGCATCTCGCTCGAGGAAGAGATCAATAAGAGCACGAACACGGACATCAAGATCGTCGTCCTCTCCTACCTCGCTATGTTCTTCTACGTCGCCCTGACCCTCGGCAACGGCTCCGGATTCCGCGACGAAGAGGGCCTCTGGACGTCCCTCCGGCAGTGGGCGACCAACTTCCCCAAGTTCTTCTCCCAGCCCTCCGCCTCGTCCGCCGTCTCGCTCGATTCCCGCCTCGCGCCCACGCTCTTCCCCCGCCTCCCCCGCTCGCCCTTCGTCGGCTCCAAGTTCACTCTGGGGCTTTTCGGCATCGCGCTCGTCGTCCTCTCCGTCTCGTCCTCCGTCGGGCTCTTCTCCATCCTAGGGGTTAAGTGCACGCTCATCATCGCCGAGGTCATCCCCTTCCTCGTGCTCGCCGTGGGCGTCGACAACGTCTTCATCCTCGTCCACGAGCTCGACCGCCAGAACCTCCTCCACGGCCCCAACGCCGGCCCCGCGTCCCTCACCCCAGTATGGGCGTACTCGGACCATACACCCATGAGCCCCACGCAGTCGCGCACGCGGTCCGGGCTCGAGTTCGAGCAGGACGGCGCCGAGCATGGACGCGACACGTCGCTCGACGTCGGGTCGGCCCCGCAGTACCTCGGGCCTGAGGAGAGGGTGGCAAGGACGCTGGCAAAGATGGGCCCGTCGATCCTGTTGAGCACGGTCACGGAGACGACGGCGTTCGCGCTGGGCGCGCTGGTGCCGATGCCGGCTGTGCGGAACTTTGCGCTGTATGCGGCGGGCAGCGTGTTTCTGAACGCGCTGCTGCAGGTGACGGTGTTCGTGAGTGCGCTCGTGGTGGACTTGAAGCGAGTTGAGGTATGTTATGACTAGTTAGCTTTAAGTCGTTCAATGGCTGACCGAGTACGTCCCCCAAGGCGAGCCGGGTGGATTGCTTCCCCTGTGTACGGCTACCTCCTCGGATTGCCCTCCTCGAGGCGCCACCATCGGGCAGCGGCCTTGGCTTCCTAGCCCGAGTCATCCGGAAATACTACGCTCCTCTTCTGCTCAAGCCATTGGCTAAGGGCGTGGTTCTTCTGACGTTTGGTGGTATGCTTGTTGCTTCCGTCATTTCCATCCAGCACATAAAGCTTGGATTCGACCAGCGCCTTGCATTCCCGTCGGATTCATACCTCATTCCGTACTTTGACAGCGTCGACGCATACCTGGACATCGGACCCCCTGTATACTTCGTCGTCCACGACGTCGACGTCACCCAGCGCCCGGGCCAGCAGCAGCTCTGCGGCCGCTTCACGACCTGTGCGCCGTTCTCCGTCGCCAGCACGCTCGAGCTCGAGCGCAACCGCACCGAAGTCTCGTACATCTCGCAGCCCGCCGCGTCTTGGATCGACGACTTCTTCAACTGGCTCGACCCGAACAAGGACAAGTGTTGCCGCGTCCGCAAGAACGACCCCTCGACGTTCTGCGACTCCGGCGAGTCCCCGCGCCGCTGCCACGTCTGCTACGAGGACCACGAGCCGGCGTGGAACATCACGATGAACGGCTTGCCGGAGGGCGACGAGTTCATGCTGTACCTCCGTCAGTGGCTTGTCTCGCCCACGAACGAAGACTGCTCTGTGGCGGGCAAGGCATCCTTTGGGGACGCTCTTGCGCTGTCCGAGGACGGCTCGGCGGTCGTCGCGTCGCACTTCCGCACGTTCCATAGCCCGCTCAAGTCTCAGGCGGACCTGATCAACTCGTTTGCCGCGGCGCAGCGCGTCGCGGATGACCTGAGTGCCGCCACCGGCGCGACAGTCTTCCCTTACTCGCTCCACTACGTCTTCTTCGACCAGTTCGCGCATATTATCCCCATTACCGAGCAGATCCTCGGCCTGGGTCTCGCTGCAGTGTTGCTCGTCACCGCGCTCCTGCTGGGCTCGTGGCGCACGGGCACGATCGTCACGAGCGTCGTCGCGCTCACGGTCGTGAACGTCGTGGGTGTCATGGGCATATGGGGAATCGACCTGAACGCGATCAGTCTGGTTAACCTGGTGATCTCGCTGGGCATTGCGGTGGAGTTCTGCGCGCACGTCGCGAGGGCGTTCATGAGCGCGGGCTCTGGGCTGCCCGTCGATCATCCTGCCGGCCAGAAGGAGCGCGACGAGCGGATGTGGCTCGCTCTCGTGGATGTTGGCCCTTCGGTGAGTCGTCCCATGCGCCGATGTCGTTCATTGCGGTACTAACTCAGGTTGTGCAGGTTTTGTCTGGGATCACGTTCACGAAGTTGATTGGGATGTGTGTCCTTGCTCTCACCCGCTCGAAGTTCTTGGAGGTGGGTCGAATTCTCTGGAATACGTAGCTGAGCGGAGCTGAAGTTTGTGTTTGCTAGATCTACTATTTCCGCATGTGGCTTAGCCTCATCATCTCTGGCGCGTTGCATGGGCTGGTTCTTCTCCCTGTTGTACTCAGTTTGGCTGGCGGTTCTGGCTTCCCCCAGCAAGAAGCCGACGAGGAGTGGATGTCTCATGCTATCCGCAACGATTACGAATATACGTAAGTGCAATATGACGGTTATCGTCGATGATCAGTACTGATCATCTTCCTCTGCGCAGGCCTTTTCTCGCTGATGACGACTCTAACATGAGTGATTGATCATACTTCACTAGATAATATGTACATTTAGCATAGCGCAAGGATATAGTGGACAATATCTTCACAATGAGATTTTTTGTACGAGCGACTACATAGACATAGAGCGAAGCGTATTCAGCAACAGAAGCGGTGATAGTCCCAAGATGCAGCTTCAGTCCCTGGGCGACCTGGATCTGCTATCCCGAATGTCGTCGCGACTGTAGCTTCGGCGAGCTCGACTGGGGGACCGAGAGCGGCTCCTGCTACGAGAGTAGGCAGACGAAGAGTAGTACGAGCGGGTAGGAGAGCGTGAGCGCGAGCGAGGCGTGAGGGAGCGAGTGCGTGACCGGCTCGATGCGACAGAGTAGCTCCTGGAGCGTCTACCGTAACCAGTTCCTCCGCGCTCGTAGCTTGGTGACCGTCTCCTGGGGGCAAGACGGTCTACGCCGCGGCGAGGGGGTGAGCGAGACCGTGTGCGGGAGCGGGAGTAGCGGCGGTATGGCGGCGGAGGAGGAGGTGGTCTGCGACCTGGGGGTAGGCGTCGGAAGTTGTCGTTGTAGCGTCCGCCAAAGCCACCACGACGCCCACCGCCGCGAGGAGGTGGAGAGCGCGAACGGGAGGGAGAGCGAGATATAGACTTCGGCCCACGACCGTAGCGGGGACGAGGTAGTGGGCGGGGTGACCGCGAACGGGACCGCGAGTGAGAGCGGACGGGAAGTTCGGAGAGCTCAACCTTTAGTATCGCGCCATCGAGCTGGCCACCATCCATGTGAGAGACAGCTTTGTGTGCGGATGCGGGGTCGAGGAACTCGAGGGCAGCCTTGCCTCTATTTTGCCCGGCTATGACGATGCGCGTCAAGACGGATACGAGATGCTCAGAATATGCATATACTCACATTTGCCGTACACGGGAAGGTCTACCTTGACTATCTCTCCGTAATATCCGAATATTGTCTGCAGGTGGGACTCGACGACATTGCGGGTGAGATTTGTGACAATGACTACTTTAGCATTCGAATTTGCTCGTGGCGACCCGTCCATGTCGACATCTTCATCCCTGAGAGGACGCGGGGAAAGAGACCTGCCGCGCGTAGACATGCCAATTTTAGCTGAGTACAGAACCAGATGAGGTGCAGTGGAAGGCAGTCGGCAGTCAGAACTGCGAGCAACTTGAAGTTCGAGCTCAGCGCGGACGGTGGGACCTGTGTCACACCAAGTCACACTCTAGCGTGTCACCTAAATCGGCGCTCAATCGGAGCTTGCCGATCCGAGATTTGTCTTACAGATCGAGACTTTCTGACCTCTCCCATAGAGGTGCATCTGAACACATTTTCATTCTTTACGCTCTTTGATACCATGTCGGATGCTGAAGGACCTTCTTCGCCACCAGCTACAAAGAACGCGACAAAACCGCGGAAGCGTTTTGTCGGTAGCAAGAACGCAACTCCTTCCAAGCTTGGATACACTCCTACTGTCGCAAACCAGATCCCACCAGATATCTTGAACGATGCACAACTGAACGCGGCGATCAAGAAACTGCCTTCGAACTACTCATTTGAGATTCACAAAACCATACATCATGTCCGCAAGAATAAGGCGAAAGTGGTTGCGCTGCAGATGCCCGAAGGTCTTCAAATGTTTGCATGCACCATCGCAGATATCATCGAGCGGTACGCAAACTCCCCTCAATTACTTCTTGCCACCCAGTCCGAGCTCTGAGTTCGCTATAGATTCACAAGCGCTTTGACTGTGATCATGGGAGACGTGACGTATGGTGCTTGTTGCATCGACGACTATACCGCCGTCGCTCTCGGCTGTGACATGCTTGTACACTATGGTCATAGTTGCCTCGGTGAGTACCGACATTCCTACATTCCCTGGAATATGCGCACTCATATCTGCCGAAGTCCCTATCGACCAAACCAACATCAAAACGCTATACGTCTTTGTGGAAATCTCAATAGATGCCTCGCATCTCGTACAGACCATTCGCTTGAACTTCCCCAACGAGCGCCAACGATTTCACCAATCATTACTCGACTCCGAAGAGCAATATGCAAGGCTACCTGCTGGACAGCAATTTGTTTCTGGAGGCCATTTGCGAATAGAAGCACCTACACCTACAGAAGACTCTGCCGCGGAATCTGGTGGTGCCGTCCCTGAATTCAAACATGAAGCTGCTCCGCATGAGTTGACACGGCTGGCCTTGGTCTCCACGATCCAGTTCGTCTCTGCGCTGTCGCACCTGAAAGACGAGCTGTCGATGGAATGCCTGGATGTTGACATCCCGAATCTGCCTGCCGGTCTCATCGAAGGTCCTCTAGACGGATCTAACGACTCCGGTCAGGTCTTAGGCAAGCCCCGCCTATGGACGGGTAAATACGACGTCTCAATACCTCGGTCGAAGCCACTATCTCCCGGTGAGATACTCGGATGCACCGCTCCTCAGTTGAACGACGTTGATGCACTTCTGTGAGTCCTTACGCCCTCAAATCATATCTACCTCCGCACTTACCTTCTTTTGCTAGATATCTCGGCGATGGACGGTTTCACCTCGAATCAATCATGATCGCGAACCCAACGGTCCCGGCGTTCCGCTACGACCCCTATTCCAAAAAGTTCACTCGCGAGCGTTACGACCACGTCGAGATGCGCACCGTCCGCGACGAGGCCGTCCAAATCGCCCGGCGCAGCATCGCCGCTTACCCCCACTCTCAGGCCCCGCCTGAGTCCCACCTACCCTCCCCTCCCCTCACGCCCGAGCCAACCGCCGCCTCTCGCTCACGCTCGCCAACGCCGTATCCCTCCGACGGTACCCCGATGTGGGGCGTCATCCTCGGCACACTCGGCCGCCAGGGCAGCTTCAAGCAGCTCCGGGCGATCACGCAGCAGCTCGCGGGCGCGCCCACGCCCATCCCATACATGCCGATCCTTCTCTCCGAACTGTCCCCGGCGAAGCTTGCACTCTTCAGCCAGCATATCGCCGCGTTCGTGCAGACGTCATGTCCGCGCCTGTCAATCGACTGGGGCTACGCGTTCGAGCGGCCGCTTCTGAACCCCTACGAGACCGCTGTCGCGGTGGGCAAGGCTGTCGGGTGGATGGCGGCCGGGGAGGGCGACGCGATGGAGAGGGCAAAGAGGGGCGGGACGTACCTGATGGATTTCTATTCAGCAGGCAGTCCGTGGGCCGTCGCGAGAACGAAGGCGACGTATCAAGATTGAGTTGCCATATTTGCACATCGATCATCCAATGTATCGTTACATCAGCAATGTAGCTCTATCGCCGAACATACTTACACCTTTGTCTGTCTGAGCGCAGTTCACAGAGGTACTGCGCATATACTGCCATATTCCAGTCCTTCGAGATTGCGAAAGTTTGGCAAGAAATCAAGCTCACGACCTAATTAGGTCATAGTATACAAATCGTTGCCATGATCATGACGGGTCATCAACGTTATAAACTGTTGTCGAAAGAGCCAGGTCAGCCTGGTTAGGTCCGTCAGAGGCGGCGAGATGCCCACACTCACCCGTATGCATATTCGACCTCATCAACGCTGCCGCCAGACTGGAACGGACCAGAAGGCTCCTTCGGCATAGGTCCGAGCTCTTCCTCGTCGTCGTCCGTATCATCCAGAGCCGTGCCACTATTCAAGTCCAACGGCAAGACAGGCCGGAGGCCTCCGCTCCCTGAACTCGATCTGCGGCCGTGCGCAGAAGGCGACTTGGCGAGCGCAGCCATCGTCTTCGGACTCATATGCTGAAAAGTGTTCGAACCCTTCAGTAACCTAGCCTCAGGTATACTCACTCTGATCGACTACTTACCTCCCAGTTGTTCACATTCTCGTCAGGGACGTCGCGAGCCTCCTTCGTGTGATCTAGACGCGCGTCGTCGCCGAGCTCGCCAATCGAGACGATGCTCTCGCTGTCGCTGATGCCGTCCGCGATGTCATGCATTAGCTCTGGCAAGCGTGACCACGCGGACGAGCCTTGCGAGCTCGTGTCGGAGTTCTCCGACCAGCGGAGATACTCCTCGTACTCTTCTTCGAAGGCGATGTCTTCCGTCACATACGGCAGGAAGATGGACGGCTCGGTTGTCTGCGCTCGGAGCGGCGGGAAGACATCTGCATCGACCGTATTCGGCGTTTGGACTGGGCGAAGCATACCCGAGAGTTCAGGGCCGGGATGGAGGCCCTCGAGGTGATGCGAGATGCTCGCGGCACGCCGGTGGGCGTTGGACTGCACAGTGGATTGAACACCATACCGCTTGTTGTTGTCTTCGGCCACGTAAGTCGCAATTTAAGAGAATCGAGCAGACCAATACACGTACAAAACTTGACGAGGTGCCGCAACGCTTGCTCTTGCGCCTACATATGATGTAAGTAAACTCAACCATCAGCTGCGCTGAACCCGCTACCGACCTGCGCGTCATACACGTCGTCCACCTCGATGCCAGTCAACCATTCATCTCGGAGATCGGGCCTGCAATTCAGGTAGATAGCCGTGATGACCTGCATGTTGGCTGTAGGTGGAGCGAGGTAAGACCGTAACTCAGCGAACTGCCGAAGAGAAGCGCGACGCGAGGCTTACACTGCCGCCACTTCCGACCACAGAACGGAACTTGACTCTTGATCAACTTGAGGACATGCAGCTGCAGCATTGGGTGCTGCACTTTCAATATCCGCTTCAGGACCGCCTGCATATCACCGCCGCCGCCGGTCAACCATCCGTCCGCAATGGATACTCGGAGACGCCTCCACGCCGTTCGCTGCACCCACCGTCCTGCCCGCGGACGGACGTAGTGTATGCGAGGCCCGAAACGTGAAACGCCGAAGCACTCACCGAGCTCTTGTATTGCACGAGCATGCGTATGCGATGCGACCGGTGCTTGGACAGCTTCTGCATGATCTTGGCAAAGTTGATCGTAGAGAAGAAGTTGCGCCACGAGAAGTCGGTTAATAGGTCCACCTCCTCCTCGTGCTTCTGCCCGTTGGGGAGGATGGTCGTCCGCACGATGGTCTGCCGCGAAGCGCGCTGCATCTGGTCGTCCGACACGCCGCCGGACTCTGACCGCCGGGCGAAGTGCGTCTGGCAATAGCGGAAGAAGCTGACGTAGGTGAAGAGGTACTGTCAGCGGAAGCTGATCTGCACCGCCAACGTGCGTGGGCTTACTTGTGCTCCGGAGCGTCTGCCTTTGATACGACCGCAGTGGAGACTTCCTGAAGTCCAAAAATCTTCAGTATCAGCAGGAGGCAGTTGGTATCAAGCAACAGCTGCCCCAGGTGATGAAACTTCATCACATCTGCCCTGCATTAAGCTTCCGGTCTTTTTGATCGGACGATACGGCCACTCACGAGACATCTTGAACCACTTCAGAGTCAATAGTAAGATGGCCGAGACCGCTTTGGAAGTGATCTCACGATGCCGCGTCACATCCGTCTCGTCGAGGGTGGCAGGTTTCGGAGGTGCCTGTTCGAGAGCTGCGGACCGTCAGCCAGTATCAGTGTCGGCCACAGGAAGACGTGTGCGACTCACGAGAGATAACGCCAGGTGGATATCCCGTGCCTGTCGCAGAATGTGGCGGACCGGTGCTATTGGCGGTCGACACGGTTGCGAGGAGTAGCTTGAGCAGCACAAGCACCCATCCGGACAGCACGGGCAGCACAGCGCTCTGTAAGCCCTGCTCAGGTACTCATCCGGCGGCAGTTGATCGAGAGGCACGTACATAGATCTGCTCGACCCTTTTCAGGCGCATCAGGTCCTCCTTGCGTTCCATTGCACGGCGCTTCTCTGCGACCGTCTCCCCTTCCGCGATCGCTTTCTCTGCCTCCGCAATCTTGGCGTCCAGTATAGCCACGTCGGGCAATGACTCGCCTCCCTCGTCGTCCTGTTGCGGAGACTGAAGATCCATGTGTTCAGGACACTACGTCACCGTCGTCAGAGAATCTCGAGATAAGGCTCACGATAGGCGGGACCTTAGGCTCAGAAGGTCGCCCGGCGCCAGGAAGGTATTCCAGACCGCTCTCGACGGTCATGCACTCCTCGCGCGTCTTCCACATCTGCCACAAGGACAGGCTGACGTACATGTGTTTCGCATATAACTTGTCTGCCTCGTCGATTGCGAACGGCACCAGTCGCGAGTCATTGTAGCCGACGCGCGTTCGAGAAAACGGGAAGAGGAAGGGCCGGTTTTGGTCCGTCTGGAACTGCTGCTTCTTGGGCTTGGGGGAGGGTGGCGGCGAAGGGGCTGGTGTGGCTGGCTGCATTCCACGAAAGGACGACCCAGGCTGGGTGGCGTTGTATGTATGCGACATGCTTCCATGCGATTGGTCCTGGTGCTGCGAGTCACCCCCATCGTGTTCATAGTGGTGTCGTACCGGAATGGGCGAATAAGCTTGCGCCAGCTTGGAGGTCGGTACAGGCGCCGATGCAAGAACGGTGACAGGCTTAGGATTGAAGGTCGGATACTTCACAGAAATCTCTTGTCGGAAGACTTCAAGGTCAATAGGAGACGCCTTGATCGGAACCGCTAGTACATCGTCAGACGGTTGTTATTGACCATTCAAACGTGTGTCGAGTACCTTCTTCCGGTACTGGAGACAATCCTGCGAGTTCTCGAGTAAGCTTCTTCACAGACGCTAGCTCGCGGATGCCGCCGCAACACGTCAGAATCGTCTTCCAAAGGACCAGTAGCAACTGAGGCAGTGGGCATGAGACTCCATCTGATAGCCACACGAGTCATGAGAAGAAACGCACTTTCTTCACAGGGTACCCCTTGGCGCTTTTGTCCCGCAGGCCTGCGACTACATTGAATAGATAAACGGGTAGTGGCGGTTCCAGGCTCACTGGTCCGGTATCGAAGGGATCAGCGTCGTACGCGACCGGCAAATGGCATCGCTCACTTAGTTCATCAGCAAAGTCATCGTGTCCCTTGAATACTTCGACCATGTGATACAACATCCCAAGATAGACGGAGAGCTCCGTGGTAACCTCCTCCATGAAGTCAGCCTTCTCCTGTGAAGAGATATTGAAATGCGCCGCATCGGCATCCGATAGGCTGCTGTGGAAGGCGTAAGATGGTCGTAGAACACCATGGAGGCAGCTGGTTACCAGAGGAGATCATGCTTGGAGCTCGCGATTTTGATGGCCTCTATGATGTTACTCAAACCATTCGCGGCCCGGACAACCTTGCAGTTCTCAATGATCCAGTGCAGCTGATCCTCCGGAGAGGTGGTCTCAGCAAAGGTACCTACATGGCCAGGTCAGGAGATGGCACGACGATGAATACATGATGACCTGACCTTGAAGGACGTAAAATACCCGTCGCGCGTTCGTGAAACGGATCTCGGCGTCGCGATGCTCCAAGCTCTCCAGCAAGACCTGAACGTGCGCCTTGCGCTGTGCGAACGAGCTGGTGGTCCACTCTGTACCGCGTCAGGGCATCTCACAGTGGTGCGAGGATATACACGGACCTCCAGGAAAGGAACCTTCCCATGCCTTGAGGTTCTCCGCTACCTGTGGCATCTCTACGTATGAATAGAACTCCTCTATTTCGTTGAGAACGTGGTCCTCGTCGTCGTAACGAAAGTCGTAATAAGATTGCTGATTGTTCGCATGCATCAGACGCGTATCAAGGCAGGCAGCGGGATAGGAGTGCAGACCTTGGGCTTTGGTGCGGACCCGACCATGGCCTTGAGTTGGCCGAGCGTGATGGAATCGAGGCCAACTCCTTGCTGAGCATTGGGCGGGTCAACGTCGCGCGCGGTGTTGAAGAAGGAGGATACCTGGGGCAATACCATGTTGGCTGAGGCGGAGGCTGGGATCGTGATTAAGAATAATTGCCGGGGCGCGACTTGTCGGACGCGTGCGGGGTTAAGCGCAAGTGACTAGGCGCGTCGGTCGGGTAGAAACACTAGCAGCTGCGGGAACGCGGATTGCACGATGCGGGGCGCGGAGTGGGTGCGCTGTGTGTCGTAAGATGCTGCTGTCGGGTTAAGGGACGGGAGTGGACATGAGTCAAGGGAAGATGTATACGAGGACGTCGGACGGAGCGTGGTGGGTTGGATGTCGCCGCAGGCTTAGCAGCCGGCGCTTCGCGAGCGCGGATGCCGAGTGGGGAAGGTGCTTACATAAGGTAGTTGGGGGCGACAAAGAGACGGAGCGGTTTCTTTTCAGCTCAAGCCACGACGACATCGGCCCCCCAGGATCGACCCTCCCCTCCTCGTCGGTCCATCGTCTCCAGTTCTCCCCTTTCTCTCGCGACAGACGATTGCGACGGCGTCGACATAGGAGAGGGCGTTCATCCTTCGCCAGCGATACTTTTGACGGTCGAGAGGGAGCCACGGTCACCGTCTGCCTGATCTTCCCTTCTCCGTCGAGCATCCTAAAAGGCACGCCTTCGCTGTGCGTTTGCCACTTCGACTCTCTCAATCTACCGTTATCGTCTCTCGGGTCTCCTCGCCTTCCTCCGTCTCTTTCACGACTTACTTTACGACCGGCCTCAAGCCCCTCCAATCTACGCCGCAGCTCCCGGCTCCAACGTCGTAGCTCCTGCCCTTCCTCCCCGGTTGTGCAGAAGCTTGTGGCATTCCTTCCCGTTTCCCGTGCAGATGCCAGTTCCTGTCCCCGCTTACACCAAGCAGCCCGCCCACCCCGTAATCAAGATCAATCATCCCGTCCAGCCAGATAGCGAATCTTCTGTCTTCCAACACCTGACCCACTCCTTACCTCTCCCACCTCAGGGACCTCCGCCGTCCTACGCGACGAGGGAGGAGTGGATCAGTTCGCTTCCCTCTTGGAGGAGAAACAAGCCCCGCCGTATCTGGGAGGACGAGTCCGCTCGTGCTCAGGACTTCACTTTGCAGGATTTTAACGAAGGGTTGGCCGTGACGGATAACGTCTCGGTCATTAAAGGAGAGCTCGCGCAAGCTTGCATTCCGCCCGTCTGTTACACCCAGCCTCAAGCTCCGGCTTACGGCAACATGTACTTGCCCGCCGAGGAGTTGGACGAGGAGATGAGTGGTTTCCCCGTCGCTATGCAAGATTGGCGGAGTGACGATGGCGCCTACGGGGTGGATGTCCCGTCTGCCGAGAAGAAGCACTACGAGCGCATGGCCCTCGAGAGTCCTCGGGAGGTCGACGAGGATTACACTCATCGGGTCATCACCCGGTCTTATTCAGCGCCTGACTCCACATCTGAGTCATATGCCGGGTACGAGAGAGGTGCCTTCAGCCCCGTCCTCGAGGACCGCTCTCCCGACGGTCTCGGCAACTCCTCGCCCGAGGCAGCGGACGTCGCTGAACCCGGCTCGAGTCCCGTCGGGCCAGCGACTCCTTTCGCAGACTACGTCGACAATGCCATCGCCGCCGAGGCTCAGCTTATTCCCGCGTTGCAGCGCAATCGGGCTGTTGAGGTCGCTCAAGCTGCCGCCTATAGCGCTCATCACGACGGTTACCACGTATCTTGCTACCAATGCCAGACGTATCAAGTGGAGCAGCCTATGCAGCAAGCTCCCGTTGTCGACACTGTCGTGGCGCCTGTTGCCACCGCGGCCTACAAGAAACTCGCAGCACCCCTGTCCGAATGGATTGTGGGCTATGTTTGGAAGGTTTGTACAACTGGCATGCGACTGTCGCCCGAGTACGCTCAGCCATCGTGGGTAGTGTTCGCCATTGCAGTGTTTTGACATGCTGATGAGCTTGGTTGCAGGGCCTTCCTCAAGCACTACCCGAGCACCCCTCCTGCCCATCTGGTCTCGTCAACGCACTCGATGCTGTTGTCGACGCTTCTGCAGCCTTCTGCTATCTTCCTCGCGCTTTGGTATATCGTCCGTTTGCCTGTCTTCTTCGGACCAGTCGGTCTTTGCCCGGAGCATGCGAAGGAGATGCGGTTCCGTGCCGAGCTCCTTGGAGACGCTCATATCGGGACGGACAGGGATGTCATCGAAGCCTATGCCCCTTTCCGCTTGATCTTGCTCGGCTGCATGCTGGCTAATAAGTGGTTGGACGACCACACCTTCTCCAACAAGACTTGGTATGTTGTAGACCATTCCTTCGTGGATCAATTGTTTATACGTTTACTAGGCACACCATCTCGAATGTTCCCATCCGCTCGTTGAACCGGCTTGAGGCTCTCGCGCTCGACATCTTCAAGTACGACCTTTCCATCTCAACAGAGCAATGGTCGACATGGCTCTCGGACATCATGGCGTATCACCAGGCTTCGTCCTCGCCTGTCTACCCGCAACCCATTTCACGGCCCTCGACGAGCCCCCACAATATAGTGCGTGAGGCTATCGAAACTCTGGTCGACGCGCGACCGGTTGACTGTGGATGCGGTGGGAACGATTCGCCCGCGTGTACCGTTCCCCCCCAGCCAGTTTTCGTTGCCCTCGACTCTAAGAAGGAGAAAGCTAGCATCGAGGAGACTTACGTGGACGACGTTTTGGAGATCGATCTCGACGAGGATGGCCCTATCAGGGAGGAGTACTTGCCTAGGAGGCGCACCAGCCGTCGCTCCTCTGGCTTCGGCTACGTGCCTTTCGTCAAGTTTCCTGAGCGTAGTCTTCCTCCACCTGCCAAGTGGAGTCCAGCTGCGGACGAACCCATAGTACGCGATGCGTCTCGACCTCACGGCCAGTACGTGGCTCCGCAGCCTGTGGCTCATTTGCCTATGGGCCCCGCCCCCCCGCCTCCGCCCCCGCCCTTCCAGTCGGCGATGGATGTGCATCGTCCGTCGTGGCCCGTGGGTGGGTATATAATGGGCCAGGAGCCTGTCAACCGTCCTACGGTGTTTGCTCCTCCGCCAGTATTCCAAGCTCCCGTTCCTGGCTTCGAGTATGGATATGCCATGCCGCCGGCGCCTCACGGACATGCGCGTTCCCACTCCCTTACGTACAACCAGGCCATCGCAGATCAAGTCCCCGCCCGAATGCGCTCGTACTCGCAGACGCGATACGACCATCCCTACAGCGACGTCCGCGCTACCGAGCCCCACTTCTTCCCTCCGCCCGCAATGTCTTCACATTGGGGTGCCTATGACCGTGTAGGCTTCCCAACTTCGTACGATCGCCCCTTCGGGCTCCAGCACCGACCCTCGCTGAAGGCGTGAGGTTGTATAACACACGTCTAGAACCGCAACGGAGATTTAGATAGTTGCACTTACTCCTCGTCTCGGTACCTTCCACGCATCATTCATTATAATAATCTGCCTCCGTCGGCCCCTGGCGTATCATCCCCCCACTTGAGTTGCTCTGCGCAAGCGTAGGGCAGCTCATACGCCACTCTCTACTGCGCGCCAGCTTTCCGCATTCTTCGGTCATGGTCTCTTTTATGTCTCTCGCATCACAACATCTTTCCACTGCTCGGGCTCTCCACTCTCCACGACATATCCATCCTGTCTCCGGATTGCCCACTCCACTCTCCACTGGCTGCTCAACATCGACAACACGCACTTCGTATCTATTCTCACTACTATCGGCACACGTTTGGGGCCAGAGGTCGCTATGCGACCCCGCCCGATCTCGCCCGGAGAGCCCCTGTCACTCGTCAATGACCTATGGCGCCGTATATCAGCATTCCCGCACGTTGGACGGACCTGCTTCCTCGCTGTTCGATATCGCCATCTTTCACCTCGGTCTCCTCGTGTACAGAATACCTTGCCGTACATTCACGCTTCTGCTACCCTAATGTTGTTTCATGTCGCTGTCCTCTCAATCGTCTCGTTCTGGTTTTTACATCACGTCTGTTCTGCTGCATTGATCACAAACGCACAAAAACATACGGAAAATCCAGAAAACCCCACACATCGCGCATCTCTCGTTCAGTCGTTTCGTACCTTTGCCTTTGTGGTCCCCTTTCACACGCACAACCCTCCTCCTTCCCCCGCTACGAAGCCCCCTTGCTTCCTACCACCCTTTGTCCGCTTTACCCCTGTAGCATGCTTCATCCCCGTAGGTAGCTTATGTGACACCATCCCGCTCATGTTTCCGACATCGGAATCGCAGGTGACCCTGCTTATTTGTACATGTCATCAATTGGAGACTGCATTATGCTGTGAGCCCTCTTTCAGGCTGGTGTGTGCGCTTGCTTGTCCGTCGCCGAACTCATCATGCCGCCGAAGCCCTTCCACCGTCCCATCCATCGATTTCCGCTGCCAACGCCGCGACCCAGAAGCCGTTGCTGCCGTATCGCGGTATCCTGAAGAACGGAGCAACGGGCAGCCGAATCTGCTCGAATGCCGGTGTACGCATGCTCAAGTGACTTTTGGAAACGCCTCAAACACACAATCGATAGCTCAACTACCGCGATATGTTGTAGTCTGATTGGATGTGGGAGTGATCGCTCGCAAGGAAGGACGTGCACCGTCTTTGTCGTCTTTTACGCCCGCATGACTTAGATGGAGGTCTTATGAGCGCTCTGACTTGGAAGGAATAGTTCCCCTCTTGGTACACGACACCATTCTTTGTGCTACAGAAGGTTGCATTGACAGACACAGAGCGGATGCGTATCACTTGGCAGAAGACTAAGTGGACCGGTACTACCGCGTCCCGACCTTATTGCCGAGCGTCGGAGGGCGGTATCGTTGAGTACATGCTCAATTTCAGTAAGTACCTAGGCGTCCTTCATCATATTTTGTTATCCAGATGCAAGTTCCAGGGACAGGGAGCGGATGCATATACGCACTAGACGCCACAGGTCTCAGCAGGGTGTAGGCGAATATGGTAGGAGGAGACCGACACGCACGACGATTTGAATATATCGGTGGACCTCGGGACCTATCGATGCATGTCGGCGAATATGACCATTGCGCAGGTTTCTGCCGTGGCATGGCTTTTGCCACCTTAGTCTTGGATCAGAGCTCGTCAAGAGAGCTACACAGGATGACACAGATCGCAGCCGTGCGAGCCTCGGGCCGTAGGGAGTACAAAGAGCCAGACATTTGTGGTATCCGGTGCGTTCGGGCTCATTGGGCAAACCCGTGTCCGTAGATATCACTGAAATTTGAAGTCGGAGCTACAGAAAAAAGGGCGTGAAGGATACGTCTCTGGCCGGGTTGGTAGGTTGCTTGTCCTGGAATCCAAGCGCTGGTTCTTCCAATGTACTCAAAGCGGTAAACAGGTGCCCACAGTGTAGCAACGGCTGTTGATAGCATATGCAAGTGCCGGTGGCAAGATACTACACGCGCTAATGACTTACTGAGCTGATGGGCCCAGATGATCAGCCCAGGGTACTAGAAGCTCGAGGGGCCTGCATGGTCGGTTACTCCGTCAGTGCCTTCATATTACTACCCCAAAGTAGCACGCTTGAGGCGAGAGGATGCGGTGCAATAGTCGGCCGGCGTTGTCAGCGCCCGCTGAAGCATCAAGAGCTCGGACATGGCGCCTGGGCGAGGATCACACGGTCCCATCATGCTCAGACAATCTCCGAGTGGAGAGCATATTACTCGCCTGGTCGCATGCGCAGACTTGCGCTCCGTGCTACACACCTTGTCAATTGTTACTCCACAGAGAAAACAGATGCATGTGGGCAATTTATCCTGCGCCACCGAACCCCGCGAAGGAGCCAGTCCAGTCTATGTAGCGGACTCGCAGTATAGCCTTGCCCCGCCCGTCAGCCTTAGATGTCCGCTGATATGATGTCAGCTAGAACGTCAGATCATGCGGCATGAAAGCAAAGACGCTCACCCATAGTAGAAAATCCTTAGCGGTTAGATGAACCTCAGCGCGATACATGGCATATTGGGGCCTAACCAGCCTGTCGGCGGTCAAACGAGAGCCTGTCACTTCATCTTGAAGTCCTGCCAAATTGAGACAGCGAAGCGAGAAGCATGCTGATGTAAGCGGGGAAAGACTGGGGGCTTGGGAATTGCGAGATCACCTCATCCACCGTAGGGCGCGCGGTTGTGCCGGACATCTGCCTTTGCTAGCTCTCGTCCATCCAGGCTAGTACATACACAGCGGCTCGCGCAGCAGTCGCTAACGCTGATATTCTTGGGCCATCTTAACCGGCGTCATCTGCCCACGGGCACGGGCGTCGGAAGTCAGATTGCGGCTTCTTGAGATGCATTCCTTGACCTCTCACGACCACCATTCGTATTGCTTTCTCCGCATCAACATGGCAATGGATGCCCAGCACAATGTCATCACGAACGGCACCATCTGTTTCCACATGTGTCCAACTGGTTTTAAACCTCCTGGGATGCCGGTGTCCTCCCAACGCTCCTCCAGCTATGCCTTCCCTTACCCTTTCTCCTCTTGCCTTGCTCTGGCGTTCTGCTCGCTCTCACGCTAGCCTTCTCTACCTTTTGCTTCCACAGTGAGTAGATTAGATGCACTCCCAATCTCTTCTGAAGTCTGAGCATCGTTCTTGTGTCCTCAGTGCGCCGTCCTTGCCCATCAAGGAGGGCTCGCTCTTCGTAGACGATAGAATTCGTCCCGTGCGTTAATCCCTTTTGCTTCTTGTCCATTTTCTTCTGATTCGTCATGCGTGGTTTTCAGGATGCGTTTCATGAGACAAAGCGTATAATTCGAGACTTCTTGAGCGGCCTTGGCTTCCGATCTCCTCGGACACCGAAGAATTTCGACTTGAGGCAGCAACTTACCGCGGAGATCGCATCGTGGAACATCGACGTGAGCACAACGTTCACAGAGAAGATGCTCCATAACAGCTGCAACATGGCGGAATGCTGCTATAGCCATGAGAGTCCGGAGCACCAGTACTTCATCGCACTCTACACGGCATTCACATTTTACGCCGACGACCACTGTGGTGCCGACCCAGAGCCCATCGGTCAGTTTGCTCAGCGCTGTCTGGAGGGCGCACCCCAACTCGATCCCGTTCTCGACCGGTTCGCGGCACATTTGAATAAGACGTTTGGCCTCTGGCCACGCATTGGCGCGAACGCCATTATCAGCGGCACCTTCGACTCTATGACAGCGATGTACATCGAGTACACTACGAAGGACATGGCCACGCGACCCGGCGCGACCCGGTACCCGTATTACGTGCGCACGAAATCAGGCGTCGGTCCTCCGTACGCCCATTTCATCTTCCCGTCGGCCTGGCGGTCGAGTGTGAATTCATACATTCAGATCATTCCGTAAGTTGTACTTGCCGGCCTGACGACGACCTCCTAGTTTAGTGACCTTTTTCTCCGCCGGTCATCTAGTGAACTCGATTATTTCATTAATTGCACGAAGTACGTAACATGCATCTGCTTTCCCAGCGATGCGAGGATCAGACGCTAATGCATCATCTCTTCAGCGACCTGTAGGTGTCTGTGGGCGTGATGCAAATTCGTCCAAACCGGACTGACGCCTGGTGCTTCTACAGGCTATCCTTTTACAAGGAGTCTCTCGCCGGCGAGACTGACAACTATGTGCATTTGCGCGCCTCTGCGGAGCGCAAGTCACCCACTGATGTGCTGCGAACATTGGCGGCTGAAGTCACTGACACCGTAGAGAGGATCGACGCTATCACGTCTATCGACCCCGAGCTGGCCGCATTATGGCAGAGGTTCTTGCAGGTGACTGCTGTTTCCGCAACTTCGTTGGCTACCTAAGCGGATCATCTGACATGCCCAACTGTAGGGCTATCTGGAATTCCACGTAAAGACGACACGATATCGGCTTGCCGAGCTCGATTTCTATGCCTGACGAACGACACAGCCGACATTTCCGACATCGCGATGCTACTTCACGGACACCTTATCTAACCTCTCCCGTACAATTAGTCTCGCGGGCGCACGACCTTCCTACAGTTTGCCTAGTGTACAACCACGGCATTTCACTTATTATGTATTATGAAGATACTAGTAGCGCACTGCTGTCGTCTTCCTGGTTCTCTCCACGATCAGGTTTGCCGGTTTCCTGCGCACCAGTCTCCCGATGTACCCGTATTGTGATCGTACTTACATGTGATTCGCAAACACGTTTCGATCGCGGGAGGGATTCAGGCTCACGATCGAGATTCACCCGATGCGTCAAATGCACCAAGTACTTAAGTATCGTCGCAACCAGAACTCTGAGCCGAGCGCGTGGCCTCGCGTGGCTCGCGCGTTCTTTGGTTCTGTTTGGCCTGCTTCCCGTCTGCTACATATCAGCGCCTAGAAGTAAGTTTTTTCTGTACGAAGCTCTCTCGACGACGGCGAACTGGCTGCATTTCTATCGCCCTCCTGCATCTTCGCGACCGGGCTAAGTGGGCGGCGAATGGTCGTTAAAGAGCGGGTGCGCCAGGTCCGATGACAGCGGTGAGTCTTAGTTCCGTCCTTCCTTTCCGATGATGCCAACTATATTCCCAAACATACGAACGCCCTCGCGCGTTGTGAAATCACCTTACTCTACAACGGTATCTGAGACATGCTTCCCAGTGAGACGTGGCGTGTCGAACCTCATGCTGATGTGTGTGCTTGTCTTCTCAGTTTCCTGTAGTGGGCACGCCTCAGCTCGAGGTTGCACATGGAGGCCCACGGGCCTGGGGCCGTTGGCGCGTTGATCGTCTTGTGGTGGGAAGGAGCCGGAACCGGATGGCTGAAGGTGAGTTCGACTATGCCTTTCACGTTCACGTTTCCCTTCATCCGTCCTGTCGGCTTCATTTTGGTACACTTTGACCTGCGCGTGATGACATACTATTCACACTGTATGAACGCCGGCGCTACCGCGTCGGCGTTGAGAGTAAACCTTTTTCTACAACGGTATCTGACGCAACCTTCACGACCCGACCTGTCGTTGTCATAACTGCCGTGTCTCGAGGCGTGTATGCTGACGCATGTTGTTCCCACAGCCTTTCAATCAGGAATACGAGAAACGCTTGTAGGATGAAGTACCATATGGTGAGTTGAGTAATTTCGGCTTTCGGGAGTATCTAGTCGCCTTGGGCGGCACACGTCGAGCACATAGTACGATGCACTTATGGATAGATCATTATACGGGAACTTGCTATGTATTACATCCGTGTGATTGCTCGCAGCGTGAATGAATAACGGTCATCTCGAACGCATGTGAATGTGAACACAGCGTGCCACAGTAGCACGAGATCGTATGGTAATTAGGGTGCATTACCTCGCGCGACATCTGCGTCCGAAATCAGTTTCTCATCTTCGAACGCGTCTGACGGCACTTGGCCTTGAATTTGACTGAGGGCACCCTTGAAGATGTACAGGTATGGGCCAGACTTCACGGGGGGCGGCGTGGATTGATATGCAACGGGAAGCGCACAACGAGGGCAGTGAAACCTGTACTGTTTCTCGTGCCCACCTTCTCTGATGAGTGCGGTGATTGGCACACGTTCAGCGGCTTCTCCGGAGTGACGCCAGGGGAGATGACCACTCACCGCTCTATGAGGATGGGGTCCTTGGCCGTCGCGTTCAGTTTGAACACGCGCGCCTTGGCGTCGCGGGCGTCCTGGCAGCGCACGACGACTGCGCCGTCGGTCTGCCTTCGTGGGAGGGCGGTCAAGCTCTTGTCGATGACGAGCTGCGCCCGCATGGTGCCATGTCAGCTGGCATGAGACTCGGTCGACAGGCAGTGCACAGAGGACGAGATGACGCACAATAAACTCGCCGCAGATGCAATCTGTGCGGAACAAATGGGTGAGCTTTTAGACCAGGGAAGACGGGCGTGATATCACACAATAGACGCGGAGCGCTGCTGCCTGTGATGCGGTGGGACGCGCTGGGGCGAGCGAACAATGAGGGCGGCGAGTCAGCGCGAAAAAGTTGCGTGAAAATCGGGGATGGTGGTAAAAATACTTGCCATCCGCGGACGAGGAGACGGCGGAGCGAGAGACGACCTTGGGCATGGTGGAAGCAGAGCAAGGGTAGAGCGCGGTCAGATAGACAGTACTAGCACACGGCGAGAGAGGTGGCAGCAGGAGAGGATGAAGGAACGTCGACAAGTACTGTTCGAGCGGTGCAGGCGCAGATGGCGGGCAGTGTGCCGAGAAAGACCGTCACGGTCGGCGAACAACGAGAGCCCTGCACGTGATCGTTTCGCCTTATTATTGCCCTGCTTGGGCTGTGCACCGTCACGGTCCGCCAGCCAGTGCAGCTAAGTAGTGGTGTCTTCAACTCCCCGCCGTGCAGCCGACCTCCTTCCATCCATCCTCTCCGTCCGCCCAGCCGTCCTCCCCCGCCTCCCACCATGGCCGAGAAGGATGCCTGCGCCCGCCTCCGCAGGGCTGTAAAAGGTGCGTCCATGTTTCACCCGTCCGTCGTCCGGTAGTTTGTCGGACTGACCTTCGGGTCGGGTAGAGAACAACCTCTTTCTCGTCAAACGACTCATCAAGCGCACGGACATGCGCAATCCCGACCCCTCCGTCAAACGCTACACTTCGCTCGCATGGGCCGCCATCCTAGGACACGAGGAGACGTTTGAGTTCCTCCTCAGCAGCGGGCACGACGATGACCACGAATACAGCAAGGTGCGTCCACTCCAGTCTACCCGCAGTGGCCTTCCTGACTTGACGTTCTTTTTATCCGCGGACAGGACTCAGAAAACAACACCATCCTCTTACTGCTTGCTGATGCACGACCGCCCCCATCCGACCCCCACTCTAAGGGCCCCTCAGAACAAGACTTCCTTGGGGCCACCCTCCGAATGGCCCGGATGTACATTGACCGCTATCCCGAGGTCCTCGACTGGGCCAACATCGAAGGGAAGACGGCACTGCACGTTGCAGCGCAAAAGGGCAACGAGGAGCTCGTTCGGGTGAGTCTGTGGCGCACATTTCCCCATCCGTGTCCGGCGTGCCCAACCGTTCCCTCGTCCTGCCGCAGATGCTTTGCGATCACGGCGCAGACTTTGACCTGGCCGATAACGAGGGGAATACTCCGCTACATTAGTGAGCATTATTATGTTGGCCGTCCCAAAATCCCGAACTCGCAGAAACTCATTCCGTTCTAGTGCGAGCGCCTGGGGTAACGTTACGGTACGTGCCTGCTCCCGCTATGCCTCGTGGGGAAGCTCCGACCGCTGACTGGCTCCTCGCAGATCGTCCAGCTGCTGATTGAGCGCGGATGCCAATACTCGGCGCGGAACAACCAAGGGTTCACGCCCTCGGATTATGCATACTCGTACGTTGCTGTGCTCGAGATCCTCACATGAGATTGATCTACATAATGACCGCATCACAGAATAAGTACGCGAGATGCTCTGCAAGATACAGCTCGAATACAATTTGAAAACAACAAGAAGGCCAGGCGGAACGTGTACCAGCAGGCCGCCGTTCGGGGCAACGAGTGGAATGGCCCGGCGAATATGCAAGTATACCCTCCATCACCGAGGGAGCATGCCCATTTGCAGAACGGTTCCGTACGGGTGAGGAGCGGTTCAGGGACCAGCCATACGACGACGACATCCAACAGCGGCGACCTGCTCGATGGGCATGTGGCGCAGCAAGCCCCCTCGCGGTTCTGGTCGTCACCATCACGACGGCCTGCACCGTTACCCTCGGGGTCGCACTCTCCCGGACACCCGGGACATCCTTCAGCGAGCTCAACAAGTAGTACATTTGGATTCGCCTCGTCACCCGTCTCGCAACCCAACTCCGCCACCCTCCTTCCCAATGTCAATTCCAATCCTGCGTCCGCTTTGTCACCGATCGCAACACGAATGCGAGAACGGGATGCGGATGCGATGGAGAAGTACAAGCTGCGACAACGTAGCGGGAGCGCTACGACCGCATCGACAGACAGCCCGTCGCAGAACGAGTCTGCGTCTCCGCCCGCACCACCACCGAAAGACACGGACGAAGTCTCCGCGCTCTCATCAATAGGCACGATCGGCTCCGTCGCGCCCCGGCGTCGATTACGGCCGTCCGCCTCCGCGGCGCAGCTGCGGACGAATCCCCAGCCGCTGACGATACCGACAAGTCAGGGGGAGCCCCGAAGCCGCTCGGGGACGAGCCCCGCGATGCTCAAGCCGACGCACAACCTCCCTTCGCCCCCGGGCGAGTCGTCCGCGCTGCCCACCCCGACGCAGAACTCGACCGCGCCGCGGCCGAGCATACAGCGCTCGGGGAGCTCGCAGCCGCCGGTCGGCGGCAACGGCAACGGCAACGACTACACGGGGCCCCCGAGCGAGTATGCGCGGTTCCCGCCGCCGCCGATGACGGAGGAGCCGGAGCGGGCGTCGACGCCGACCACGGCGACAGCGCCTACGCACACGCGGCGGTTACCGTTCAATTTGCTGTCGTCGCACAAGAACAGCATGGATTCGCACGTTTCGAGTGGGGGGCATCGGAGAAACGCGTCTGTGAACGCGGTGGTCAGGTAGGGATGCGCAGGCTCCAGGGGCGGGTCGCTGTGCGTGGTCAGGGTGGCTTCTCCTCCCCGCATGTACAGTACTCGGTTCGGCGGGTGTTCTTGGCGAGTCATGGGGGGTGTATTCTTGACGTTTGCTGCACGCGGGTGCTGGAGGTTACTTATTCGCAAGGGGTGGGGTGTTGTATGTACAAGTCGCATTCGCTGTGTACCTTGCTCTGTTGTGCATTGATCCGTACGTGTAACCACGCGGGCTTGCTGGATGCCGTATTGTATGTGATCTACAGTACGTACGGGTGTGTCGATGCTTGAGTGAGCAGGGTTCGCTGGGAAACCTTCGGAGGAGGCCTGTGGCAGATCTGAGATGAACTCACGTCCGGAGACTGCCGTGTTACGTAGTGGGCACGGGGGCGCCTTGGCCCTTGGGGCGCCCAGAGCGCGAGAGGCCAAGGGCTGGCGGTTGTGGCAGGCGTCGAGCAGGTGTCCTCCGCGCGGTCCCAATACGAGTGCTTACGTCCTGCTCAGTTCTCCCGGCCTCGCTGCTCAGTGCTCGTCGCTCCCGCTTATAGTGCTAACTCCTGTCCTCTCTTCGTGCTTCGGGGGCCAGCGCACGCTTCCTTGTACTTGACTGCCATCGGTCTGCACCATGACCTTCCCCGCGAACGTCGACGCCGACCCGGACCCAACCTCCCAGATTACATGGCCCGCGCGCCAGGGCGAGCACAGTCGGAGAGGCTCCAAGCACAACCTCGACGCCCCCAGGAGCGGCAGCCGGCTGTCTGTCAGTAGGAGTAGGGCGAATGGCAACGGGCTCGCGAAGCCCCCTGCGGCGGAGGCGGAGGGGAGCGGCAAGAAGAGGATGTCGTCGTTGGACTTGTTCAACCTGAGCATCGCCATGGGCGGATCCCAGGTGGCGTGGACGGTCGAGCTGGGGTGAGTGATACCGATCCACGTGCTGTTTGCGGCAAGCGAGGAGAGTGCGCGGTTTAACCATGGTTTGATGCCAGATACGGGACGCCGTTCTTGCTGGAGCTCGGGCTGTCGGAGCAGCTGACGAGCCTTGTGTGGCTCGCGGGGCCCATCAGCGGCCTGATCGCCCAACCCGTCATTGGTGAGCGAGGAGGCATTTTCGCCGTTTGTTCTCTTAAGACTTTGTAGTACCATGTTGATGCATGTATGACATAGGTGCCATCTCAGACGCGTCGACCTCGAAATACAGGCGTCGATATTGGATCGTCCTCTCTACTGCCGTCTTGGTCTTTTCAACCCTGACCATCGCCTACTGCCGCGAGATCGCCTCGTTCTTCGTTGACATGCTAGGCCACTATGCCGGAAGCTGGGACCCGAAGTATGGCAAGACGGTGGGTTTGCACGTCATTGCTGCTATCGTGCGAGCTCTGATGATGATCCCTTCTTTAGGTACAAGACACAGCAATTGGCTTTGCTATTGTGTCATTCTACTTGCTCGACTTTGCGTTGAACGCTCTCCAAGCCTCCCTTCGGAACCTGCTCCTGGATGTGACGCCCCCGGAACAGCTCAATGCTGCCAATGCGTGGCATAGTAGGATGCTTAACGCTGGAAACATCGTCGGATACGGCTTCGGTATGGTTTCTTATATTTAGTAGTAGAACAGTTGGTCTAATCGCGCTGAAGGATTCCTGCCTCTGGCGAATATGCCCGTACTCCGTCTGCTTGGGGGATCGCAGTTCCGCAAGTTCTGCGTCGTCTGCATGATTATTCTGACGGCTACTGTCTGGATCACGTGTTGGACGCAAGAGGAGAAGGAGCGCGAACAACGTCGCGTGGAGAAGAGGTATACATACTATTGAGGACTAGCTGGCACTGAAATCTCCACTGACTAGCTCACAAAGTCGCATACGCGAAATCATCACAGGCATATGGACGACTATTTGGAGTCTCCCGAAGCCTATCCGTAGAGTTTGCTACGTACAGCTCTTCGCGTTCATGGGTTGGTTCCCCTTCCTATTTTACTCGTGCGTGGCTTCGCCCTCTAGTGTAGGTATTTGCTCACCTCGTCCACCAGGACAACATATATTGGACAGGTGATGGCGTACGAGCTTGGTAAAGAGCCAGATCACGACCTCGCTACGCGAACTGGCGCATTCGCGATGCTCATCTACAGTCTAGGTAAGATACATCCTTCGCAAGTCCATGTAGTTGTAGGTCCTGACCATTCGTCTATAGTGGCTGTCGCCGCGGGTACGCTCCTTCCCTACCTGACACGGCGGGACGCCGTCCTTCTCGCACACGAAGGAGACGAAGACGAAGACGCAGAGCTCACCCGCCTCCGCGAGCAAGTCCGCGAATGGCGCGCCGAGGCCGCTCGGCGCGGCCAGCCCCTCCGCCTGCCGCTCATGCCCTTCTTCCTCCGGAACATCTGGACGGGCGCGCTCCTGCTCTTCACCGGCCTCACCCTCGCCACATTCTTCGTGTCCAAGATCTGGCAGGCGATCGTCGTCGTCTCGCTCGTCGGCATCTGCTGGGCCGTCGCGTGCTGGGCGCCCTTCGCGATCATCATGGAGTTCCTCAAGGAGCGCGAGCGCGAGGCCGAGGAGGACGGGGAGGCCGTTGCGCGCGCGTGGGCGCGGAGGCCGTCGCACAGCCGGACGCTCTCCACCCCCGCGATCCGGCGGAACAGCAGGCAGAATGCGGACGGGGAGAGGACGCCGTTGTTGAGGCGGAGGTCTTTTGATCAGCGGGACGCGGATGCGGGGCTGCCCGAGAGCGAGTCGGCCGCGGGGGGAACGATTCTTGGGATCCATAACCTTGCCATCGTCATGCCCCAGTTCATCGTGAGTGGCCGAGAGGTCGAATTACGTCCTGTTTAAGCTGGAATGCTGATGGTCGCCGGCTAGGTCGCGATCGCGTCAAGCGTGATCTTCGGAATCGTGGACGGGGACGCCAACGGCGGCCCAGAGGGCGACAGCGCTCTCTATGGCAAGAACGGCGTCGCGTGGGTTCTTCGGTTCGGTGGCGTTTGCACACTGGTGAGAAGCATATGGCGTTCCGTAGCCTCGTGATGACAATGACTGACTCGATATCTTTTCCGTAGCTTGGGGCTGTCCTAGCTCGTGGGGTGCCACCGACCCGTACGGAGAAACAAATGCGGAGGCGGCTTGCAGAGCTCAAGGTCCTCCAAGAGGAAGGCACCCCATGACCTCATCACCTTCGCTTGGTAGCTGCTAGCGCGCTGATCTTTCCGCTCACTTGCTACGCACCTACCCTGGCTGGTTAGCTAGCTAGCTAGCTGGAATACGCTAGGACGACCGTGCCTAGCTGCCACGTAGCTGTACCAATGTCCCCCTCTCTTCGCTTCATGGGCTCGGGTCGCGGACCATGGAAGGACTTTCGGCTTGATTTCGTCATAGCTTTCAGTTGTGCCTACATTTCCTACTGTTGTACATCATCTCCCATCTCATCTAGCACTGCTATTCCGGGCAACATCCATGCAACTCCTTTACGGGCTAGCGCTGTCTCGTGTACATATGGCCAACATTGCGTAATCCCAGTCGTCGCGGTCCCTGCTCGCGATATGTCTCACCGGGACGGGCGTGATCGGCACCGCGTCTCCGAAGAACGATACGATAGCGGACGCGGCTAGTGGAGGATCGGCAGGTTGATCTCCGTGGTTAGATTGATCACAGGTGATAGGATGCACAGCGCGTACCTTTGCCCGCCGAAAGCCTGTAGAACAGCCGGATGGAAAGCGCAGAGGATTTCAGGGGATGCAGGGGAGGCAGCTTGGGCAGCTGCGCGAGGTGCGTCGGGCCGTCTCCGGAACCAAATACGAGCACTACTTTTGAGGGTGTCTCCTTAAACTCTAAGACTTCCCAGCGCAGCGTGCCTTCCGGAGTTTCGACGCTATCTATGGTTGCAGGCACATCTGAGACATACTCAATTTGAGCAGGAGCCGTGTGGACCCACCTTCGCTCCAGCAAGGCACGACTGAGCGGCGGACGACCGTGCCGTCGTCCTCCGTGATATCGCACTGTCCTGTGTGCACGAGGACTTGTTTCTCTACCAGCGCGCCTTTGGGTAGCTCGGGGACGACGAGAAAGAGCGTGGGTGCTCGGGCTTCCTGCGAGGATTATTCAGCGATCTATACGTTTAGAATAGAGGAAGACACTGACTCCTTCGTATTGTGAACTAGCGGCACGAACGGGGGGCACATCTGCTAGTCTGGCAAACCAATAGATGATGCTTTGCATATGACCGGACCAACCGCCCCCAGAATTGTTCTTTAACGCCTCGACGACACGGTGGACATGCTGGAATGACAGGGCTGCCTCGAAAGCTAGGGACTGCGGGGAAGGGAGGGATAGGCTGCTCGGGATGAGACCAATTTGACCGGAGATGGATACCCGTTCGTCCGCCTGCAATATGCGAACGAGTGAGGACGAGGGCGATCCAATCGATGAGGCGGCGGACTCACGACTATTGCTTGGGAGTATGGACCGATGTTCGCTGGGGCCCAGTAACTCAGGCCCTGGACATGGAGCGCCTGTCGTTCTGAAGGATTGCGCTCGGCATATGCGACGCAGTCGAGCCGAACGCGGATAGGAGGGGGAAGATCTGCTGCGACGCATGCGCGAGCTGGGGGACTTGTGCCGAAGTATGTCGCATATACGGCGTTCACGCGTGCGAAGAGGTCCATCGAGGAGATGAAGATATTGATGTTGGCACAATTCGCTAGATCAAGCGAGTGCAACGCTAGAGATTCTGCAGTGGTGACAGATTGCGTAGGTCGATATAATTAGTCAATGTCTGGTTACGGACTGACCCTTCAGCTTTTCGAAACACTCTTGCACCTCGTCTTCTATAGAGATTTCAAGAGAATGCTCTTCAACCTGACGTTGCACGTTGGTAACAGAGACCCAATTTCCTATCCGCTTGGAGGCTACCCTTGCTGTAACATGAACCACCGACTGCCGTGTTGCTTCTGCCTCGCCGACAGGTGACCCCTTTCGGGAAGCGTTCAATATTATGTCGCGAACACCGACAAATGGCTCTGACAGTACTGGAGGTACCGGGAGCTGAGTGTCAATGGGGTATTCCTTCGTGATCAGCGATACCCTCTTAATGCGAAGGTATGCGACGGTTGCGAAGTCATTATCTGAGTGCACGATTGTCTCCACTTCGTCTCTGTGCAAGCTCTGGGATCAGTGGCTCAGAGCGTGGTATATGCACTTACAGGTTGATGCGGTGCTTGAATAGAGGCGAATCCAGGGCCAAAGTCTCGTATTCACCGCCTTCGCCGCAAATGTGTGATCCGTATAAAGTGTTCTGGCGGGGCCACGGTGAACAGCTTTAGGAGAGGTTTTAAACGCTCAGACCTACCAATTTCACTAACGTGGGTTGCATTTGAGCCAAAGTCTTCCCGAGATGTTTAGTCGTCAGGCCAATCCCAGCTACTTTGATCAAGATGGCCTCCAAGCCGGCTTCAATCATTTCGGAGAGCAGCTCTTCCTGGTTGCGCTGCCATAGATAGCATAGAGGAGTGAGACCAAGGCGTCGGCATCTGTTAGATATGAGGATATCATCATCAATATTGAGGTAAGGACATACACGTGCTCGACGCGAACGCGTTGGTAGTTAGAAAGGATAGCGCCTACGGAGACACCTTGTATATCCGGATGGCGAGTCTAGCAAGCACGAGTTGAATAGATCGTGCCATTGCAGAAAGTGGAACATTGAATTGCACTTTGACTGTCAGTAGCAGTTCGTAGAGATCTTCAGTTTCATCGCCATTTATCCCACCGCTTTGTGCTGGGTCGCGCCCGCCATACTCTCCGCCCTGCTCTACGGCTGCGCCGGCGATAACTCGTCTGTACAAGGGAACGTCCAAAGCACGTCCAACAAATTCTATGGCGTCTTGTCCAACGGTTTGGTAAAGGTACGAGTCAAGTTCCTCTGGTTTGCACGGGGTCGGACAGGCTCATCGGGGAAGCTTGAATATGGCCGAACCTTTGCCTTGCTCAGGTCCCAGAGACGCAGCCGCAGCAAGCTCGTGACCGTTTCTTGCGCAATGCAGCAAGTTATAACAGCTGTCTTTACCTCCGCTTAGCAATGCTACGTATCTCATGATTGCGTTGGCTGACGAAGATGGCGGGAGGGAAGACGCGAGGAGGTTCAAGAGACGCCCATAAACTGACCGTTCGGGTAATAGATCAGAGGGAGATCGATTATGTCAGAGTCGCGTGCATGACAAGCGCGTCGTAGCCACAGGCCGAGGATCCCAAAACGATCTCTCTACTATCCTCCTCTTCTTCCAATCCGTTGTACTCTACCCTCTCTCCTTCACGAATCATGTCAGCCACGAACCTCTCGTCTGCGATGGATGTCGATGAAGCTGCGATTGATGAGGGCCTGTACTCCCGTCAGCTGTACGTCTTGTGGATCTGTACGACGCGTCCCGGTACTTACCAATCAACTCTAGCTATGTGCTTGGGCACGAAGGTTCGTTTCAAACGACACATCCAGCCGTTAGCTGTTGCTCATTTGAACTACTTGCTAATAGCTATGAAGCGCATGGCTGCGTCCAATGTTCTTATTGTCGGCGCGAACGGTCTTGGTGTGGAGATCGGTGAGTCTCAAAGACACCGTATGACCTTCCTAGCGACAGTCATGCCAATACAATCTGCATTCCAGCCAAGAATATCATTCTTGCCGGTGTCAAGTCTGTCACAATATACGACCCTGAGCCCGTCAAGGTATCAGACTTGAGCAGTCAGGTAAAACACATCCTAGCGTCTAGTATATGCAAGTGTACTCAGGATTATTCAGTTCTTCTTGCGAAAAGAAGATGTCGGAAAGTCAAGGGCAGAAGTAACAGTTCCCCGACTTGCGGAGCTCAACGCATACGTCCCTGTACGGAATCTTGGCGGTCAGCCCGGTCAAGAGATCTCCGTAGACTTGATCAAGGGCTTCCAGGTGTGCACTACTCGTCACAGACCTACGTTCTCACGTACTCATTCAAGTATGACAGGTCGTAGTTCTCACTCGTGTTCCACTCTCGAAGCAGCTGGAGATCAACAACTGGACACACGAGAATGGCGTGCATTTCATCTCCACAGACACTCGGGGTCTCTTCGGGTATGTCACCACTACGCCTTTGGGGCCTTTCACACGCTCACTACCATGCATCTGCACGAAGCACGGCATTTAACGACTTCGGCCCTAAATTCACTTGCGTAGACCCAACTGGCGAGCAGCCTCTGTCTGGAATGATCGTCTCTGTTGACAAGGACAGCGAGGGTGTCGTGACTTGCTTGGACGAAACTCGCCATGGTCTCGAGGACGGCGACTTTGTTACGTTCAGCGAAGTTCAGGGTATGACCGAACTCAACGGCTGCGAACCTCGTAAGGTTACAGTCAAGGGTCCGTACACATTTACCATCGGCGACACCTCTGGATTGAGCGACTACAAGAGTGGGGGTATCTTCACGCAGGTCAAGATGCCGAAGATCCTGCAATTCGTACGTGTCCCTGCGTATGCCTGCTACGTCGCGCTGTTGACGCGATTTACAGAAATCGTTGCGCGAGTCCCTCAAGGAGCCTGAATACTTCATCACCGACTTTTCCAAATTCGACAGGCCTGCTACGCTCCATGCAGGTTTCCAGGCTCTTTCTCAGTTCGAAGAACAGCACAAGCGATCGCCTCGCCCGCGTAATGCCGAGGACGCCGCCTCTGTAGTTGCTTTGGCGAAGAAGATCGATGCGGACGCCGACGAGAAGATCGTCACTGAGCTCGCTTACCAGGCGACCGGTGACATCGCGCCCATCAACGCCGTCTTGGGTGGTTTCGTCGCTCAGGAGGTTCTGAAAGCGTGCTCTGCCAAGTTCCACCCCATGATCCAGAACCTGTACTTCGACTCGCTTGAGTCTCTTCCCTCGGAGGTGCCAACTGAAGCAGACGTTCAGCCTAGTGGCTCGCGTTACGACGCCCAGATCGCTGTATTTGGTAAGAAGTTCCAGGAGAAGATCGCGAACTTCCGCGAGTTCCTTGTCGGCTCTGGTGCCATCGGCTGTGAGATGCTGAAGAACTGGAGCATGATGGGCCTTGCGGCTGGGCCGAACGGGAAGATCACCGTCACCGATCTCGACACCATCGAGAAGTCCAACCTGAATCGTCAATTCTTGTTCCGTCCGAAGGACTTGGGCAAGTTCAAGTCTGAGGTCGCGGCTGCTGCTGTCGCTGCCATGAACCCTGACCTCGAGGGCAAGATCGACACCAAGCAGGAGGCCGTGGGTCCGGATACTGAGAGTGAGTCCCACCTCTCTTGCGTCGTGATTCTATTCGTTGACACTGGAGCGTAGACATTTACGATGCTGACTTCTTCGCAAGCCTGGATGGCGTTACCAACGCGCTCGACAACGTGAAGGCCCGTCAATACATGGATCAGCGCTGTGTCTTCTACCTGAAGCCTCTCCTTGAATCCGGTACATTGGGCACGAAGGGCAACACGCAGGTTATCGTCCCTCACCTGACAGAGTCGTACGCATCGTCGCAAGATCCTCCTGAGAAGGAGACGCCCGTATGCACAGTTAAGAACTTCCCGAATCAGATTTCACACACCATTGAGGCAAGTCCTTTTCATTGTATGACAGAACATACACTGACGTTATTACAGTGGGCAAGGCAGCAATTTGACGCGTTGTTTGTCAAGCCCCCGCAGTCCGTCAACTCTTACCTCTCCGAGCCTAACTTCCTCGAGAACAACCTCAAGTACTCTGGTCAAGTGAAGGAGCAGGTCGAGCAGATCGTATCATACCTTGTGACGGACAAGCCCCTCACGTTCGAAGAATGCATTGTTTGGGCACGTCTGCAGTTCGAAGAGCAGTACAACAACTCAATCCGTCAGCTGCTGTACAGCTTGCCGAAGGACGCCGTTACGAGTACAGGTCAGCCGTTCTGGAGCGGCCCCAAACGCGCCCCCGACCCGCTTACCTTCGACTCCAACAACGTATGTGATCTTGCATATCGACATTGCCCTCGTCACTGACTTGCATCGCCACAGCCGACTCACCTGCAATTCATCATCGCCGCTGCCAACCTTCGCGCATACAACTACGGCCTTCGAGGGGAGTCCGACCCCGCCGTCTTCAAGAAGATCGCGGACGAGGTCATCGTGCCGGAGTTTACGCCCAAGAGCGGTGTCAAGGTCCAGATCAACGACAATGATCCCACGCCGCAGAACGACTCTGGCGGCGATCTGGACGTGCAGGGATACCTCAAGAAGCTGCCGCCCCCGTCATCGCTCGTCGGCTACCGCCTGAACCCGGTCGAGTTCGAGAAGGACGACGACACGAACCACCATATCGACTTCATCACCGCCGCGTCGAACTTGCGTGCGCTGAACTACGGCATTTCGCCAGCCGATCGGCATACGACGAAGCAGATTGCTGGCAAGATCATCCCGGCCATCGCTACGACCACGTCGTTGGTCACCGGCCTTGTGTGCTTGGAGCTCTACAAGGTTTGTCTTCGGCAGATTTTTCGGCGCTATGCTGCAGGTGGACTGATACATCCGCGTAGCTCATTGACCGCAAGAGCAAGCTCGAGGATTACAAGAACGGCTTTGTCAACCTCGCGCTGCCATTCTTCGGCTTCTCAGAGCCCATCGCGCCCAAGAAGAACAAATACGGCGACACCGAGTGGACGCTCTGGGACCGCTTCGAGTTCAAGAACGACCCGACGCTCAAGGAGATCGTCGACTGGTTCCATCGCGAGCATAAGCTCGACGTCAGCATGGTCTCGCAGGGCGTCAGCATGCTCTGGAGCTCGTTCATCGGCAAGAAGAAGAGCGAGGAGCGGCTGCCGATGAAGTTCAGCAAGCTCGTCGAGCACGTGAGCAAGAAGCCGATCCCACCGCACACCAAGCACCTCATCGTGGAGGTAATGGTGAGCGACGAGGAGGGCGAGGACGTAGAGGTTCCGTTCATCGTTGTTCACATCTAAGCCAGTGTAGAGAGTAGCATGCAGAATACGAACAGTGTACAATGGTATCATCTAGAAGTCGTCAATGACAGTGTAGCTATACGTCGACAACGTCATACCACGAGTCGAGCAGACTGACAGTAGTTGACATGACAACCTAGATCACGACTCAGTCCGAAAGATATATGACCTCGACTTTGGGACGCTTCAAACTTGAAGGTGCGCTCTCTCCATACTTGGCCTCCTCTCCTTCCAAAGCGCGCTTCAATGACCCGTTAACATCTTTCTTCTCTTCTTTAATTGCAGGCTGCGAGCCGCCCGATCCTGCGTTGGCAATCCCATTTGCTACGCAAGGAGCAGACTCAGAGGGACCCTCTCCGGCGACTGACAGCTCTGCCAAATACTCTTGGAAGTACGCTTCGATTTCTGCGACGCACGTGTCAGCACATTCCTGATAGAGGCATAGCGGAACTGTGATAGTTCTCACTCTTCTGACGGCTGTAAGTGATCCCAACCCAAGTGTTTAGCGTCCTGTACGTATTCTGCAGCAGCCGACGTCAATCCGAGGGCATATCAGTACTGCCAGTGGCACAGTATATGGCATAAGGCGCACCTCAGGACGGCTAGCGAATTCCTCCCAGCGGGCGTTGTTCGTAGTCTCATCCCATCCTTCGCGCTTGTCCACCATGTAGCGCGCCATCCTTCGTAGGACATTCTCCGTGATCTTGTGTTTCGGGCCGTGATTCTTACCACGTTTTGTCTTCGCCGCCACGGCGCCCGTACGCTTGTGCGTGGGTCGGTATTCCGAATGGTCGCCAGCACCAGGCTCCGCTTCTTCTTCTTCTTCTTCTTCTGCTTCTTCTTCCTCCGGTTCGCACCCAGAGTCATCCTCAGGCTCAGGCTCGTCGCCACTCGGGTGCGCAGCTTGCGAGTCGCTCCGCTTGGATGAAGACGCAACGGGTGAGCTCTGTGAGCTCTGCACACGCTTTCGAGCCGCGATGTAAATCTCGTTCGGAAGCTTGCACGCCTTGTCCCAATGTCGCTTCCATGATGCTGCGGTGCGGTGCGGGGTCTAGGAGAAGGAACGACATCCATCAATACACTTTGAGTAACAGGCTTCCGGTTCGATTCCGCCTTCGCCCGCACCTGCTCCGCAAGCTCATCATACAGTTCTTCCTTGCTCGGCACTGGTCCCCTGTCGAGACGGTAGTGTAGGTACTGTATGAAGAAGATCTTGTCTTCTTTCGTGAACCTGCCGTTGTCGTTTTTGGGGTCCCGACGCGGGGGCTTTGGTTTCGTATGAGGTGGTAAGGGGGGGATGAGCGTTTCATCGTGATACTCAGCTACGGGGGACCCTCGCTTTGGGCGGTAGCCTGCAGAACCACCGTTCAGTAGATTGACGTTGAGCGTTTCTCCTTTTTTGCGTGATGAAGAAGCTTCACTCTTGATAGCGCCACGGGGTAAGGATGGCGCAGCGAGCGAGCCTTCAGACGCAGACGTTGATCTGGTACTATAGGGGGGGGTCAGGATAAATCATGTTGAGGTGGTTTTCCGCCCGCAAGACATGGCGGCTCGTACCGCGAGATACTCGATGCGAGAACTGGCGACGTATGGGTATGTATATGCGCCGCGTACGCCTGTTGATAGAGTTTAGGCCCCAGTTTGTCGATGTGTTTGATGAAGTAGTCTTTCCAAGCTGCGAATCAGGTAGGTGATGTGAGGACATGGGTTTCGTCGACGTCACTTTCAAGCAAGTTCATGCTTCACTAACCAGCGGTAGTGTGGCCACTGACCTGAACCCCTCTTCGCATGAATATTCGTATTGGTCGAATGCGGTATTGACGAACTCACTTTGTCCAACATGGCGAAGCCTTGGAGCGGTGTTAGACCTTCCGCCTTGGCTTTGCGAAGCGTATTCACAAGGAGTCGCTCGTCGTCCGGCACGAAAACAACGGGAGTGAACTTGTCCCGTTCCGCCGGGTCTTGGCTCGCCGACTGCATCGCCGCAATGACAGCGTTAGCTATTCGAACTTCGTCGACAGACAGCTGCGGAGCAGGCGCGTTCGACTGCGACCCGGATTGTTGTTGCATTGCTGCCATTGCTTGGAGGGCGGGATGGGACCACTGCTGGCCCCCGAGTTGCGACAAGAGAGACTCGGATCCTGATATGCTCTGCCGCTGCAGTCCATGCAGCAAGTTCGGGACGCCATTCGACTGCGGCAGCGCCGAGCTAGCCTCAGGAACGTGGCCACCAGCTGCGTGGTTCTGCATTGCTGTCATGAGTGTGTTAACGAAAGCGAGAGGCAAGGTGACTTGGTTGAATTGATTCATGGTGGGGGATAGAAGGTTGCAAGCTAGCACTGGTTGAGAGAATACAGGCGATGATGAGCTCGAAGGTATGTTAGAAAGTTGAGGCCGTCAGAATTGCGTTGATCTTATATGTAGCCGGCGTATTGGTGAAGATGGATGTAGGCTGGGTTCAACAAGGCTTCTGACCTGACGTAAAACGCTGCTTCTGGATTCGCATGAGGCACGGGAGACGCCCAAGATGATCATTGCGCAAGAGATTCACGTGTCGAAATCCAGATACGCACACAACGACGATCAGAGCACAGTTAGTTGACAGCTGCCTGAAATACACGGGACATTGAACGTGGGTGTGCTGAGCCGACCTCCTAAACCCCAGTAACTTCGCAAGAGACCCATCAAAGAGACGAAACGAACCGATACAGCGCGTGACCCGAAGTACAGATAGTATAACAATTGCGAACAAGTCTCAGTCCAAGGAGTCCAAAAGCTCTGACACTCTGCGCTCGTCGTCGTGCTTGATACGCTTACGAGGCGAGGAGAGGAGGGGTTCGGTCTGGTAACCACGCTTTGCGGAACGCTCTGGACTCCGAGACCCCACCTCGACCTTCGGAGACGTAGAGCCTTCGTCAGTGTCCTGCTGAGGCGGCGTGGTCTGGTTCTTGCTGCTTTCTGCTTCAGCCAAGTACTGCCGGTAGTACCTGTCCAGCACTGCACCGTGACGGCTCCGTTGTTAGCCGTCGCTTATGCGTAGAGATAGAGGAAAACTCACTCGCGCCGCGGTCTCTCGTCACGCAATACCACGCATTTAGGGTGCGATGTTTATTCTGTACATACTCCTAAGGGACAGCTCACCAGAATATCGATAGGCCGACGCACCTCTGGTCTCTCCGCAAATTCCTTCCAGGGCTCCTGCTTGGAGGTATACTGCTCCCAAACATCGCGTCGCTCTGCCTTGAACTGCGCCATGGCACGGATTTCCTCCAAGGTAACAGGACGCCCCCGGGAAGTGTGTCTCGTATTGGGGACGGTGCCGACAGGCTCGGCTGCAACTTCTTCGTTCGGGTTACAATAGCTCACCACGGAAGCGTTGTCGGCTGCGTCTTCACCATCGCTCTCCTGCGATGTCTCGTCGTCCTCGTCGCTGGAACCCCCTATGCGTGCGTAGCCTGGTCCGGAGCTTGGTGAGGAGGCCCTCAGCTGCGACTGTTCGGCGCGTTTGCGCGCTTTGATATACTCCCTGTCCGGGCACTCCGGATGCTCATACCAGTGCTTTTTCCAGGCCTCCGCGTCGTGGTGTGCAGTCTACGGGCCAGGATAATCCTGAATATACACTGATAGCGCAGTAGAGCGACAACGCCTTGCGCACCTGTTTTGCGAGATCCTTATACAAGTCCTTCTTAGATGGAATCGCTCCGGGCTGACGGAGGCGCCAGCGCAGGAAGTGAATGAAGAAGATCTTGTCCTCGTCAGTGAACTTGGAACTTTTCTCGTCTGCCTTCGCACGCGGCGCTACCGGGGCTAAGAGCCCGGACGATGGCGGAATCAATAATCCAGCGTGGTCCACTTGTGCAGGCGAGCCTCTCCTGTACCGAAGGGGCGGCTTCGACTGGGTAGCAGAGGCCGAAGTACGTGCTAGTGGCTGCGATGATTGGCTCTTGCCCTGGGAGGGGTGAGCCGTAGCTTTCTGAACATTTGCCACTGGAGCGGCACGGGCAGGCATGCCTTTGGCCGTCCCGTGATTGTTTGCGTTCGAATTCGAAGTTCGAGGAAGGGGGGTCGATGGCGTGCTTGCTCTATGTGTAAAGACGTGTCGGCGACTGACGAATCTAGCTAGTTTTGGAGGAGACATACTTTGAGGAGCTATGTTCAGGCCGTACGGCAGATGATGGCAGACGAGAATGAGATACAGTAGATGTCGCGACACCTTTCCGACTGTGATGTTCAGGGGGATATATCTTTGGCAACAGTCGCTCGAGATTCTCAAGGCAGTAATCCTTCCACTCTGTTCAGCCGCGGTATGAGTACCGGAAAGACGCTGCCACTGATACGAGGCAGTAGCTCTTACCAAGTGCCGTATGATTATAAACCTACGGTAATCAGCTGCCTCCCGTTTTATAAGTTTGTACTAGCGCTTACAAGATGCAACTTCTCCAGAGCCTTACGCGGCGAGATACCTCTCGCCTTGGCCTTCCAGAGAGTGCTGACGAGCATTTCTTCGTCGTCGGGATCTGAGCCAAGAGGCATCGAGTCCTCGTCTTGTGAACTGTCCCGTTGCTTCCCGGCCGTCCTCGCTGTTTCCGCAGACGGCTGTCGAGGTGGTGCCTGTTCTTGAGATCTAGTTTGAGAAGCCGACGGCACAGTCGGTGGCGCAACCATGGGCGCTTGCGACTGTGGCAGTAGCCACTGTTGGCCACCGGGCATCGCCATCGACGGACCGACCATGTTCTGCGGCGGGAATCCTTGCAGAAAGAAGTTAGGGGTCCCTTGAACACCTGCCTGCTGTTGGTGCTGGAAGTTAGGTATCATGAAATAAGGGTCGGAGCCAGTGCCGCCCGAGCCAAAGGATTGAAATTGTGGTTGGGATTGTAAAGAAGCTATCAGATTGTTCATGAAAGCAGGATTCAGCGGTATCTGATGGCCGTTGGGATTCATGGCGTAGATAGAGGGTCGGCGAGGTGATGTCAGTATTAGAGTAGATGGATTTCGTGAGAGGGAAGGAGCGAGGAGGCAGACCCAAATTCGAAGTCCCGCAGATGTCGCTGCGAAGCTGTTCGCAGAACAACATGGCCGAAAAGAGAACAAACGCGTGACGCGTCTCGCGACGCCTGTATGCTGTGCTTCTTAGACGCCGTACAAACGCTCGCGAAAGCAGTTGCCCGACTACGTCTTTCAAGTACATACATCCAAGCCCATCCCGTCCCACCTCGTTGCTTCATAGCTTCAATCTCCGTATGCAACACAGATACTACTCATGCAACACCTCTGATTCGGCTATCTGAGTCCGCGGCCTTGCTCTATCTCCCATTCGCTACCTAGTCTGAGGCTTTGTCCAAGGCAGATTTGAAACGTTTCTCTTCACGATTGCTCTCTAGATCCTGTTCATCGACGGGGCGTTTATGCGGTTTCAACGCCAATGTGCTTAGGCGGGAGACACCGTCGCACGCAGCCGAGAAACCTGACTTTGGAAGTTCGCCCGAAGGTACGTCCGCCTGTTCTTGCTCCCCTGAAGCCTGCGGCCTGGCGGACCCGTCTCCCTGTATCTCCGCCATGTGTTCGGCGATATACTGTTCAATGACTAGCAAGGTATATAAATATAGTCAGCTCAAGCTCATGAAACATTGAGAACAGGGCATCGTTACATACCTTCTTCATAGGATATCGAAGCTCTCGCCCACCCGGCAGGGGTTCGCTTTTTCTGGTTGACGAGTCATTGTTCTGCATCGTTTGCAGTACATGTTCAGCAACATACCTTCGCCTGTCGCGCAAACTTCTCCCAATAGCCCTTCCCTGTCGCCGATATATCTGCCGGTGGCGGTCTCTCGACCCTGAACCGAGCCATAGCGCGTAAGTCCTCCTCCGTGATTCTCTGCGGCGGTAGAATGCCCTTCTGCCTCTTCACAGCCGCTCCAGATGACTCAGTCTCGACCGAGCTAGAGTAGTCCGAATCCGACCCATGCTCATACAGAGGGATAGGACGGCTGCCTCGTTTTCTCTGTGCAGGGTCGAGGGCAGCGCAGGCTTTGCGGAACGCTTTCCGGTGGAGCGGTTCAATATGGTCCTCGTGGACTCGTTGACGCTGACTGGAGGACGAGGCAGCTGTGCTCGGTTTTTCGAGTCTGGAATTTGCACTGGCCAGTCCGACTTTATGTTGCCTTCTGAGACTGGAATGGGCCGATCTCAGCAGTTTTCCTTCTGATGTCAAAGAGTCCTCACTGCTCAAGGCTCGGAGCGCCAGTTACGGACGATGGCAGTTGCCGGCGAACTTCCATATGCCCTTCAGCAGAGGGATACGCCTTGGCATATAGCCGATCCAGATGATCGAGGAAGTAATTCTTCCAGGCTACAATGCTCCATCTCAGCGCCGTAGCCATATATCGAGAGGTATCCAGCCTCTTACCACTTTCCGTATGATTGTTCACCTGGTACCTTATCATGTCAGCCTTGGCATTGCCTCGATCGCGACACTCACTCACATTGTGCAGCTTGTCCAACGCCTGCCGTGGTGTCAGCCCCTCGGCCTTACCCTCCTTCAAAGCACTGATAAGAATCCGCTCATCGTCAGCGACCGACCCGACCGGCGCGGGGTTGGCGTTCTGTAGCAGCGGCTGCATCGCAGTGACGAATGCTGCCAAGTCGCTGATTGCGAGCGAGTGATGGGGTGTATGACCCGCTGTGTTGCCCTGTATATGTGACATCTGGGCCTGTTGGGGGCTTTGTGATCCCGGGTGGGTCATCGACAGCCATTGCTGACCAGCCTGCTGCCATCCTTGCCACATGAACTCGAATGTGGGCGCAGAACCCGGCTGCATCTGCAGCACCCCTTGGGGCATCGGCGTCTGGGGAGCATGCGGGGATTGTGATAGTATCCCACCCATCATGTTCATGAATGTGGGTAATGGAATCTGCGCGAAGTTGTTGTTTGGGTTGTTCGGGTTCATCTTGTATGACAAGACCGATCGAGACGCGCAGGCTGGTGGTGGTGCACTCTGGCACGTCGCCATCGTATGTACATTATGTATATGCCACTGAGATTGCCCACCCCCCACGTCCCACGGTGAACCTGAACTCTATCTGACACAATGCAGTTAGATGGCCACAATAAAATTTCTCCTGTTCTCACGCATGTACGTTATTAAATGCGCGTGTATGCGGTTCCTAGAACTACCGACAGAGCGTACCAGTCAGGTTCCCCAATTCTTGCCAGTGCCCATGAGCTCAAAGCGCATCGGGTCTTCTATGTAGATGTTGCACATGCGTACTGAGACTGTAGGCCTTGACAGAACATCTCGAACTTCGAACGCTACGCATCCGTTATACGTACACGCGGCTGTCAACTAGTCGCCATGTGATGCCCACCGGCGGCCTGTTCATGTGCGTCACCCTCGACACTTCCATCCTCAACCGACCATGATTGTACATGTGGCGCCGAAAGACGACAAGGGCGGCGTTCAGTCTGAGCTGAGTTCGACAGGCTCCTTAGTGACGCGAGCCTTTTTGATGCGCTTGGCCACAGGGGACCCTCCATAAGTGTTCGCAACGTGCAGCCTCCGAGGGAGCGCCGCGCTTTCGCGAAAATACACTGTTGAGGATGTCTTCCTTGATAGTACGCGAGCTCGACGAGGTGGAGACGCGAGGAGTGCATTCACGTGTATGGTATTGCTGAGGGAGCGTGGTCGTATCGATGTGATTGAGCTTGGATCCCGACTCGGGGATACCCGTCTTGTTGCGGACGGCGGCGTACTCATTGTAATAGCGTTGAATGTCTCATCGGCAATACAAGGTCAACTTCGATGCATGTAACATTGACACTAAGCGATTACCTTGTTCACGCCTGCGCTCAACGCTGCGCCAGCCATCCACAGACCGCTTTTGATTCTGTCCAAACCCGTCGCTTAGAAAACATTGTGGCAACGCGCTGTCATGGATTCACCTCCGGACGTCTCGCGAACGCCGCCCAGCGCGAAGTGAAGGAAGGGCACTTGGCCCACACCTTTCGTCTCTCGTACATATATCGAGCCATTCTGCGCACATCATCTTCTGTGACTTGTACGCCGTAGGCAGCGGTATGCCTCGGCGGGAGATCGTTTACCGAGGATTCTGAGCTCTCGGAGAAAGACTGATCGTCGGCGTCCGCATTGTCCTCGTTCCTGCCAAAGCGTTGCCCGGAGGATTCCCCAGTCGTGTGTGCGGAGTGTTGCGATGTGTTCTTAGACGTAATGGTAGGCGATGCTGTTCACCGATATCTATAGTACGAAGGACAAGGTTAGGAGTCCATCTATGAACAACGACAATACCATACTGTGCGAGTCCGTGTAAGGATGTCTGCGATGGCGGCTTTCGAGAGATTGTTCGGGTGGAACCTGGGCGCGGTGACCGCGCGATAGTTGTTGCGCTCGTAGACAAGGCTTCGGGGAAGAGCTTCTCTACACGATCAAGAAAATAATCCTTCCACACTGCGACTACGGTAAGCCAAAGATCTTAACATGACCGAGATGGATCTCACTATTATCTGTATAGCCATGCGTCTGTATATTTCAATAAGCAATTAGTCCTATGTGAGGTAAACGACAACCTACAACAGCCGACATACATCACCGAGTTCCTCTAGCGCCTCCCGCGGCGTCCGACCTTTTCCTCTGCCCCTCTTCAACGCGTCCACAACAGTCTTGTCATTACTATGCGATGGGGCTATCTCATGTTTGTTCTTTTCAAGCTTCGCCACGACGGTGTCGACAATGTCATCAAGAGAAGGCTGTGTCGGGGCGCTAGGCGCGACAAGGGGTTGCTGCTGCTGCGGGGGCGCCTGGAACTGAGCAGCCTGTATCCATTGAGACGCAGCCTGGTGTGTACCAGGCATCGCCAATGTCGTCACCCCTTGTGGCATCCCCTGACCTTGCCAGAAGGTGAAGAGTGGCATACTGGGGGGTGCCTGTGGTGTTCTTTCCATGGGAACCTGATTCTGGGGTAACAAGTATCCCCCTTGTCCAGATAACGTAGCACGCTGAAGCCAGTCGTTGATCGCATTCGCGCTCATGATCTGCCCGTTGAAGGGGAGGAGGAAGGAGTCACAAGGACAGGAAGGCCGAACTCGATAGTGAGGACGTGTACTAGGAGAGATTAAACCCGGGCATATCGTCTCAAAGGCACTGCGTTCAACTTCGGTCTCCCACAGCGAGTAAGGTTTGTCCTCACCTTTCCTCAACACTTAGCGCTGGGGACACACCTCCATATCTACTCCGTCCTGTATTCTCCCGGTGATACGTCAGAACAGCGGTGTACTCGGGTTTCTGGATCTGAAATCAAAACCATAAACATTCAATTGGAACAGCAAGTATATTCATGGATATTCGAACCCGGTCACTCGCGTCCGTCATGCTTCTTACGCTAACTCAAATGTGCCTTTAGGTTCCTTTGTATACTGTGCACATGCGCGCGGACGTCTCGGGTTGCCTTGATACATATGCATACTATTTCGCCCCGTTCTCCACGGCCCATACGTTCTGCCGGCCACCAGTCACTCGGTGAGCTTCACCTACTGCGACCGGGCCTGTCTGCATCGTCCTTGACACCTTCAGCAACAGCTAAGCGTGATCGTACTGATATTGTCGAGTAATTCACGAGCCGGCGCTTAGTCCGAGTCGATTTCGATGGGTTCCTGTCTGACAACCGTCTTTCTGATGCGCTTCGCGTCAGAGGACCCTCCACCTGCGCTCGCGGAGCGCGCAGTTCCCATTTCGGCTCGTCGCTTCAGAGGGTTGCTGAACAAGACGCCCTTCACGATGCGTTTGTCGGAGGGACTGGAAGTGCTGGAGGAACCGGCAACGTTGTGCCGGGGGAGAGCGTTAATCCTGTCAACGTACTCGAGCTCGGATCCTTTCTCAGACTCCTCGTCGCCATGGTCATTGGCAGCCGCGGCGTGTGCATCGTAGTACTGTTGAAGGACTGTCGGAGGCCACGTCAGCTTGGAGACACATTCAGTATGTACGGGGTGATGTTTACCCTTGCCGCGATCGCGCTCGACACAGTACCAGGCATCCACGGACCTCTTGAGATTCTTATCCAGTCCCGCGCTATCAGGCCGGATATTTGCCATGAGCGCACAGTAGACTCACCTCGGGACGTTGCCCAAACTCCTGCCAGCGCGACTTGAGACTAGGGTAATTATACCATACATGTCGCCTCTCATACATGTACTTAGCCATCTCGCGGAAATCGTTGTTGGTGACTGGGATACCGCCCTTTGGACGGGTCGGCGTGCGGACGCTCAGAACAGGCTCTGCCTTTGACCCCGATGCTGGCTCGGACGTAAATAGGACCCGATTTGTATCCGCCGTGTCTTCTTCGTACCACTTCTCAACGGACACCGACGATGGAGTGTCTGAGGCAAGAGCTTGGTAGTTTCCGCGCTTCCGCGCTTCGATGTAGATTTTGTCCGGGAGCACAGGATAGCCATCCCAATGACGCTTCCATGAATCCGCGTTGTGGTGAGGCGTCTGCAAGCGCGGTGAGTAACATGTATGGCGTGCTACGAGAAATATCTGTGCCTACTTGTTCCGCTAGGATATTGTAGATCGCTTCCCTTTCAGGAACGGGTCCCTTACGGAGCAGCCAACGCAGGAAATGGATGAAAAATATCTTATCCTGATCAGTGAATCGCCTGTCTGCTACATTTCGGCGTGGAGCTTTGGGCTTGACAGACACATTGGACGGTGGAATCTGTACGCCGGCATGAAACTCCTCAACCGGATCACCGCGCCTAGGCCGACTACTAGCACTCTGCGCATGCGCTCCTTGCTCTCGATGTTCGGTAAGGGGAGAGGATGGCTGGTAGCTGCGGTAATCAAATGCAATTTGTAGGTTGTTGAAGGAATCCCCGCTGATATGAGAACAGGTGAGCCTCCTTCACCAAATTCTGTGAGAAGATGCGGCATGCCATACTGTGTGGAGCTCCGCGAGGATGACTGTGAGGATGCCTTTCGGTGGCTTGTCTGCGTCAAATCGAGGCGTGAGCGGGCGATAGCCGTAGTGGTCGTAGAGAAAGCTTCGCGAGTGAGCTTTTCGGCATGGTCAAGAAAGTAGTCTTTCCATACTAGGCTCGCAGTTCGTGCTTAGCCAAAGCCTTAACAGGATCATACCCATTACTTACGAGCGTTTGCGTATCCTTTGGCCTAGACACAGTTGGAATCAGCATCAGTCCTATATAGAAGATATAGCGGCCAACGTACGTCACCGATACCCTCGATTGCCTTGCGTGGCGTCTGAGCCTTCAACTTACTCTTCTTCAACGCGTCCACGATAAGTTTGTCATTGCTCGTCGATGGGACTATTCCTTCTCTGTCGTTGTCTAGTTTCGCCAAAACGGAAGCGACTAGTTCTTCGATGGAAGGTTGCGCCACAGCCCTAGGTACGACAAGCGACCGTTGCTGCTGCTGCTGCTGCTGCGGCGGCGGCGGCGGCGTCTGGAAGCGCGCAGGCTGCAGCATCCGAGGCGTCCCTTGTGTCCCGGGTATCCCTTGCTGCGTCCAATGTCCTTGCCAGATGGCAGGCAGCGGCATGTCGGTTGAGAGCGTTTGTTGTTGTCCTCCCACAAGAGCTTGGTTTTGGGCTGATAGCAAGGGCACCTGTTACCATGAACATGTCGTAAGGCCAACATGGAGATTCACGGAGCTATGATTCATATACCTGGTAGAGAATGGGGCAAAAGAGCGGGGAGGGACTGGATGGTGGTCGCTGCGCAAGAAAGCAAATGAATCCGAACATGTTATACTTCAATATGTCGCATTCGTCTCCCACACAACTCCGATGGAAGCTTCGCGTCCATTCATCCTCATCAGGAAATAGCATGTACCATAGATGGCTTGTCCTTGTCTTCGGTGCGAAGCGCTTTTGAGGGTTGAGGACGGCGATTATCGGAACAGATGTCTTACTTCCTCGAACGACGCTCCGCCATGCCTGCCATCGAGACCAACGCAAGGCATGTAAACATCTGACCTTCAGCAATATGGTATCAGCACAAGCATCATCATTGCAGCAAAATATAGACCACAGTAGACAGACGACCTTCAATCTGAGTCTATCTCGATGACCTCCGGGTCCACATCATCCTTTATGCGCTTTACTGGCAGAAGCGCCCCACTAGCGCTCATGGTGCCTGTACTGTCCGAGTCCACGCTGCGCTTCTGCGGGATGAGTCTATCAAGAAGCTCTTCCTTCACCGAGCGCGAGCGCGAAGTAGTAGAAGCCCCGTCACTCTGGTTTTGAGGGCGAGTAACTTCATCTGCATACTCCAATTCCGAGTCCGCCTCGTAATCGTCCTTGTGTTTGCCTGCCACTGTTTCGACGTACTCAACATAGTAAGACTGGAGGTCTATAGAGTCGGGCAGATCAGCGGTATATCGGTGTAGACGCACAGCAATATCCTTACCTCGATTGCGATCACGTTCGACACCGACCCATCCTGGCAATGTCCGCTTCCCGTTCTATGACCAAGTTAACGACTTGAGTTCGCCGTCACCAATTCTGCCACGATGTCGACTAAACTGACCTCTGGGCGTTTCGCAAACTCTTCCCATCGCGCGTTTGCCGAAGAATACTGACCCCATACTTCGCGCTTTTCGTACATGTATCGAGCCATTCGGAGGAAGTCATCCTCAGTAACCCTTGAACCTCGACTTATTTTGCGCAGTCTGAGCACAGCCAGTGTTTTGCTAGACCGTTGCGATGCTGACGGTACTGCTGATGCGTCCTTCATGCCCTCGTCCCCGTCCTCTTCGTCGGTGGAAGCTGACGAGGAAGGGCTGTTCCAAACAAGACCTTCCCTGTCTGCGCGCTTCCGAGCTTCGATGTAAATTTTATCAGGGAGCTCAGGAGCATCGTCCCAGTGGCGCCTCCAGGCGTCCGCGTTGTGATGCGGTGTCTGGAAGTGATGAGATTAGGAGGAGCTTACCCTACAGAGAGGCAATCCGGACTTACCTGATCCGCTAGGGCATCATAGAGCTCCTCCCTCTCAGGCACGGGCCCTTCCCGCAACTGCCAGCGCAGGAAATGGATGAAGAAGATTCTGTCTTCGTCTGTGAATCGCCTCCCGTCGACCTCTGGTGGGCTGGGTGGCACAGGCCGGTTCGACACCTCCACACGCGGTATGAGGGTGCCAGCATGAAACTCATCAACCGGGCCACCTCGCCTCGAGCGGACACTCGTAGCCCTTTCATGCTCGGGCAGCGGAGAGGAAGGCGGGAAGTTGTCTGGTTCGTGTCCACGTCGCTGCTCTTGAACAGAACGGTGTGCCGAGAGCCGAGAGCTGCACATAAACTGGCATTAGCTTGCGAGAGATACGTCCAGCAAGAGACATACCGTACGGGCCCGCGAGAGGACGGAGGCTCCCGCGATGCCATCGAGGCAGGGCCGCCGTTGCCTGGACGCGCGCCCGCAGCACCAGCCGCGGGAGGTCTGAAGATCTTCGGAGCAAGCTTTTGCGCCCGGTCAAGGAAGTAGTCCTTCCACACTGCCAGGAGTTCAGCCGAAAGCAGGCACGAGCGTGTTGGTCACTCACTAGCGTTTGCATAGCCATTCCTCTAGATGAAGAGCGACGTGAGTATATAGTATGTACCGAGCACTCGAGGACCGACGACGTACATCACCGAGCTTCTCAATTGCCTCCCGCAGCGTCAGGTCCTTCGACCTCCCCTTTCTCAATGCGTCAACGATGATCTTGTCGTGGCTGGCCGACGGGGCTGGCTGGCCCTTGTTCTTGCCGATCCTGGCCACGACGGCGTCGACCAGTTCTTCAACGGATGGCTGCTTCCGAGTCCCAGATTCGGAATTGGCCGGCTGCGGATGAGCTGGCGGGTTGAATGGAGCCTGCTGAACCCACTGAGGAGGTCCAGATGGATACATGCCCTGGGGCACCCACTGTCCTTGCCAGTAGCCAGCGGATGACACACCAGGGGGTGCCTGCGGGGGACCGCCCGTCGGAGCCTGGCCCTGGGGCGGCTGCAGGTATCCCTGTTGCCCAGCAGACAACGTCTGCTGGAACTGGGGATTGTACGCGTTCGTGTTCATGCTCGACTCGTCGTGTTGGGACGAGACGGTTGGAGAGGGGGGCACGCGACGGCAGTCGCAGGACTGTGCGAGGAAGACCAGAGGTGAGATGAGCGAAGGATGTCAATGCGCGTCGCTTGCGTGGAAGCTTGCGCTTCGCACTAAGCTGATCAGGAAGCGAAGTGCATTACTTAGCGACGAGAAGGCAGCGGACGCCGGAACCGCGACCCTGACATGACTAGGAAGATCCACCCACCAATGACAGAATATAGCATGAGCTCTGAAAGCCTATTCTTAGGTGGGAACAGGAGACTCGCCAGTTGTCGCCCGTCTGTTACGACTTCACAGCTCTCTTCCCAATCCCACAGGGCTCTTTACTGATGCTGACCCGCAACTTGAAGGCACACATCCATCTGCACATCAACAGCATCACCATCAGCACAATCACCATAAACCGCCAAAAGACCAACAAGCCACAAACGCAAAACGACAAACACCGTCACACCACCCCAAGGCCCCTCCTGAGCGCGTCCGTCAGATCCCACCCGTCCGTGTCCCCCGTGACGTCGAACATGTTCACGCCCAGCATCCGCGCCTGCCGCACCAGCTGGCCCTTCATCTCGAGCGACACCGGGTCGTCGTACGCCACCACCTGCCGCGCGTCCCCCGCCCGCAGGAACGGCGTGCTCGAGCACCCGTCCCACTCGCGCACGAAGCCGTGCGCGCCCGCGAACAGGCTCCGCGGCTCGCGGTCCTCGATCGCCGCGCGGAGCAGCGCCGCGTCCTCCCCGCCGAAGGTGCCGTCGTACGCCGGGGTCGCAGACTGGGGCGTGCCGTCGGCGGAGGCTGGGGCGGAGGAGGAGTTGGTGGTGATGGCTGGCGCGCCAGGAGAGCTCGAGTAGGGCGCGAGCGCGCCCTGCCTGACGAGCTCGCGGAACTGCACCTGGCCGTCGTCCGTCCCGCCGTCCTCGTTCACGAGCAGACCGCTCTTGTCGGTGTCGTACACAGGCGGGCCCAACAAAGAGTCGATCCAGTCCCATACGAAGCGTTGCATCGAGCGCTTCTGGCCCTGCCCCTGCCTCTGCTCGCGCCTTCTTCTCCCGTTCTCAGCCAGGCGCCCGGAGCGGTAGACACGCGGGGAAGCTCGGGTGCCGCCCGCACGCGTCCGCAGGCGCGTCGCCGAAGATCTGGACAGATAGCCATAGGAAGGCACGCCGAGCACGAGCTGGGACGCAGGAAAGCCGGCGGCGGTCCAGGCGCGGAGCGCTGCGAGCGCGCTCGCGCCGGGCTGCGTCGAGTTGCTGCAGGCGTCGCTGAGGGGCGCGTTCGGGCCGGGCTGGTCGGATGCTGCGGGCAAGAAAGACGTGTGAGCGATCTCAGGGTTACCGCTGCGGGATCTCGAGCCACGTAGACACGACGGCCGAGGGCGAGAGGCGAAGCGGCAGAACGGGGGTGGAAATCAAGGAAGCCCGAGGGGACGGGTAGGAAAGGGGGCGGGACGAGAAGGCGCGATAAGGACAGGACAGGAGGAGCCACTCACATCCCCAAGAGTCGTAGTTCATAATCAGCACCCAGTCGAGCACCCTGGCAAAGTCCGACACGTCCCGCAGCGGGCTCCCGTCCGCGCCCGCGAACGGCACCGTCTGCGTCGCAGCGGTGATCTTCGCCCCAGGCGGGAGCGTGTCGCGCAGGACGCGGAGGAACTCTAGAAAGTTGGCAGAGTCGGCCGGGCTCACGCCGTTCCCACTGTTCCCGCTCTGGCCCGGGTACTCCCAGTCGAGGTCGATGCCGTCGAGGCCGTATTGCTGGTAGAGGGTGAGGATGTTGTTCGCCAGGGTCGCGCGGTTCTCTGGGGTGCCCACCGCGGAGGAGAAGGACCTGTAAAGTCGGAACCATATCGCTGCGAGTCAGCCACGGCCCTTAATACCGGATATGATTCGGAAATCCCGAGATGCAAGACATGTCTTAAAGTTACACAGAAGAGGCGGCGAAAGCAGGGGAGAGACGCGAGGAAGGGACGGAACGCACTTGCTTCCTGTCCAGCCACCCACGCTGAGTTTCGCGTGTTTGCCGCTCTCGTGCGCTCGGGCGACGACCCGCCGGAGGAGGTCCGGCGCGTCGTCCGAGCCATCCCAGCCGAGGTTCATGTTCTGGTCGGGCACCGCAAACGCGAAATCAATCCAGTCGAAACGTCCGAAGTCGATCTTCTCCGGCGGGTAGTCTCGGCCAGCCCAATCAGGGTAATACGCCATGACGAGGGGGGCATGGCCGGCATCCGAGCTCGCGGTGGGCGTCGCAACAGGACCGGTTGACGAAGGCTGGGACGCGCTCGCATTTGTACTGGTATTGTTGCTTGCGCCAAGGTTGGCGTCGACCGGTGGAGGGGCCACCGACACACTCGACGTCGGAATCGCAACAGGATCCGCACTGGAAATGATGGGGGAAGTAGGGGCCCGGGTAGTGGCGGGAGAAGAAGAGAAAGACGGCGAAGTCAGGCTGGCATGCGCGGCGTTCGGGGGCAGGAACAATATGACCTCTGACTCGTCTGTTGCCGCTACAAGGAAAACACAGGATGAGCACACAAGGATACGGAGAAACATAGAATACAAAATGGCACACCTGCACGTGCGACGTTGTGTGTCCGAGACACAATCACAGTCTCGGTCTGCGTGGGGACGACAAAATGAAGGTCCTCCCCTCCGCGCCGTAGATTAGCCGGACGGACATCCCACGGTGCAGGCATGGAACGGGCGAAAAGCGGGAAGAGAAGGGGAGACGCCGCAATCAGAAGTCGCGATTGGGGAACCATTGCGCGCGCGAGTCGGCTCGATCTGTCACGGACGAGAGATGAGTGGGAAGCAGCAAGGAACGGCACGGGGCAAGGAGCGACTGGAAGGAACGTAAACTGGTCCTGCCAGAGGTCAGCTATCGAGGTTGGGCACGTAAGAGCGAGAGAGACGTCAATTCAGCCATGGTCGCGCGGAGGCTGACCAGGACATGTGGCTGACAGGGGATGTTGTGCACTGGGCCGGATTCGAAGGCAGCACTAGAGTTGGGACGGAGCGCAGCCGCCGATCTCCCTGAGTAGGCAAGATTGTACTGTCGAGCAAGTTCCAAGCAGATCAGCGTCGGCCGAAGATCGCGCTAAGGGGAACAGAGACCCCCGAATTGTGGGAGCAGCAGTCACCATACCCACAGACTGTCGATTATACTCCATGGGGACAATGGACGGCGATGTTGAACGTTGTGATAAGATGGGAGGAATCAATGGGCGAAGTTGAATGTCCGCGAGCATCCGCAAGATGTTGGACTGTTCGGAGGAAGAGCATATGATTCAGAGAGTCATGAATACAGAACGGGTCTTTAGGTAAAAGCGTTGAGATCACGCGAGAAGATGCTGTGATATTGCGGGAGGTGTGCGTTGACATTATTATACATTCGGGCGCCTCCGAGATTCAGCCAACCCTGAGCGGTACTGATGATTGACTCCGAGGAGGGAAGAGGCCAAGTCCGAAGACGACACCTGGAACAATGAGCGGGTGTCAGTGATGGTAATTGGAGGCGAGGATCAAGGAGCTGGGGGATGCGAGGGCGAGATGAGCGCGCACGAGATGAGACGGGGGATGGCGGGTGGCGCGACGGGGGCGGATGGAGAAGCGGGAGATGTGGGCAGACAACGTCGCAGAAGATGGCTGGATCTGGCAGGGTAGCAGGGAAGCGGAAGGATGGGACTGCGGGACAGGGCAGTTGCCTATGCAGGCAGTGGCGGATCCTGCCAACGAGGCGCCGCGAAAGGTGGCACGAGAGGCAGTCGAGATATCCCGAGGTCGATCGCTAAGTACTTGCAATCTGCTGCGACGCAGGACAAAGGCCGCTGGCTGCTGGCCGCTGTGAGCAAAAGTACTGAGTGCCAGGGCAGCCCGAGATTGGCGGAAAGTGGCGAGCCGTATTCAGCCGATGTCCAAATTTGGGCTGCATACAACTCGAGAAGCGAGCTGCTGAGCGCCAACTGCCTTGCGAACTTCGAACGTTGTCTCTGCAGCAGGCAGGGAGCCGTCCCGGGCGTATGGCCCATTCTCAACCCAGATTTCCTTTGACAGGACGGCGCTACATACGATCCTGGGTGAGTGGTGCAATCTATCGCTGTGTTGGAGCTGATGATGGGACCGAAGGTTGGGTGCGCAACATGCTTGCCCGGCGTTTGTTCAGTAAACTCGAGGCGTTTCGAATCTCGGGATCTGAGCAGACCTGCCACCTGTCTTCTTCACAGCACATAGCCCGGAATTAGACGCAGCAGCCAATCCAATGCCACGCCAGCCTTGAGTACTTCTTTTGTCCGTGCCCCCCTCTCTCGCTGCGCACAAGGCATATATAGCCACCCTCTCTGCCCCGATCGCCTCTCGTCCTCAGAGCCAGACTAGCCAGTGCCCGCCATGTCCATCTCCCTCATGCCTCCTCCCCCAAGGATACCGTCTCCTCAGCTCGTCCCTGCCTCTCTCCCGTCCCCGCCACCATTCCCCAGGCGCATCTCTTCCCGCTCCCGCCTCCATCTACCACTCCACCCCGACCAGCCTCCCATCCCTCCCCGCCTAGTCGGCTCTCCGCTCCTCGACAAACTCGTGCATTCCGATCCCGCGACCCTCACCCCCAAGATCCAAAAACAACTCTGGTTCGATGGAGACGAGTTTGGCACGCGTAGGACGACGCCCACCCAGACCGATGGTACAGACGGATTTCCTTTTATCCAACCCTCCCCGCCGAGTACCCCTCGGAGCGCTTCACACAGGCGGGTCCACCGTCGCACCTCCTCCACCTCGCTAGCGGCCCGCGCGCGCTCACGCTCTCCCCCTCCACCACAACAAGTGACCGCGTCGATCCCTCCAGTCCCTCCCATCCCCTCTTCCATCTTTGACAACTCCAGCGTGAAGCGACCCGTCCTGCGCACGCCCCCTCCAACGCCTTACGGCGCACCCCCGGCGCAGATCTCCATTCCCGATCCTGCCGTCAGCGCCAGCCCTCCCTCCCCTAACGGCCTGCCCTCACCAGCGTTCCGTCAGCATTCACCCCGTTCTCGCGCTAGCGCGAGTCCAAGGCGCCGGGGGTTAGGCTGCGAATCACACTGATACATTCTAGGGCGCGCTCTCGCCCCCCGCTGGACGCTTTCGTCGTCAGCGCCATCATCATGTCCCCCGCCCAATGACGCGGCGCGTTTTGGGGTGCCTGCGGATCCGCGGCCGACGCGACGGGCTCGGATGTACAGCCCTTGCGCAGGGCCATGGGATAGGAGCACACAGTCATCTACTGCACTAGTGTGCCCGAGCTGACCAGCCCCTCGACGCTTCCAGACTCCGCTATCGACTTGTCGGACGCTGCCCTGCCAGGTGGCCTCATCGTGGGGTGGTGCATCACAGCATCTTGCGCATCCATTCTTCCTTCCATAGGGTTCTTTTGGACTCCTTCTCTGGGCACGCGTGTCTCGCTCACAGCGCGGCACGTCGGAGGTTGTTTATACTATACTATCAGCACATACGGTACCCGCACGCGTTTAACCCTCACAATCCTTTGCCGTTCTCTCTGGGTTCCTCTCGTCGTCATCAAGGCTTGGGCCGTGTCCTTTCGTCTCCAATTGCATCAGACCCATCCACAATCATCCACGCTCATTCGCTCTCCGTCTCGTCCACCTCGTCTCCCCCGCATTGTACATATGAACCCCCTGCATCCTCCATAGCCCGCTCGCATCGGCCGTTCGACGGCTTCTTCAACATCTGACCACTACAGTACGGTACCATAATACCCTTACTCAGTACATCTCACGTCCTTTCGTGCTTCTAATCCACGCGGGCGCCGCCCGCGATATACTAGGTGTACGTCGCTGTCAGTGTAGGCTAGCTTTGTACATCAGGAATACAACCAACGGCGTCCTTGTCATCTCCGCGTCTGCGTCTGCGTCTGGCTCCACACGGCTTGTCGCGTACGGTATATCTGACACCGGAAACGGAGCCTTCGTGAATTCCAGCGACGTGGACGTGCGCTTTGCGTCCGCCGCGCGCGCAAACCTCGGGCAGGCCAGTGAGCGCTCAGCGCATAAGCCCCATATAGCTCGTCCAGCGCTCACTGCGGCGTCGCCCAGCATTGATCCCAGCTGCCTAGAGGGGTGCTCGCTCATTCCACCGCCAGCGGTCCCACAAACGAAGTAAAGTAAACTGAGTATCGCGGCAAGCTCTGAGCAAAATAGGCGGGATGGACATACAGAAAGCAGTCATCCCGTCGGGTCGTAGGCGCCCCTCGAGCGCGCGGCGAAATGAGCGACCGACAAGATTTGAGCACCCTGAGCATATCGAATGTTTCCCGCAACATGTCGCGGTACATGGCCCATCGCCACCGGATTCCGTCAACGCTAGTACTGTACGACGCAATGTGTCGAGCCGGAGACAATTGCTGCCGAACTACCATGAGAATATCGCCGACGCGCGCCCGCTCCTGCCCCGCCCGTCAGCACATGCATGTATGCTGATCGTCGAGCGCTGCATACAGCGGTCTCAATCGCGTGTCGGGCGCATCTGGGCCGATGTCGATGAATGATGGCTACCGATCGGTGTGCGTCATGGGTGGGTCCCCACCACGGCTGCAGAGACATATGTGTACGAGTGCGGCCAGACTCTGAACGATGTATGCGGCCGAACTGGGGTGGCTCGAGGCCTACTCTGGGCGTACGAATGGGCAGTACGCCGCCGGAGGCACCACGCTCCGCAAGGGTTTCGATAAAGCCATGTATACGCATGGGGAGGTCAATGAGCTCTTCCGAAGGTGCTCGGATTAGTATTAAGTAAACATAGCGGTGGCTGAGCTTGCTTGTGGCGAGCGACCCTGCGCCTGGGTTCCATCGACCGACATAATCAGACTTGGCTCATGTTGTGTGAGCTCGTAGACCCGCATGTCTGTGCGGCGGGAACATCATCGCGTAGTATGTCTGAGACATGACACGCGCTTAACCGCAAGTGTCAGGTGTCGTGACCCTGGACGGTGCTGCTGCGGACGACCTAAACATTGTAGAGCACATGCGCGCCCAACCTGAGCTAAACGCGAACACAAATCCTAGCCGCGGGCGAGTTCGGGACGCGCTCCTGCAGAGCCCGCCAAGGGGTAATCGGAACGCCATTAGTGAGCTGCCCGAGTGCCCGACCGATGAAGGCATTGTGCTCAGGTGTCTTTCATTCACGATTGACTGGAGGTGTCCGCTCTCGTCTCGCGCCCTCTCAAACCACTTCCCTGCACGAGATTCATCAGCAAAACACTGACCGTTTCCCTTCCTCCCTGACGTCCGATGAAACATTCGTTTTACTGCAGCGAAACTGCGGAAGTAACGCGCCCCCGTTAGCGAGGTGGGCTTCGGCTCCCGCACATATATATATATATATAACGAGCGACGCGCCAGGGCAGCCTCTCTGAGCGACCCAGCGGGACGCCCTTGGGCGCGAAGCATCACCTCCCGGCGGGGATGACTGTGATTGTGGGCGTCGCGCCTTGACAACGGGTTGTACGAACCCGGCGTGCCGGGCACGGTAGGGCCCTGAGGCAGAGCGGACAAGTGCGGCTTAAGTCCGAAGACCCTCGGCGCTGATCCCATGGATGCAATTACGAGAGAGCTGTGGTCTCTTGAGGTTTCGAGAACATGGTGTAAGTCGGGGCGTATGGTCATTCATTGCATACGGGACCGACCTGGAAGGTGAACGGTGAGCATGACGTGCTGTGTCCTGTCGTGGTTGGCGTTGGTCCGTTACGCACCTCCCTGAGGAATATAGTGGATCTGTGCCAACAGTATCCAGGATAAGTGGTACACGTCTCATGCCACATGAGAACGTTGGAGAACAGACAGCGTAGTACCGAGTAACATGGCCGATCAATGCGATCCTAGCGCGTCCGTGTAGTGATCTACGGCAACGGGGTACGCAGAGATGGCCAGGGGGGGTTCTCAAGCTCTGAAGTCACGATGCTGGGCTGAAGAGTTTGCACAATTTCTCTGAATGGCGTACCCAACAATCCGCATCTCCCAGTCATCTGATCGGATGAGCTTTCGAAGGGCATCACGAAGGGATCTGTTGAGGGTAAAGGGAGGTTCAACGACGCGTGGCCTGTAGTTGGTGTCGTGTCTGCAGGACATGTCATGAACGCCACGCGGAAGTGTGGAGGGACTGCACACTCACAGGTTGGTGAAACATCAGCTCGACATGTTATAGCAGATACTGAGACGTACCGCTGACATGACGCAGCGAAGCATGCCAAGGGCAGTATAGCTCGATGTTGTGTTGCGGTCAGGGCAACATGCGCCATTGCGTCGTCTATCCTACGTATGTCGTGTAGGCTATGCTATCCAGACCTGTCCAAAGCTACAAAGATGAAGGGGAATGATTCGTTGATGATATATCGAGGGTAACAGATCCAAGCTAAAGAAAACCATGCAGATGTCGTGAGTGAGATACACAATGGCCATGAGGGAAAAATAGGTCAGCAAACAGATGTGCGGTACACAGCATGAGTGGAGTGGGGGAACAGATACAATGAGGGCCAACACTACGATTCCGCAAAGCATTACGACGATAGACAATAGAGAGTGAACACAATATGATACAACTGTGGAAGAATCGGTCCAGATACGCATAAGTTAGACCTATGAATACACGTGCTGCAGAATCCCAAAGAAATAGTCATACCGTATGTACTAAACAACACAACGCGTGCGTCCATCCGGCACGCCAATCGAGTGTCCGTTCACAATCCCATGCGCTCCGCTAACGTTCGGTCCCGTCCATTCGCGAAAGAATCGATGTTGTTGGTGTTGGCGTTGGTTCCGTTTGTCCGTCTGCCCCCTCCTCGGCGGCCTCCACCCCCACCTCCGCCACCATTTCGTCGAGACGACCTATCATGGTCACCACGGTCGCGCTCTCTGTCGCGCTCACGATCCCGGTTCCTGGGACGGTCCCTGTCCCTATCACGATCGCGCTCGCGCTCACGGTCCCTGTCTCTGTGGGGCGGACGGTCGCGTTCCCGCAATGGCGACCGCGGTCCGGATCGGCTATCCTCGTCTACGTCCATGCTCCCACTACCCTCAGCTGGCTTCCGGTCAACGGAAGCACGAGAGTCCCGCGAGCCGCCACGGGGCTGGGTAGCGTTTGCCGCGGACAGGTGTGGCTTTGGAGGCAAGGGAGCAGTCGACGCTGGTGGTGACATCTGCGACTCCGAAAGACGTGGCTTTTTATGCGCTCTGGGCCCAGTAGGAGGCAACTTCGCAGCGCCGTTCGACAAGTGTGGCGGAAGCTGATGGCCTCGAGGCGCTGGGGAAGGTTGGTGCCCTGGATGTAGTTGGCGCCCGTGAGACTGGAGGAGCGCGTCTTGGGACTTCTCCAGTTCGGCGCTACACAATGTCGGGGTCAGGGGAGCTGCAGACAGTGACAACACAAGGAGCATCGAACGTACGATAGAGATGCAATGACTTGGTGCGACTCTGCGATCCCCATACCCATCAATCTGTCTGCTGCCGGGGAGTACACGCCTACAACACACCTCGTAGCGCTCCCTCGAGCTTCTGTACAACTCTTCTCAGAGAACGAACATCCTCCTTCAGTCGCCCAGTCTCTCCTGTTTTCAGTAGCTCGTAGAGCTCATCGTTCTCTTCTTGCAGTATCTTGGCTCTCTGGATGAGCGCAGTGGTGACTGAAGCGGAGCCGGATGTGGCGGCCGTTCCGCGTTGGGTGAGGTGGGGCAAGAGCAGTGACATAAACGAAGGTGGAATAGTAGTTGGCTCCGTGGTAGACGGAGGAGGCTGGTTCGCGAGAAACTGTCGTAAATGCGTAACCTCATCCTGCGAAGACGCGTCGGAATGTGAGCAGAGTGGATATCTGCTGCGGGTCAACGATACGCACGGTGAGCTCTGCGACCTGCCCGTCGCGTTGGCGCAGAAGCATCTCAAGCTCCAGCTCTCGTGACGTTGGGAGGTCCATGTTGAGGGCGGTGGGGGGACGACGCGTCGACCGTCGGAAACCAAGGAAGGGTGGAGGACTGAGTCCGCGAGAACAGCGAATAGGCTCCGCCTGGAACCGCCCCGCGGATGTCGGCCACGTGGCTCTCGCGTGCGCCTGACAAGGCTTCGCAGACTTTGCGCTTGACTGCGCTGTCTTCAACGACATCCTCTTGTCGACCTAGAAGTTGAAGCACAAAGGACTAATCTGTACAGTGACGGATTAAGGTGGCTGCTGGCTATCCAGGTGCGATATAAAGAACCGTAGATGCCTCGGGAATGATGGTATGTAGCTATGTCCCCTGCTCTTCCTCTCCCTCCTCTGCACTGCTACACTGCCAGTTGGAAGCTGGTGACAGGCCAGTGGAATCACTGGGATATGTTTGTGCACCACCTTCCGTCTAGCAGTGTTATCAGCAACATTCTAGGCCTACTTGCTACTTTATGAGTGACTATCCTGAATTGCAACAGCTTGCGACATATCAATGAAATTACCATAAGAGGCATGTGGAACGCCCTCGATACCCAAGACGCAAGGATACACCCACAAAGTTAATAGCGAGCGAACGAAGCCCTGTCAGGCGCACGCGACAAGAAAGTCGACGCCTTGGCAATGCGCTTGAACGCGCTTTCCTCGCACAGTTGCGTCAACGTCGCAGATGCTGCATAGCGACCGTGGCCGATCGACGGCCTAGTCCACTGTGCTCATATACGCTGGCATAAGGACACTGAGTTTACGCTGTACATTCCAAGAGATTCGACGGACGTTGGGCGGCCCAGGCGAGCATTCGCCGTTGATGTCCACGGTAAGTATTGATCACAAGATAAGTAGCGGTCAGTATACGAGGGCCTGTCCGAACCGTTGACTTGGGCCGATTTGATCAGTCGAGACCGGGGCACATGTGGGGCATTGGCTGGGCGCCACGTGCACTTCATTCGCCAGTACGTATTGCTCTGACGTTTCAGCTCAGCCGCACTCATTCTAGGACGCTCAGTTGGTCTCGACGAAGAAGACCACCGAAAAGCCCACTGCGGTGACTTGCGTTCACGCTTGAGGTTTCACAGCAATTGGGCTCAGTTCGCATATGTGCTTTCACGCGGGACTTGGCCAGTGATCGTGGACCGCACTTGCGAGTTGGATGGCAGGGCCGGGTGCCTAGTTGCGTCTTGATCTGACGACGTTTGTAGCGTCTCACTTCTTTCTCTACGCCAGGCACCCAGAGTCACACCATAGCCCACCTGATCATCTGACCAGCGTGGTCTTGCAATGATGCGGCCCCGAGGCGCATCTTCACGAGATCACAACCAGAGCTCTTGCCCGTGCCGTGTTCTGATATTCGAGTAATACCCGATGGCCGCTGCCAGGGTCTGTCGGGCGATAGAGTACTTAATGGCGAACCTGCCTCTTCAGTCAAGGTTGTCGCCCTCTCCGGACGCGTCTCGCAAGGCCACCATGTACGCGCAAGCCCTCTTCCTCACCGGGGCATCCCTGTTGCTCTCTCCCGTCCTGGCGTGGGACTCAACGCCATTCAGTCCACCCTCTGTCCCACTTGCGGTTCGCACACCTTACCTCTCAGTCTGGCTTCCTCAAGGCGCCGGCACTGCTTTGAATGATGCGTGGGCTACCTTCTGGAATGGGGATGTGAGCATGTTTCCTTATGTCCGAACTTCTCCACTAGTCCTAACTAGTCCTCTCTAGGTCGCCGCATGGACAGGATATGTCAAGGTCGATGGCATACCCTATGTTTGGCTTGGTGCCCCGAACGTCCCGGGTGCACAGAAGGCTACCCAAAAGAGCCTCGAGGTAGATATGCTCCCTGAGGCAGAAGTTTAATGGATATATGCTTACTGGTCGCAAACTGGGACTGTGTAGTGGACCTCCACGCAGAGCATCTTCACGTTACAAGCTGGTACTGTAGACTTGACGGCGACTTTCCTCAGCCCGATCGAGGTTTGTGTGTTCAGTCTTGATGCGGCTGCGGCTGATCCATATGTCGTAATGCAGCCTTCTGACCTCGTCAATCAATCACTTCCACTCTCGTATTTGGCGGTCTCCGTTGCGTCCAATGACGGCAAGCCCCATAGCGTCCAGGTATACACTGACATCACTGGGGAGTGGATCACCGGCGTCGACACCTGGACGGCAAACTGGACCACCACCACCACTGGCGGCGTCCTCACCCACCAAGTTCAGCTCGCGAACCAGGCCCGTTACGAGGAAGTCAACGACCACGTTCAATGTATGCTTATATCTACGACCAAAGATTACTGTCATGCGGTCTGCTGATATGATGTTATAGATGGCGCTGCCTATCACGCGACTATCAACGTGAGTGTTTCTTGATGTCGTTGTCGCGAGGGTCAGCACCTCTCAAGCTGACCACCATCCAACTTCTCTAGACGTCGGGTGTGACTTGGCAAACTGGTCAAGACTCAGTCGTCCGTGGGCAGTTCATCCAAAACACCAATCTTGCCAACACGGCGGACACAAACTATCGTGCTGTCTCCTACTCCTGGCCTGTCTTCGCTTTTGTCCACAACCTCGGCGAAGTCACTACTTCTACCGAGCCGCTCGTCTACGTGGTTGGCCATGTTCGGGATCCCGCCATCCAATACATCACTGCAAATAACGGACGCCAGGATCGCTCCGTCTTGTTCTGGACGAGGTGGAGGACTGCCGCCAGTGCTATCTCCGCTTTCATCAAAGACTACCCTAACGCACTTGCGCGCGCAAACGCTTTCGACGCCCAAGTCAAGGCTGATGCCCTCAAGATCTCATCCGACTACGCTGATATCGTCGCCCTTTCCATCCGCCAGGCGTTGGGCTCCATCGAGATTACTGTGTCCAAGGACAGGTTCGGCAGATGGAACACCTCAGATATCACGACCTTCATGAAGGAGATCTCATCCGACGGCAACGTCAACACCGTCGACGTCATCTACCCCGCGTGGCCCGTCTTCTTGTACACCAACCCCGCGCTCGGGAAGCAGCTGCTCTTGCCGCTCTTCGAGTACCAGGCGACCGGTCAGTATCCGAACAAGTGGGCCGTGCACGACATGGGCTCATCGTACCCCAAGGCGGTCGGCCACAACGACGGCCAGGACGAGGCGATGCAGGTCGAGGAGTCCGGCAACATGCTCATCATGGCGCTCTCGCACGCACAGAGGTCGGGCGACAACTCTCTCCTGCATAAGTACTACGGCCTGCTCGACCAGTGGACGCAGTACCTGATCCAGGACTCGCTCGTCCCCGCCGAGCAGCTGTCGACCGACGACTTTGCTGGTCGCCTCGCGAACCAGACGAACCTGGCGATCAAGGGTATCGTCGGCATCGCGGCGATGTCGAAGATCGCTGACATTGTCGGGGACAGGGCGAAGGCAAAGAACTATTCGTCGATTGCAGCGTCGTACGTGCAACAGTGGCAGGGGTATGCGCTCTCGAGCGACAAGACGCATCTGACGCTTGCATACGGGGAAGACTCGTCGTGGGGTCTGGCGTACAATCTTCTCGCTGACAAGCTCCTTGGCACGAACGTGTTCCCTCAGGAGATTTTCGATCTTCGTCAGTGCTCTCTTGTTGTGCGGAGTCTTATGCTGACTACGATCACCTTATTCCGCAGAGACCCAATGGTACTCAAGCCAAGCCCACGACTATGGTGTTCCGCTCGATACTCGGTAAGCATATGCGCATAGATGCACTTGTCCAGTCTCTTGATGATTCGTTACTAACCTCTCTCGAATTTCAGCCACACATACACGAAATCCGGTAAGCTAACCCTCATAGACCACCGTTCCACGCCCATTTGCTAATCCCATGCATCTATCAGACTGGGAGATCTGGACTGCAGGTCTGGTCACGTCGACAGAGGTCCGGGACCTGCTCATCAGCTCAGTCCGCAAGTACGCCGCGGACGGCAAGAACTCGCACCCGCTCGGAGACTGGTACGAGACTGCGGACGGGTCCGCTGAGGGCTTCCGCGCTCGCCCCGTCGTTGGTGGCCACCTTGCTCTGGTGAGTCTGTTCTGGATTCTCTGATCGACGGCGGGTAGGGATGCTGATGGTTCCCTATCAAGCTTGTTGTGCCAAATCATAGTTAGGACTAGCTCAGATGGATTGCATGTAATTAGACGTGATTTACTCTGCTCACGACGCTAACGTCGCCTGATGTCCTCGAGACTGGGCTCTGTCTCCCATCATGAGTCTTAGCCTGAAACTCCAAGTCATGTAGCCCTGATACATCAATGTAGACCATGTTGACGGTAGCGTTTCGTCTTGCTCACACCGTCTGCCATCTGCGGCAACCACGTAGGCCTCCAGGGTCAGGACTGAGATATGAGCAGATGACATGACGTCACCGCTCGCTTGCCAAGGCTCTGACTCCCTGACGTCTGTTGCCTCTGGGGGGAAAGGGGAAGGGGTTTACACGCGGGGAAATGGCCAGGTTATGTCCCGCGAGTATAGCCTCAGCAGCCTAAGCCGTCGTCGCCGCGTCGAGGAGTCGATGAATCGAAATCGGGTGAAATGCGGTGCAATCTCTCGATATGACGCCATCGACCCAGATATGGCCACTCTTTGATCTCACCACCCATGGACCTCCTCCTGAAATAAGACACACTGACCCGGGTTGCCCGGAACATTCGTGCCTCGCCTTCTTCTTGCGATGGGGCTGCTTCCGGTCCCGACTTCCCTTGCGATAGAACGACATCATCACGCGCTCATGTTTCCACGCTGTACATGCAACACCGCGTGAAGCGCCAGATTACGGTGGCAGGGAACATGCAGGGAATCTGCGTATTCCACGCATATTACCCACGGATTCCCCAGTAAATTCCCCCTTGATGGGAATCTGCTGGGAACATGCACATCCTCTCCAGATTCCCTCAACATCCCCAACCGCTTCTGCAGATTTCAATTGCAAGGGGGACTTGCCTGCCCAAAATCACTTATCCGACCGCGATGACGTCGTCGCATGGTCCGATATCGACCTGCCATTGCATCTATTCACATCTTGACTTCGTACTTCTTGCATCCCCTCTGTATGCCTATCTCCCCCTTAAGTGGTACGTACTGACCATTGACTCTCGGATGACAGGCAGGTGTTCTCTCATACGGGCATATGTTGATTAGGGCAATAGTACGTCTCTAGTGTTGCGTGTGAAGTAGTATAAGTCTGATGGCATCTAGCAGGTTGTCCCACATTCATCGATC